GTTGTGCGATGGGCATTGCGCGATGGACATTGGACGGCGGACAGTGGGCGACTGGGCGATGGACATTGGGCGATGGGCGAACTCCCAGAAGCTTGTGAAAGTTTGGAAATTACAAAAAAAGTTTCGACGTGGGCGGTTTTCTTTCCCGTCGCAAAATTTTAACTTGCGCAGCTCAGCAATAGGAGTTATATAGCGACGCCGGAGCCGACGACTTCGGTCACTCAGAGGCGTGCTTTGGACGCGTCCTGGCAACATATGCAATTCGTGCGGTTTTGTGCATAATTTTTGCGCTTTCATCAAAAAACGCGCTTCAGTCGGAAAGCATGTAAAATTGTTGCGCTTCATAAATGTTAGCTAGACGGCAGGGAATATTTCGCCATGACAAAACAGGCATCGCCTGCGTTGCAAAGAAAGCGAAAACGTTGCCCCGCCGATTTTCAAAAAAGACCCTAAGAGCACAAATAGCATGCACAAAAGCACAAATCCGCATAGGGAATTCCGGCTGTCGCCGATTGCTTGATCGTCGGCCCTTGCCAGCACGAGTTGCCTGCTAGCTAGTGGCCGCCACGAGTTACCCTTACCTGGCTAGGGGGCTCGTGCGTGGCGACCAGTCTCGGCCGCCCGCAAAACTTTCGCGCTTACAGTCCCGAGTTAGTTGATTTGATTGTTACCGCGCTCCAAATACAAATAGATAGCTCAAGTTCAAAAGTTCATCTCCATCGGAGTTTTTCTTTGTAATTGAAACCAGTGCGGCCACAAACATGATCAGAACGTGTTGGATGGACGCGCAACCGTGTCGGGTATAAGAAAGTGAACAAGTTCTAGTCTGCTTTTCTTTTGTTTTTCGTATGTCAACAACATTGAAGAGAAACAATAGGAATCGCGAAGATGAGAGAAGATCGGAATAAAGGTCCAAAATTTGATGCGATTCAGAATCTATCAGACTCAGAGCTCTAGGAAAAATGAATCAATTACATGGACATAGCGGTCAAAATATACGTGGAAATTACGCCTGCCTTCGCCGTACGACCATCGTCGGTCAGTTTCTCCGTCGAGACCCAGCATTTTCGCCAGGCTTTGATTTTCTAATAGGGCCGTCCTCTTGATGACGACAAACTTCCTCCCCTGCCCAGATTGTGCGGTTGGAACGAGCTGACACTCATCCGGGGATTATTAGTGCCCGACGTTGATGCCGATGCGCCCTGCTCCGGAAAGGTCGTGCTCTGTGTGGTTGCAAAACTGCTACTCATGCGGTGCAAGTTTTTTAGCCCCGGCGGAGCGCCCAGTGAAGGGAGCTCTGCAGCAGTGGCAGTTCGTCTTGGTGGACGGAATGCTAAAACGTGCATGTTCTGAACATTAGCAGGAGCGGACGAGTCGGTAACGTTTTCTTGCAAATCGGGAGAGATGTTGGTGGTCGGCTTGTCATCGTCCTGGTTTATTTCGATTCTTGCAATATCCGCGCTTCGTCCGTTGATGTTTTCATTTTCATTTTCTGGTAATGGTAATGCGAGAAGCGCTTGCAGAGCCTTTCGGTTTCCGATGTCGAATAGGTTCTCCTTGCCGTCGAACATGTCTAGCAGTTTTTTCTTCGCATCCTCCGCAAACAGCACCGTGGAAAACACGCAGGTGTTGGGTGGGGCACAAAAACTACCTCTGTTCTTCAACATTGTCGCACTGGAAAATGATGTCGCGTTCGCTACTTTTCCATGATTTTCACTGTCCCGCGCAGCTCCGCCAGCGGATCCCGCAGCCGAGATGGCGTTGTTCTTGTTCATCGATTCTCGGGAAGAGAACAAAGAGCCTTCTTTTTTCGTGTGCTCCGCGTACGCAAGCAGCCGCATCATTCCGTCGTTGTCCGGATTGTTCAAGGTCCTGCACCAGTGGACGTACGCCGGGCTTCGCTGCAGGATTCGCTCGAACGTGACGCCCTCGTGCTTCCCCCACGTACAGACTTCAAGCCCGCGGTTCGCGTCCGCAAAGGCCACAAGCCTTTCCACCTGGGGCTCATTCTGCTTGCCCTGAGCCACCTGCTGCCGGCAGTAGTCGATGTATCCGCCGTATCCAACAAAAAAACTGTGTTAGTGTGACTATCTTTGGCTGACAGCATCACAAATTTGCTCTACATGTTGACAGGGAAAACCTGTCATGCTTCGTTGTAAGGGAAAGCACAGATGAAAAGAGGACTGCGTGGCTGTCTGGCATGACGGGTGTAACTCTGTTGCATGTTCTGCATCACAGATTTACACTTACTTACACAGTTTTTTTCTTGCATACGCCGCACGTCTGCACGATCTGCGAGAACAGCTTGCCGCGGTGCTGCCCGAACCCACACTGTTCGTCGGTATTTTTAGGCACAGCTGTGGCGTTTTCGCTATCGGTTGCTCCCGACGCGTTTGCTTCATCGGCGGGAACCGTAACCGACGATCCGCATCTGGCTCCTGGCTTTTCATTCACTTCCTCCTGCTTCTTCACGCCAGGGTATTCTGCTGGCTGGAAATTCCTGTCGGCCAAAATGCGCTCCCGCCAGATGGGCACGTCGCGGGAAAGGGTGACGATCGTCGGTGCGCTCGCAGAAGAGAAGTTTCCGTGGTAACCGGCTGGAATAATCGAGATGTACGGGTGGAAAAATTTACAAGTCCCGTCCGCTGCGCCAGGGCAATGCCCGCCAGTCTGCATGTGCTTCCAACAGGTGCCGGGCCCGTGGTTTTTCTTTGCGTTGGAAACGAAGCTCTGCTTACGACTCGCCCAGGATTTCGTGCGGTCGGTCCAGGAACTGTTTGCCGATGCTGCGTTGGAACTTGCTTTGCCTTTACCTTTAGCGAAGGAGCTGGTACCAGCGCCGCCGCCGCGCCGACCACCTGCACCAACGCGAACTACCATCTTCGGCAGACTGATCTGTTTCCTCGTTTATCAGGCAAAATCATGTACGAAAAGAAAAACTTTGTGGTTCATTTTGCTTATACTTCCCCTACTTCGGAAATTATAGAGCTCACTAAAATGAAACGAGTCGACAACGAAATTGATGAGGATCAATCGATGCTCGTGCCCGAGGCGAAGAAAATCCAATTTTCTCATCGATACTTTTTCGTCTTTTCCGGCGCAGCTCACCAACCCTTCACAGGCGTCGCTCATGTTTTTATGACGACTCGCTCTTTCTCCATGCATGCCTTCGCACAAGCCATCGAATCTTGATTCAAGTAACAAGACAAACACGACACACACTTCAAGTCGAACTCTAGAGGAAAGCGCGCGGCTTTTTTCGTGTTCGATTCCTGCATCAAGCCCGCACTGTGGATTGATGTTGCTGCTGCTAATTGCCGGGTGAAGCAATGGCATTCAGGCTAGCTGTACGGGTCTTCAGATTCATTGTACAGGACCGGTCTACATAGATCGCTTTTATTTTTTTGTGGGGACAGCGACAGTAATTCATCCATAGGTTTACGCCTACGCATTCAGTGTGAAACGGGAGATTTATGTGCTAGGTTAACGTCAATGTGGAACTTCGATAATTGATATAATAACGCTGACTTCATCCCGAAATGGATATGGAGGTGCTTGTGTGTAGAAATCTTCATGACAGGCGCTTTTCTAGTTGTATCGACAATGCCGTGTAATGTAGATGATGACGTCAGGCTCAGGGTCAGCTTCCTTTAGGTATAGCGTTAGCTTTTCCAGCACGTTCACGTTGATGCAGCGTTCACTTGTTTCATTCTGTCTATCGTTCCTTGCCAAGCGGGTATTTCATCTGCAACAAGTAAGAGATCATGATCAATATGGTCGAGCACGCGACGGCGCGCCTCCACTAGTCCCGCCGAAATGGAAAGGACCGGCGGTGTTCTGGCCTATTGCGTCCAGCATGCGCGCAATCTGGGGGTCAAAGAAGTCCCGCCGCCCGTTGAATATGTCGATCAGTTTTTCTTTTGCCTCGGCGGGTTTCAGATTACTGTAGAAAACAAGCCCACGAGCAGCACCACCGCTGCCAGAACTCCCTACTGGCATGGCAGCTGCCTCCGCGTCTGCGTATGCGATGAGTCGCTGCATGCCCTTGGTTGGGTTCTCGCACTTATTCTTGCACCAGTCAATGTAGCTCGGTGCGGTTTTCAAAATTTGCTCGAACGAAGTGCCCTTGTGCTTTCCGAAAGTGCACATCTCCAAGCCGCGGTTGGCGTCCGCGAAGGCGACCAGGCGACCCATGGCATTGTTGCTGCCCGACACGTTTTCCCGGCAGAAATCGACGTAATCGTGTTCGGATTTCACGATCTCGGAGAACAGCTTGCCTTTGTGTTTTCCAAAGCTACACTCTTCGTCCTCAGGAGGCTCCTCTGTTTCATCCTCGGCTTGTTCTTCCTCGAGATCTCTGGGATTCATCTTGAACTGTTTATTCGCGAGGATCTTCGTACGCCACTCCGGTACATCGTGGGACATCGTGATCTTCGTATCGGCCTTGGAATTATCGTCGCTGTTCATGGCCGTAACGGTCATGTAGGGGTGTTTGAAGGTGCACATACCTAACATCGGATCGCAACCACCTTCCATCTCTAGGTAGTCCCAGCACACGCCGACACCCTTGCTCTGCACACCTTCGGCGATGTAGCCCGCTTTCCACTCCTCGAAGCCGGACATTTTTGTCAGTAATGGCTGATAAATCGTCGAAATAGGACAAAATAAGATACGTCGTTGTAGTAACAAGGTTCGGGTTTATCAAAGCGAATGCTTACTGTTAAGTTCTACAACTACAGGACGAATGTACTTTCTTATGTTTTTCTTTTTGCTTGGATGACGTTGATAAATCTCGACGTGATTTCATCCGCTGCGAAAGAGAAAATCGAAGCGACAAGAATGCACTCGCTGGGTCGCGGCGACGATTTCTCTAATTCTGTCTCGACGTGGTCGTTTGTGTGATCAGGATCCTTTTTTTCATCAAGGGGAATAAAAACGAATCAGATCTTGTTCACGGGGGTGGTGAGAGACCACGATTACCATTTAGATGAAGCAAAACGATACACCTTTCAATACATTCATAGTGCGTCGTCGTCAAGAGGCTAGAAGGTTTTTTAAGGTTTTCATCCCATCGGATTTCTTATCCTTGCAGTAGAAGCGAAGGACTTCATGAGGGAGCCCTACTTTTAGTTTTCTTTTACTATAGTCCGCCGTGATCTCTATCGCCGTTGCCGCATGCATCTTCAGCATCTCTCGACAATAGAACATGTTCCCGACGGTTGTCGCCGTGCTGAGTACTATTGTACCAGCAGGAATTGCTTCTATCCGTATCTTCGCAAATAAGCTTGAATATGGCTTTGCTTTCCTTTCGAAGTAGAATGATATAAATGAATGGGCATGCCATTTGCATTTGGTGCGTTCCAGTTCCTGTTGCACTGATATAAAAAGGATCAAACTAGATCATATCCCAACGCGCCTATGGATGACGCAATCAGATCCCGAGGCACCACAAGATCCACGACAGCGCCAATCAGAAGATTCCGAGGCACACACAGATCCGAGCCACCACAAGATCCCCCCGCACCAATCAGATCCCGAGGCACCACAAGATCCAGGACAGCGCTGAGACTGAGAGTTCGTCATATTTGTCAATGTTGAAGCGCTGGCGGGCAATGTCCGAAGGCAGCTCTAAAGTCCACAACAGGCGATCGCGCAGCGTGCGCTTGCGTCGCGGCTGCCGCCACCAGGTAACGAACTTCCAGGGATAGATGTACTCGATGCCGGGACAGTCGTTCTCCTCATCTTGTCGCTTGTCTTTTTTGTTTCTCTTCGGGTTGTTCGTGTTTTTCACGATGAACTTGCGCCTATCCGGCAGTTCTTTTTGCTTGCGGAGCAACTCCTCGCTTCTCCCCATGCGGTGTTCCCAATTTTGATATCCAAGAGACAGCTTCTGCAGCCATTTTCGCAGATGCTGCCGCCGCACTCTTCTCTGCCGGAAAATTTCGTCCTTTGACAAGCCCTTCGTGACCCAGGAATCGGGAACACGGTTCGCGCGGCGAAGGTTCAACTCGCCATACTGGAGATACTTTTCTTCTTTCAATTCTTTGAGAAACTCGATCGCACGCTCCTTGCGCTCCGCCAAAAAGTCCACTTCCAGCTGGATCTGGATTTTCTTAGATTCCTGTTCAGCCAATGCTCCTGCTCTTGGTGCAGTAGTAGCTGAAGCAATAGTTGCAGAAGTCGGATCTTTTTTCGTGCTACCACCGTGTGTAGTTCTTGCGCTCCCGTGAATATCGCCGAGCGCTGGCACGTCAGCATCTCCGCTTTGGACGAGCACAGTGTCTGTTCCTTTCGATTGCTGCTTGTCCTCATTAGTGGCGCCACCAGCATCATCTCGAGCACCACGCTGGGACAGCTGCGGAACAATCGCGTCATGATCTGTATCTGGTTTGGCATCGTCCGGCATTTGGTCGTGAAATTGCGGGAGCCCGCCCACCTGTTTGATTTTGAGCAAGACGTTTTCCGCTTGCTCGACCTTCGACTTTGTCACGACCCCGGCACGCCTCCTGTCCCCACCATTCAGCTCCAACAAATCTTGACGGTAGATTGCGAACGGGACGGTGCGCCCGTCGTTCCTGACATGCCGGGCGCCGAGCTTGCAGTGCAGCGGGCCGCCTTTTCCGCCTCCCTTTCTGCCTCTGTAATTTCCCCCACCAGCTGCCCGGTCGGAAGAAGCGGGGTTTTTGCGGGAAATGCGCTGCTTTACCAAATGGCAGGCTTTTATGGTCAGCTCTTTCCAATTGGAGGAGACTTTCGGCAGCTTCCGCATCGGACTCCTTGTCCCGCTCAGATCCCCTGCTCCAGAACTGGATGAAGACTCAACCAGCGCCGATTTGGCATGCGCAGCGACCTCGTCCTTCTGCTTGTCTCCGGAGGGTGCTCCAGCTAATGGAGGCGCTTTTCCTTTTCCTTTTCCGTTCGCCTTGGCACCATCCTCCCGGCGATTCGCGCTGTCCGTTTCTTCATCATCTTGCGTCTCACTTGTCTCACTTTCAGAGGACTCCTCCGAGGCGACTTCGTCCACTGCTGACACTTCGACTTCCTCGTCGATCTCGCTATCGTCAGCGGAACTTCCATCATCTTCATCGCCAATCTCTGCCAACGTGAACGTCTCGTTTCTGAAATCAATAGACTTGGACAGGTGGTCGTATTTCTCTCGCCGCTTTTTCTGTTCCTCCTGCTCATCTTCCAGTGCAGCGCGCTTTTTTTGCTTTTCGTGGTCTCGCTTCTGCTGCAAGTGGAAAACGTCGGAGGACTCCCACTCGTACGTGAACTGTAACGGTTCGAAAATGAATCCGCGAGTGACATTTGCGAGGAGCCAAAAAGTTATGGCGTTCCAGATTTGTTCGCCGATCCTGTTGAAGCCGGTCATCGTTCGGAAAAACCAGAGAAGCAAGTCACCGGCGGAGCCATTTTGCAGTCCGAGGTTGACCAGCCAATGCAAGACGGGACGCTGCAGCGACTCGAGTAACAGGAAGTACCAAAGGGGGAAAACGAAAAACGCCGCAGGTACCCAGTACCAAAGCCAGTTAAGCGACGCCTCGACGGACCAGTCATAGGCACTCCTAGACTTCTGCTGCAACCAATCGAGGGCTTCTAGCTGTCTTTCCGATGGTGGTTCTTGCTGACATCCGCAAAGTGCGCGAATTTTGTTTGCCCAGAAATCGACCGTGCAGTATCTGTCGTAGACCCCGATGTAAACCTGGAGGCGAATTCGGCACAGAACGGAAAAGAAAAGAACGCAGTGTAGTCCTATTTCAGCCAGCCAACAGCTAAGCGCGTCCGGGTAAACAAGTGCACCAAGCGAAAAATAATCTACACTGTGACTTGTTGCAGTTTCAGCGTTCATCGCGAGTTCATCTCCAGCTCCGCCACCTCGTGCAGAAGCAGAAATCATCCCTGGAAAATAAATCGCGAACATGAGAAGGCTCTTCGCCTGTCCAAGGGACCACCAAAGAATGGACAAGATCACAGATGCTACAGCCAGGCGGGAGGTTGCCAGCAGCCATCGCACGCGGCCACGCTTCTTGATGAGGTTCCAGCGCCAGGTGAGATAAGGTTTGTCAAGAAACAGCGGAGCCATTTCGGTGTCGTCAACTATTGCGCCATCTTCATACCGAATACTCGCGGCACACGCCGGCGTGAAGCGATAGAACCGAGCCCCGTCTTCCTCTTCCTCCTGTCTCTCGAGCCAGGATTCGCCCCGGTACGACGCAAGGCCCAACAGCTCGGAAAAGAAAGTATTGCGTTGCAGAAATCGCGCGAAGCGGAGTAGCCAGGATGGAGCTGGGCTGCAGCCGTTCGTGGTCGTTGAAGTTACATTTACTGCGATAGATTTTTCGTCGACCGAGATGCTTGCGACATTTCCGTTGCAACCAGGGGTGTCAACGATCGCTTCCTGATCTGGCGTACTTTCGTATTCGTTTTCTGCGTTGTTCCGCCCCTCTGCATTAGCAGTTCCATCTCCATTCGTCCGCGGAGGAGTAGCAGCATCCTCTGTAGCAACCTCCTGAACCTCGTCATCAGAGGCAGATGTGGTCGGGGTTTGCTGCAATTGCTCATCCGCTGGCTGTGCAATGCCTTCTCCGTCTTTTCCTTTTCCTTTAGCCTTGCCGCCTCCTCCACCCTTCTCGCGCGCCCCGACTGTTCGCGCGGTCGGCGTTTCCTCATTGCGTCTGCTACCTTTAGGTCCTTTGCCCTTCCCCTTAGCCCTCCCCCGGCTCACTTCCAGATCCCGCTCCTTTTCCTCCCGCCGAGCCTCGAGGTACTGCTGTTGGAATTTGGATCCCAAAAAATCCGCCGGCGGTCCGTCCTCTTTCACGCGGTTCAGGCAGTCGAAGAAGTCGGCGCGGCTCACTTGACTCAATGCGTCCAATTCAGCGTAGTAGTTTTTGGCGGCATCCAAGAGCAAGGAAAAATCCTGAGCCAACTTCAAAAAAAAACCACAGAAGGTTGCTCGGCTCGCGAAAACTTTTCCGAACAGCTGCTCGCGAACGAGCTTCTGGCCGAAATGGTACCTGGTGTTGCGAAGTAGGCCACGTTTGATTCACAAGTACGTACAACTCTTGTCGGCCTTTTCTTTCATTTTTGAGAAGCCGAAGCGATACCGAAGTTCATCTTCTGCGCCTCTTTTCTTTATTTGTATGCCTGTTCAGAAGATGAAGCTTAAGCCCAAGGCAGGGTCTAGAAGTGTTTTTGCCGAATCAATAGGAATAAGAAGAAGAACAAGCTCGCGGGAGCAGCGCAATATGGAACATATCAAGCATCAGCGAGTCTGAGTCATGTATTGTACCTAGCGTAGTCCTGCAGCCACTCGCAGTTGTAGTCAGCCTGTTCCAAAATGCCCCAAACATCTGGAAAGCCACACACCCGATGGCCCAAGAGGTGAAAATGAGGCTGGCACTTCCCACCCATGGTTGCAAAAATTTTGGAATTCCACTTGTGCTGCAACTTTTCCGGAAACAGAACCGGGATCGAAATCGCGACGCTAAAGGTGAGGCCGAGACACAGCCACTCGGTGCCCGTGTAAGAAGTGCTGGTCCTCCAACAGAGAATCAGCAGAGCCGGTGTGAACAACGTGAGGATCTGCAGTAGATGCCGGTAGGGTGCGAGAAAACTCAAGCGGGACGCAGTGTAGTCGCTTGTTCCGGGAAGCACGTTTTTGTTTCTAGCAATTTTTTCAGCGAATTCGGCGTCTGTCACACTTCTGCTGTTGATGGCAGCGATCACATCGTCGCCTTTCAATATGCGCTGGTTTTGCTCTTGCGTTAAAACCACACGCCATGGTAGCAGATTTCTTTGAAGCGGAATCCAGATCGCGACGAGGAAAAGGAGGGCCCAAATCCCGAGGAGAATCGCTGTGAAAAGTCCGGGCGCTGCGACCTCTACTCCGCGCAACGCTGGAACAACGGACGCCGCGAGCAGGATTCCGCCTCTCTGATTCGCATTCCACCGCATCCGCATCGGTAACTGCATTTTATTTTCTTGTGTGCGTAAATGCAAATTCTCTTAAACTGTTAAACTCAAACAATGACGTCTTGAAATAATAGGATTAGGTGCGAGGTCGAGAATCAAAAACAAAAAGGCATACGCCAAAAATAATTGCATATGCATGCGAACGACGGGAAACACATCGAACGGAATGGGAATCTCACCCTGAGTAGGCCACATACACTGATCGTGGCTGTATCTTCAACATCAACAGGAATCCACAGAATTAGGCATCCTCGTCCACATCCTGATCCTAAGATAGTAATTACTTTCTGAATCTGAAGTTCATCAGAGCCTACACACATGATTCAATGACGACACAATGCGCATAAATGAGTAACACAGGAGCGAGAAGAGCAGGCAAGGGCATTGATGTGGATCTTGTCGTGTCCGTCGTCGTTTGAGAAGAAAACGAACAAAAATAGATCCGAAAAATCGATCGTCATCTCCTGTATGCTTTTGCCAAGAGAAAACACGACTTTGTTCAGTTTGATCATTATTGGACAAGTAGCGAACAAATCAAAACCCATACCTACCTGAGCTCAACGCTGCGCGGCACATCGGAAATAACAAGCTTTTCGATTGTCTAGCTAAGGACCTCATCGCCAGGGAGGTTTTTCAGATTCTCTTCGTTTCGCAGGTGAAACCAGCAAGTTTTCTTTATACACAGAGTTCGCGACGAAAGTAGCAAGGCTTTTTTCTCATGCAAACATACAAAAATTTCTTTTTTGTGTTTGTCAGACAGTAGACGTGATCGATGCTTTCGCGTTGTTTCGGAAGTTCAAAATTGTTTTAAACGTTCGGGCTGGTAAACATGCCGCGCAAAATTTGTCATCGTTTATCCGCCAATGAAGCGAAAGTCGAAGAAGTAGTGATGCTGATGCGCTCACTGCTCTATGGATTCTTTCTGGGGAGAAAGAGCTATCGTGTCTCTTGCCCCCATAATCGCATCAGCTACTACAACTCGTCATATTCGTCACTCCTACATCTTAATCAGTACTTTTATTCTCATAGATGATACACAGTTATTTTTCACGATATAATCGATAGAAGTAGTACCACCTAGCATAAGTGCTAGTTCGCCTCGTGCTTCCACTTCGTCATCACATCCCCATGTGGATGAGCTGCGAAGCATCTTTTCGAAGCTCCGCCTGCGTGCTCGAAATGAGGCTGTCCATGAGATTGTCGCTCGACTGTGCTGCAGCTCCTGCTCGTCCTCTCCCGTCGAGTGTGATTATCTCCGACGCCGTTTTCGTTCCACCCTTCGCGTTTTTGTTGGCGCACTTGTTTAGAATCACCTTCGGAACTCCGTACCAGTCAGGATGATGTTTGGTGTTGAGCAAAACTTGCTTTACGTTCTGCATCAGCGGCCATGCGGAGTGGTGTTCCTTGTGAAGCTCGTGGTGCACGAGGGCGCCTCCATTCGCGACTGCTGCGTCCATGTGTTTTTTCAGCCAAAAGTAGAACACCATCTGGCGCTGGTAGCGGGTGTACCCCTGCGCCAGGCCCATTTTCGTCGCGGCGGTCAGGCGAGGTAGATTTTCCTGGTCCAGCTTCCGCTTGTTTTGCCCCAGAAAGCTCTTGCAGCCGTGGTCGGGGTCTCCGGTGCAAAAGTATCGTACTCGTAGTCGTTTTGCAATCATGCATGACAATCTTCTTAAGGTTAAGGTAAATCCGCATATACAAATTTTATTTGTCATGGTCATGCTGACGCTGAGGAAATTTGTATATGCATTTAAGTATACGAGTACAATAATTTTGCAGTTCATACGGGGTAGAGGTACTTGTTCTGAAACTCCCGCATCGGCCAGTTCCAGTTCGCGACCGCGGATATTTTCGTGCCCACGTGCCCGCTGCGGTTCTGGAGGTCGGTGCACCGATCGAATTCGTTGATGACCAAGTGAAACTGGAAGCGTTTGAACACGTGGCAGGGCAGATAGTGCGCAACGTCGATGCCTGACGACGATGAACTTTCTTCATTCACATGGAACTCTTTGGGAACCAAGTCCCCGCGGACGTAGTCAAAGTCGTGGCCGCTCGGGTAGTCCTCGCGGTGGAAAACGTGCGGGATGGCAGTTTCCACCTTCTTCTGGTAATCCTCTTCTCGCAATTCGCCGCTGGTCATGCTGTTCCCGAGGCCGATGTCGACCCAACCATCGCGCAACGTGCTGGGCTATCCTGTGCAAAAGTATCGTACTCGTAGTAATTGCTATGATCATGCATGACAAACATCCCTTTTTAGGGAAATCAGCATTACAAATTCCATTTTTCTTCTTGAAAAAATTTGTGATGCAATTTATACTAGTACGATACTTACTTTTGCAATGCATATGGGCGACGTGCAGTCCTCGTTCTCGCTGCTGCCGGTACTGAGAGGAAAAATCCCCCCTCCCCATATTGAAAAGGCATGTTTCCAGGAAATTGCGTTGCGGATTTGAGGTCACAAATCACATCTGTCTTGCAAGAAGACAAGGGCAGAAGCTTCCGCCCCATTATGGAAGCGATTTGTCATGCTGTTGGGCCTAAAGGGGGGCCGCTTGCCATGCTGCACTACTAGACCCATACGCCCCTACCTAGCCTGGGGATCTGGCCGCAGTGCCTTTGTGCAATACAAAGCTGATTTGTGGTCACAAATCAGCATCACAAATTTTCGTTTTGATATGGGGAGGGGGGATTTTTCATTTTGATAGCCGGGAAGGCAGTGGTGGTTCTTCCACTGAACCGAAGGGCGGAGGTGGTCTAGGAAGCCATAGCTGCCGCAACTCGACATGTGCACGTGCACTGGCTTGGTGCCGTCAGTGGCGGCCTCTTGCCCGTGTTTCGAACCTGATGAATCTTCATCGTCGCTCTTCAATACATATTGCGAGTACAGGCTCCAGCGCTGGACGAACTGGCACCCTCCGCTGTGCCCTGCGACAAAAATCTCGCTCGCGAGATTCGTTTTGCGCAGCGTGTTATGCATTGCAAAAGTGTATCGCGATCGCACTACTAGAAATAGATCAGAAATTTGTCCAGAAGACAAAATTGAATTCCTATATGCTGATTTACCTGAGAGTCGAGATGAAATGTCTATGCACAGATGCAATTTATACGAGCACGAAACTTTTGCAATGCATACGTGTTCACGATCTCGTCCAGAACCCGGAAACTAGACAAATTTTCATTGCTGTCTTGCAAATCTTGGTTCGTGCTCTCGTACCCGCGTTGCGACAGGTAGGTCGTGTCGGCCTTCCAGTACAGATGGGTCTTGGAAACCAAATTTCGGAAAAACGGGACCACGACCGCCACGTCGTGCAGCTGCCTGTCCTTGTGCAAAAACCCCGCCCAGCCATTGCAGGTGTCGTGAACGTAGCCGCCGAGCGTGGGGTGCCAGGTGCTGGCATGCCAATACTCGCTGATCACGATGACCACCGGCCGCGGCGCGGTGCGCTGCAAAGTGAAATCGTCTCCGTTGACGAAATCGGGGAGGTGGGGGAGATTGGTGAACGCGGTGAAGTCCTTGTGCAAATTTCTGATGTTCGCCATCTTCTGGGGCCGACAGTAGTGCGGCAGGGGGCCTGCTACTGGTTTGGAGTAGTGAGAGTGATCTGTATTTCGATTTCCGCTGTGGTGATGATTTTTGTGGTTGGCTTTCTGCGGAGGGCCGACGGAGGGCGCGATGGGCGCGCCAGCCGGAGTGCCATCGCCATCAATGTGCGTGATTGCAGGATCTGAGTCCTTGCCGAGGATTGTGGACGATGAAGATGAAGATGATGATGAACCAGCGCTGCCAGACGAGGGCACATCGACGACGCCGGGCCTGGGAACCACGTCAGTCGCACTCAGCGGTCGTATATCCAAAGTCTCGTCTCCGAATGCAGCGGGTCCTGTTGTCGATTCGTAAAAGAACGGGGGGATTTCTGGGACATCAGAAGATGAATCTGTGTCGAGTTCTTGGCTACTTTCGTCAGCAACTATGCCCATGTCAACATCCTCCGGCCCGTCCTCGTCGATAGTGCTCACTGAATCATCTTCGTCCCCTATGAAAACACCCACACCCGCCTCCACTGGTCCGTTATCCGATTCTGCCGGGGGAAGCGGGCGAATATCGTTTGCGCTGGTGCTGTGGTCGTATCCGTGCGGAAAAAGCTCTGGGGCGTTGGGAAGATATTTCGCCCAGGCAGGAATCGGGATGTAGTTCCGGTCTACGTAGTCGATATCCAATTCCCCCGTCGCAAGCTCCTCTCGAATGTAGACGGCCCTGGCATCCAGAGGTCCTTGTTCGTTGGAGGTACCGTCTGCAACGACTTGGGTCTCGCTGGACTTGATATGGCGGTTGTTCTGCAGCGTCAGGGGCGTTACAACAAAACCGCCTAGCACCGTCGCCGCACCGAGCACCCCGAGACTGCGGAGGGCAAGCTTTTTTCTCTTCTGCGACAGGCGGAGGGTTGCTGCGGCATTGTGCACAGCTGACGTTTCGTTTGTGACGTTCCAAGAATCCGTCGCTGGCGCAATGAGACCCTGTAAGGTGGCATCCTGGTGTAGTTGGGGTGGGAGGTCGTTTACAAAAGGTGGGCCCCCGCGTTCAAGTGCTGTTGCAGCAAAGTAGGGCGGAGAATCGTTCTTGCGTCCGGAAGTAGACCTGCCGGCGGTCGTGGAGATGCTGAGCTTTGTGGCGGAAGCAAGCAACGCATTTGATTGGGTACACTGGTGCAGCACAAAGGCGCTCGAGAGCTTCCACACCACGAGGAGACGCAACGATTTGGGCACGAACATCTTGCTGGTATTGATATTCTTGAGTCGGGACTTCGTCGTTGCGTGGTGGGCGGTATTAACCGAGGGGTTGCAGGTGGAATTGCAAACCTGACTCGGCTGGACGAGGACGAGCTTGCATTTGCTATAATTGCTAAGGGGCAGAAATAAATACTCTTATCAAAAATACGCAATGACCGATGGCGACGCCTGCCGTTGCAGTCACACACAACAAAGCGAGCAAAGCAACAACGTCCACGAGGAGAGGAAAGCAGGAGCTCAACACTTCTCCACATCGACTGGTTTTTGATTCATTTTGAGTATGATCTATTATGTTGTTTCTAGCAAATTTGTTTTCTGGTAGTTCGTTGGTGCGTAGATCAAAATGACCATAGTGTTGTGTTCGTCCACGTCAACGTCGATCACAAGTCGGGGCGCCCTAAATAAAGGGCACATGATGATAGATGAAGGGGCTTCTTACATTGATATTGATGTATTGAAATTGACTTTCCACATTTTTGGGTGGGAGTGTGTGTTAAGCTTCAAGGACAACAACACGCGCGTCAGCATGCCACCGTATTTTTTCTCGCAAAATGTACCATAATAAGGTTCAAGAATTCCTCCACGACGAGCACAGCCCACAAGATTTCTACCTCGAGCCACATCAAGTTGCCAGACTTGTGAAAGTAGAGCTGATTTGTTCAATCTTCACACGACCGCACACGGTTCCATCATATTCAAAAAAATAAAGTAGGAAATTCAACTTCGTTCTCGTTTTCTTCAGAAACGTCGCCCTCCATGCCCATCTTTTTCGCCATATCGGTCCACGCGTCCAATTCTGCGGCAAATTCGCTGTCGGTCATCGTTTCTAGCGTTCTGTTAGAGGCCATGGCGGGTGACAGCTGCTTCTTCGCCAAAAACCGCTTCAAGAAGTGCAGACTCGCCTGGGGGCGGAACTGTGGCACCATGTGACCCGAGCCGTGAAAGGTCATAAACGTAACATTGTGCTCGTAGTTCACGACTTCTCCTCCAAACTGCGGACCCGCGTCGACCGCTAGCAAACCGGGCCCGAAGAGCGGAGCCTTGTCCTCCAGAACCGCCGCCGGTGTTGCGACCTGGTTGTTTTTTTTTTTGCGTTTGTCTTTCCTTCGTCCTCGTAGGCAATGAATGAACATGAAGTTGATCGTAGCATCGTAGTCCAAGGGCAAAATTGCACGCCCTTCTTTCTACGATAAAACACGCAAACATGCGAAAGTACACCACAGCATGGCGGTTCGGCGTGCTTAATCAAGGCAAAACGTGGAAAAAGCTGAAGCATTTTTTTTTTCCTAAAACAGCAGTGCCGCCCGGGGAAGAGGGGATGAGCAAACTTGTGCGCACTTCTTTCTACGAAAAGCGAAAGCAAGCGAAAACACACCACAGCATGGCGCTTCGTCGTGCTTAATCAAGGCAAAACGTGGAAAAAGCTGAAGCCTTTTTTTTTCCTGAAACAGCAGTGCCGCCCGGGAAAGAAGGGATGAGCAAACTTGTGCGCACTTCTTTCTACGAAAAGCGAAAGCAAGCGAAAGTACACCACAGCATGGCGCTTCGTCGTGCTTAATCAAGGCAAAACGTGGAAAAAGCTGAAGCCTTTTTTTTTCCTGAAACAGCAGTGCCGCCCGGGGACGAAGGGATGAGCAAACTTGTGCGCACTTCTTTCTACGAAAAGCGAAAGCAAGCGAAAGTACACCACAGCATGGCGCTTCGTCGTGCTTAATCAAGGCAAAACGTGGAAAAAGCTGAAGCCTTTTTTTTTCCTGAAACAGCAGTGCCGCCCGGGGACGAAGGGATGAGCAAACTTGTGCGCACTTCTTTCTACGAAAAGCGAAAGCAAGCGAAAGTACACCACAGCATGGCGCTTCGTCGTGCTTAATCAAGGCAAAACGTGGAAAAAGCTGAAGCCTTTTTTTTTCCTGAAACAGCAGTGCCGCCCGGGGACGAAGGGATGAGCAAACTTGTGCGCACTTCTTTCTACGAAAAGCGAAAGCAAGCGAAAGTACACCACAGCATGGCGCTTCGTCGTGCTTAATCAAGGCAAAACGTGGAAAAAGCTGAAGCCTTTTTTTTTCCTGAAACAGCAGTGCCGCCCGGGGACGAAGGGATGAGCAAACTTGTGCGCACTTCTTTCTACGAAAAGCGAAAGCAAGCGAAAGTACACCACAGCATGGCGCTTCGTCGTGCTTAATCAAGGCAAAACGTGGAAAAAGCTGAAGCCTTTTTTTTTCCTGAAACAGCAGTGCCGCCCGGGGACGAAGGCATAAGCAAACTTGTGCGCACTTCTTTCTACGAAACGCGCAAACATATGAAAGTACACCATAGCATGGCGCTTCGGCCTGCTTAATCGAGGCAAAAGCCGACAAGATGAAAGTCTCAAATGAAAATAGTCAAACTAGACAAACATCGCAGAAATATAATTTAAGTACTTTGTGATAAAACCAGGGTCGGTAGCCGTGTCCGTCCAGTTCTGCGAAGCCCAATCGCTCAATCGCGGTCCGCGTGCCCTCGTAGCTGACGCACGGGTCGGTATCCCCGTTCAGAACAACGGTTTGTTCCAATTTGGGCGCGATGTCCCGGTAAAAGTCGATCATGGATTTCGCTCCTGGCTTCGCGCCCGCCCAGTTGCACGCCGCGTAGTCCTGCTCGTAGAGGAAGTGCACATCCTCGTCGTTCGGCCATGTCTTCACCGGCGCGTCGGTCACGTGCAGGGCCGCGCGGACCTCGGGGCTGTTCAGGTACTTCCCCATGTCACTGTCCTCCTTGCCCATCTTGTCCCCCGCGGGGGAAAACAACGAGTACGGGTTGATCCACTGCTTCGCCCAGCCCTGGTCGAGCTTGTTGCTCGCGCTTGTCTGGAACTTCCATATGGCGCTCTCAACTGTTACATTCTCAACTGTATACATGATTTGTCATGCTAAATTACCTTCAGCTTGACTATCAACGCCATCAAGCTGCTTCGCATGGAAAATTCTCAGACGGCCAAACAGGCTGAGAATCTGTGCCAAATCTGTCATGCAAGACGCGCAAGGTCCTTCCTTTCACTTTTGCCATTCTTGCATCACAAATTCATGTAACAGTTAAGAATGTAACGTTTGAGAAGTCCATATTCCGCCAGGCTCGCTTGCACTCAGCGCTCTCATGCCGGAACCGGTGCCCGGGACCCGAAATCTTGCTCTTCACGTGGTCCTTGTTGATCTCCACACTTGCAGGTGATGTTAATAACGCTGCTCCAGTATTTGCTGGGGCCGTGGTCTCGGTAAGGGCTACTTCCTGGTTTTGGTTTTGTTTGAATCTGGAGAGCAGCGTGGAAGTCGTAGAATTGATGCGTCGATTGAGTAAAGTGTAGAACTGTCCCTCCAGGAAGTGTTTCGGGAAGACGTTGGACAAGCTCGGACTGCGCGCTTGGCAGGTATTCCAGAGAAACTCGAACTCTTGGTCTTGGACTAAGCCGTTCTTATCAAATGTAAAAATGTCTGGGTCTGGGACAAAGCAACCTGTCATGCTAAATCTGAAACATGTAGAAAACTGTGTTGCGTGATTACCAAAAGCTGTCCACATTTGACCTAATGATCGAGAGGCAGTTTCTTATGCAGGAAAGGCATGATAGAACACTCACAGAGCCTGTCATGCTATGTCCTACATACCAGACCTCATGGGTCATGGAAAACCTGCATGACAAGTCTGGCACTCTGCCAGACCCAGACATTTTTACATTTGATAGTTCTTGTGAGTGTACCACAGCATGTCCATCGAATCTTTCTGTGCATCGTCGTCGGTGCAGGGATCGCCCACCGCAACACCCTTCAAAGGGATCAGAACATCTTCACTTTCACTTGTTCTGCCAGCGTCTTCAGAGTTGGGCAGGTGTTTTCTACTCCTGTCGTCTTTGAACGCCTTTGCATTCCCGTCCAGAATCGCTTTCGCCAAGGTTGGAATGTAGACCCCGGCATACGATTCCCCGGTGATGTAGAAATCGTTCCCCGCTAGTGCCGGAAACTTGTTTTTGAAGAAGTCCACGAGCGCGGCGTGGCTCGCGGTGGCGCACTGCTTGTCGGAGTTGTGGCAGGACTGGTTTTTGGCCTTCTGTACCTCACAATAACTGAACCCAACGCCAACTGGCTGCTCTAGGGCCAGCACGTGCGCGTGCTTGGTCCAGGAGTAGGGATTCTTCGCCAATTTGCCGTCCTTGTTCAGGAGCAAGGGCCCGTTCTCTTCGAGGAAACCGATCAACGAACTGGATCCCGGGCCGCCGTTCAGCCACAAGACGACAGGAATTTTACCGTTTTTGTTTTGCCGCGCAGCGAGACCGAGAGCGACTCCGGCGCCGGCCTCTGTAGTTTGCTGCTCCTCCGCCAGAGACACACCAACATCCTGATACTTTTCCGACAGGGCGAGCCAGTAATGTAAGCGACAATATCTTCCGTTTTTCTCCGTGTCGCACCCCTTCGTCGCGTCGAGGAAGCCGGAGTACTGCTTGGTTGGTGGCGGACCGTAATTCGGCAACGAGGACACCTCGTCGGGGTGGTTCGTTGGGATAGTTCCTGAAGTTGCTGGAGGGCGTACGGTGCGACTAGTCGCTGGAGATGGTGGCGCGGACACTGTAGAACTGTCGGCATGTACTGCACACGCACAGAGAAGCAGCGACGTTTTCTTCATTCTTTATCAAAGTTTAATGTTGTCAAGACACGATTCGGATTTCAACTCAGAACGCTGGGCTTGGGAAGATAAGATATGGACGGGAAACGAAGAAGCGCCGACCTGTTGGGGAAGTGCGCCAGGCGTCACTGCAAACAATGATTGTCCGAGGTGATTCACATTCACTTACTACGTATCTATTAGTTCGATATTTATCGCTCAACAAGGTGCAGGAAGACGGAGGATTTGGCTCTGCATCTGCTCGATAAGCGCAGCAAGTGCTCGTAAAGAAAAAAATAGCAGCTGTGTTCGTTTTTCGTCATACACCCGTTCTGCAGTGCAACACTCTTAAAAAGAAACCACACCCGAACAATCAGAGGCAAGGGCAGACGAAATTTGAGTTCCGCCCATCGAGCAACCGCACATCTGGATCAATGGCAGAGCGTTTCATCATATGTTTATTGTGTGTTCCAAACATGTGAGGTGGTGTACAGATCATGACAAAGAACAAGTATATATAAGATTAAGATCTAGATCATGGATTCGTCTACTTATGTAGAGGCGTTGCATGCATGTTGTTGGGCTTGTGACTCCTGTTCCACATAGCAGCAGCACCAAGAAACAATCGAAATCGATCAATCAGAAATAGAGTCCTGCCAGCTCGTTCTGGTTCTGCGCGAGAACTACTATCTACAGTATTAAGACGAATATGACCTGTGCTTCAGCTGTAACTACTAGAGCGCCAACTCCGTAACAAGGGCATCGCGCCACTTCGCTACCGCCTTTACGAACTCGCGGTCTGTAAATTTCCGCATTCGTCTAGTTTTCGCTTCGATCGGACTCCCGCTGCCGTTTCCGTCCCGGGCGCTGGCCATATCGCTGCGCGTCAACTTTTGCAATTGCACAAACAGGTCGGCACTGCTGGAAAACCGGAAGAGGTGCGGGTCGCGGCTGTAGTCCGAAAACAACACGCTCCAGTATTCAGCGTCATTTCTGAAAAACTTGGCAGCGGCCTCCTCTGTCTGCGTCATGTCCCCCCAGTGGAAAAAGGGCGACGTGTTTGGGGGGTACAGGTGGGTACCGTTCAGGGTCTTCTCGTCGATGAAGTGCCGTCGCTTGTGCAAACTGTGAATGCCACGGAAGAGGAAGAAGCGAAGGTGTTCGCGAACGGGGACAAAGATCGGGATGCCCATGCTGTAGAGCTCGTAGTACATCATGAGCGCGACGTCGTAAGGGTAAAACACCACTGCGAAAAACTTCCGCGCCATCTCCTCGTACGAGAGGCGGGGCCGCTGGTTCCGGACGTCGCTAAAAATAAGCTTCACGCTTGGTATGTCTGGGAGCCGTCCGGCGCCGTCTCCTGCGGAGGAAGAAGAAGACCACTTGCAGGTTTTTTTTTCGTTCGCCCTCTTTATCGGTACCTCAGGGAGCACTGAACCTAGTGCATTGTCCTCGAAAGGGGATTCTTGATCTTGTTTGGTACTACTTGAAATCGACGTCCTTTGTGTAGTTGACGTCGTAGTTTTTTCGTCGCGCGAGTCAGCAGGAACAGAAGTATCAGGTGAACTTGTAACTGTATCCTCCGTGTAGTACGTGAGCTGATTCAGCAAGCTGGCGGTATCCACGCAACTAAAGGGGCCCTTGTTGAGCAGAATGTGCACCTGGAGCACCTCTTTTTCCGGTGTGATCTCTTCGCCATCGGGCCCCCACTCGCACTTCTTTTCCCGAAGATTATCGACTGGTAGATGATGTTGTTGTCCTAGTAAACTACCTGCACGAGCTACTAGCTGCTCGAAAACAGATCGGCTGGCTGGTGCCACCACGGCCCGCAGGCGACTTTTCACCTCGTTGAGCGGGTTGGACCACACGGCACCAGTGTGCTTCCCGAAAGCCCGGATATGGATGTGTCAGAGTTGAAATCGTCAAAGTTGAAATAATTTGTCATCGTATAAAATGCAATACACAAAGTCGTGACTCTATTGCAGAGGACGCACGGGAGGCAGATTATAGTCCTGGTAAGGGTCAAAAGTTGGACTGCTGACTAGCATGACAGAAGGCAGCTCTTTTGCCCTAAACCGCAATACAGACTCGCTTGCAGGACCGGGAAAATTTGTCATGCACCGACTACAAACTGCAGGTCTAACTGGCATCCATTTTATGCATGACAAATTATTTCAACTTTGTCGATTTCAAACCTGACACTCCCATACCGGATGATGGGCATGTAGAGCCCGGTTTGGTACCGGATCATGTGTGCCTTGTAGGGGTTGTAGGCCGCGACGAACGTGTATGGCGTTCTCAAACGTTACATTCTCAACTGTGTAATGCAAGAATGGCAAAAGTGAAAGGGAAAACGTTGCGCCTTTTGCATTACAGGTTTGGAGCAGATTATAATGCTATCTAGCGCGTCGAGAAGTTGTCATTCGGAGAAGGCTTGATCGTGTTGAGAGTGATAGTGTTTTTGCATGACAAATTCATGTAACAGTTGAGAATGTAACGTTTGAGAACGCCATAACGTGCGCGGCCGCTGCAGCGTCATCTCGCGAAACTTCCGGAACCACCACTCTCGCTCGCGCTTCCCCGTGATACCGGAAAGCAGGGGCTCGCCGATGTAAGCGATGATGGCCAGTTGCTCGTCGTGCGCGAACACGGAGCAGAGGATCGCGGGACTGGAGCAAATGAGAAGGTCGAACTTTTTCTCCTTCTTCTCCATCTGGTACTGCTCCCAGTGCGCCGCGGCCCGCTCGGCGAACTCGAAGAACTCCTCGATCCGCAGCTCGCCCACCACTTCCATGAAGCGCCGCGTGGGGCGGTACCCTGGCTCTCCGATCTGTGCGTGATCCTCGGCGCTAACCTCGCCCATCAGGGCGGCAATACCGACCGCATCTTTAGTGTTGGAGGAGCACGCGTCGCCGCCGCTGGTTTTACCCTTGCCGCAGTGTGCCGGGTCGTAGATTTCGTACACCGTTTCGACCGCTTTGTACTGGAGAAGATCCAGCGCTACGTGGTTCTCCAGCATGTACGACGCCTCTTGTGCCAAGGAAAAGTGCATTCCCACGTTGCAAACACGGAGGGTGTGCTGTTGGCGCTGTTCAAGCGTCAGTCCCTGCGGGGGCACGAAGTGGCTGTGTGCAAAAATCTCTTTCACCGAGAGGCCGCGGAGATTTGCTGCGCTCAGCAGGCCGGGAGCCAGTAGTTTGGGCTGATTGTAGTCAAAGGCGGGCGTTTGCGTTTCCTTTTCTATCGCAGATTTGTGCGGCTGGAAGAGAGTTACTGGACGCAATGCATTGGAGGCTTCATCTTCGGATGCGAGCGCGAAAGCACTACTGGCCGCATTTTCCGCGTCGATCGGTGCAGGAGGGGATTCCTTACCTTCGGCTGCACGTGGAACCGCGCGAAAAGAACGGCTGTGTTGAAACAATTCGCTCTCGAGTCTGTCCATCATATCGTAGACCGTCCGGTCATTTATTGAGGAAATGCGTTCGCGTTCAAAAATGGTTCGAATTTCATGATCATGCTGCTCGTCCGCATTTCTATTGCTACTACTTTCATCGGAGGGAGGGGAGCTATCACGGGCCGCGTTGTGGTCTCGGCCTCGGCCGTGCAGCAGCAGCACGTCGTAGAAGAGTTGCAATTCTTGGTCGAGAGTCCCTTCCTTTTCCATGTCCTCATCTGTTGCAGCATTGGCTGCAGTAATGACTTCCCCGTTGACAATAAAAGCAGGAGGATCGTCTTCTGATGAAAAGGTTGTCGTAGCTGCTTCCATTGTGTTCGAAGCTGATGCTCTTTCTGTTGTACTTTCAGTGTCTGTGTCTTGATTGTCTTCTACTTCTTTTGTTTTTGCGTCTCTAACAGCTTCACTCTCGTCGGTGCTGGTACTAGTACTGGTAGCCGTGGGCGAGGAGGGGTCTTTCTTTTCTACTGCTGAGGTAGACGACGTCCCGTTAAAGACCTGTTGCCAGACACTTAACGTTTCCTCCTCCTCAACTAGCAGGTCTGCGACGGCCGAGAGGTCAGAGGCAGCGAGCCCCCACCTGCTCGGGCTGATAACATCGAAGCAGGTATCGCGCTCCTTCGAGAGGAGATGGAGTAGGTTTGCCCTACAGACCCGGCGGATGGCATCGGGCTTTGCGAACTTCACACAGGAAAACCGAAGCTGGAAGTCGGGCAAAAACTTGTCCTGAAGCGCTGAAAGCACTTTGTCGGCCGACCAGGAGGGTGCGGCGGTATCATTTTGTTGATCAATTTCGTGTTTCCCGTTTTCCTCAAGTGCTGGCGTCTGGGTGGAGTGGTTCGAATTCGTGGCGGCACGACTTCTGGCTCTCGTGAAGTAGAAGTCTGTGTCTTCCGCACTGCCGCTTGTAGTGCTTAATATTCCCATTAACGACCGCGCGATCCGATGTGATCTGGAGCGTCGCCGGGGTATTATCGCCCTGGCTATCCGTTTCCGATCTTCCTCAGGTGTGGCTGAACTCTCGAAGTGGTTGTCATCCAGCACATACCGCTCGAGCGCAGTTCTACTGTCGAAAATAGTTGTTGCACTCAGTGTCTGACCTGCTTGATTTCGATTTCCTCTTTCGCCTACTGGCGGGACAGAAACTGGCATCACGCCTGTGACTTGGGCCATCACTGCCACTTCACCGTAAGGTTTCTTCTCTGTCCCGCTGTCTTGATCCTCGTCGCCTTTTGAGTTTGTCTGGGTATAGTCGCGACGAGCAAATTTGGCGAGCAAGTCCATTTTTTTCTGCACGTGGTCGGCCCACAACACGATGACGGTGGTGGCAAGAATGCCGTGGGTACAAAAAACCGCGTGTTGTGGGAATCGCGCGCCGAGGCTCGCAGCCTTTTCCAGAATCGCGCGGTCTGAATTGCGTCCTTTCCAAAAGTGCACCACGGCATTGGTCCACATGCTGGAAGCCTCAGCGCAAAGACCCTGCTGCAGCGGGGCAGTCCCCTCGGACCGAAGCATCTGTTGCAGCACCTGAAAGCCGCGCGGGTCCGCACTGCAAGTGAGATAAGGCGCGGCATCGTCGATGTCGCGGTAGGCTCTCTCGTTTCGTGTATACAGACGAAAGACACGACCTGGGTCAACAATACAACTGTGGCTCAAGGAAATTATATGAGTTAGCTAGATTCTCGCAGGCCCATGCCTTAATTATGCGTTGGTCAAGAACAACGCAGACCAGGACGCAGAAATAGAAGTTCCCACTTCGAAGCAAGTGAACCCTGCCTACATTTCTTTTATTGCTCTCGCACATTTCGAGTTGAGCTGCGCTTGCATGAATAGCATCAACCCGTTAAAAGTTCAACTTGTATCAAAATCGGGGATACCTGCCCATAACAACAGATTGACTTTGACACTACTGTTTGTAGTTGGCCGTTGCAGCTGTGCGCGTTCTTTAGCTTATATTACTTGTCGTGAGCAGAAAAAGAAATTCAAATTTTGACTACACTGACCATCTGGCTTCGACCCAGGTGGATTTATTCAGCAGAATAAAGCTGGTAGCTCTCATGCGGATTGGTCTCCTGTGCGACGACGACGGGAAGATGGATCGTGACGTCCGGGAGGGGTCCTTGCAGCTGTTTTTGTGACGTGAAGAAGAGCAACACCAAAGACAAACGAGAGGGGCGAGACACAAACCTCACGAAACTCATGTTCGGAATAAATTCGCTTGTTACAAGGCTTAGAAAATGATATATTATAACATACAATTTTCTGCACTGCTTGTCGTTTTGTTTTTTCCATGAAACAAATCAAACGCTGCTGATTAACTTGTTGCCAGTACAGAAGCAGTATGACTTTGCAGTTGCACGTGCATTCAAGACATTGACATAAGTATCAACATGAGCGATTATCAAGGTCACTTGACAGCGACTGTAACCCATACTCACTACGTGCAAAAATCTGGGTTGTAGCAGCGTTGGAGGTATACAACTCAGTAAGTAATGAAAATGATTTTTGTGGTAGGTACAATAATACGATGCATTTTTCAGTCATGACACGCGAGTAGCAGCCACTATTCTCAAACAAGAAGATAGGCAGGTAGTTCACATTCACGAGCAGGAGAGGTGAAAGCTCATAATGCGAAGTAAGTAGTTGCAGTGCAGTGGAGGTAGTGACGCCCAGATGATGGTATGCACAACAAAAGAGAACAGGACAGCAGATAATGTTAGCAGATCGAAAAAATCCGCAAAGAGCACGAAAAAGATCATTGCATGCCGAGCGTGCAGCTCGGGTCCAAGCTTCGAAGCCCCTCCAGTTTTACGGATGTTGAACACCATGCAACGTAGACTGACCCAGAGTTCGCGTGTATGCTCGTCTTGTGTCTGTAGCACAGCAGTCACATAAAACATGTGGGTACGAATAATGAGTGCACACATTCAGGTGAAGTGCTCAATTCATAAGGTCTTTTACTGACTTTCTAGCTTTGAGTGGCGTGCACCACCAACAGCAACACTGTCCATGATCACTATCGCGGAAATGAAGGTACTGACAACGTTTCGAAAAAGTTGAAAAACAACGTCAACGCCGCCTCGGTCTTGTTCCCTGTCATGTCAGTCTGAAAGTGAGGGCAGCACTGTGCAGGCTCCTGGTCCTGCCCTAATTGTACACGAAGAATGATTATGATGTGTGGACCTACTGCAATTTTGTTTTTGACTAAAGTGATAAGACATAGACGTAGGTAATACGGACGTGAAGGACAGGCCGCATGCGGGGTTTATCGTGACGTGCTAAAGTGGAGTAAATATGCGTGCGCGCATGCACCACTGCGAAGGCAAACGAAGAAGAGGGGCAAACTGCATAAAGAATCACGCACGCTGTCGTCCGTCGTGGAGCTGGCGTGTCATTGATCTGATTCTCTAGCGATCGGCTTCCTCGGATATCTTCACTACTACTCGCATCAATGGATATTCCCACATCGGTAGATGTTCATGTTGTTCGAGTTGTTCCCCTTGCAAAACTAACAGCGGCCGCCCTTCAACTTCTTCTAGTAGTTCTTTATGTTCTTCTTGGGTAGATGGAAATGTGTAGAAATACCTGCGACTCATGTTCATGATATGTTACTCCTGTCCTCGATGTACCTGAACTAGAACTACGCCCACATTTCGCGGTCTTTGACAGCACGACCACGCTACAACAACACACAGGTAGTAGTTCCGTGGTCTGTTGCAAGGCGAGAGCAAAAGCTGCAAGCAAGCTAGCACTCACTGCCATGCTCTTGACACGTTCACGCTCGGGCTCGAGAAAAAAAAAAGAATGTTGAATAAGTTCGTGGAGCGAATAAAGATGCGGTACAGGGTGGAGCTAGCATCATACAGGACCGCTTCACTGAGCTTTTCGGATAAAGCTTTTACAACAGTAAAGTACTTTACTGTCTGGTGTGATTGCTGCTCCTGCGAAAATTGTTTGCGTGATTGCGATTGGCGCCAAATTGGCTGTGTCCCCTTGTGTGGACTCGACAAGCAGCGTCTAGATAAACAGAGCAGAAAACAGTTATTTCTATTTCAACGTCCATCCTCACAACTCATCATTGCAATGGTTTTCATTTACGCGTAGGTACGTTCCTTTTCTACGGTAAAATGTTGATTTAGAAGTTGGGAAAATTTATGCTCAGGCTGCACTTCTTGTCCACTTGATCTCGTCTCCCGGAGGATGATCCTAAAGCTGTATTGTAGGTGATAGTGCTGTTTCGTACTTAAAGTTAATCTTCAAAGACTACGCGTACGCACAATATACGGCCAAAGAAACTCACGACTGGGACTGCCGGCGAGCGGGAGCTAGAGCACATATTTCGCTACGTCTGCTATGTCTTTGATTTCCTGGCCTTTGTACCAAAATGGCAGTTCTAGTCCTGCTGCTGGCGGCGGAGGCGGCTGCTGTAAGTAGCACTTAACTTCGTCGCTCGCGGGTACTCCAGGTCCGGCAACCAGTCCAGGTGGGACATCTGGCGCACGTGCGACGTCTGGCCGTGTTTCACCGGCTGCTACCCGCCGCACCGCTGGATCAGAAGACCGTGGCGGCGCAACCTTTTTCTTCCCGGTATTGCGTCGATCGTCCGGAGCAGCACTGCTCGCTTCTCTATTTCTTGCGCTACTTCTCGCGCAACGTTGATGGTGGGGCGCGCTCGTGTCGATCTCGTTGATGCGCGGAACTGTATGGAAGTGTGAGGTTCGAAATTGACAAAGTTGTCATGCACAAAATACAGAGCACAAAGTGGAAGTGCCTGCATCGGCGGGGAGCAGCAGCAGGCAAAGGAGGCCCAATATTAGAATTAGCCTTTTTGGGGTTCTTGGCGGGAATAGATATAAAGTCGCAGGTAGGAGTAGGGCTGCGAAGGAGCATGACATTTATTTTTGATTACAGTCCCACTCCTTCTTCTGCAAGCCCCCTGCATGAGAAACTGGCCCCCTGGCCAGGAAGGTATCTGGGTCATCGGGGGCTTCCGGATTCGCATTCAAAGCTTATCGCAGGAGCCTGCGGGCCGCCGCGGGCTCCACCACTTCCCCGCGGCCCTAAAGGGCCGCGGACAACTACTGTCGCCCGCGGCGGCCCGCAGGCTCCTGCGATAAGCATTGAAGGCGAAATCCGGTCTGCTATTTCGCAGCGGGGCATCCTCTCTAGCCCCCTGCGTGACAAACTGGCCGCCTGGCCAGGAAGGTATGCGGAAAGCCGAAAACCCGCGAACCCTTCCGGGCAACCAAAATCGGCCATTTCAGACGCGGCGGAGGTCCCGAATTGGTGCTCACAACCCCGGCCAAATCGGGATTTTGGGACATGCCTCCGCGCGCTTGTAGTGCGTTTTTTTTTTCCCAATCGCGATGGTACGGCGCAAGCGCGCGCCCGCCGGACCGCCCTTGGCGGCCAGTTTGTAAGCCTGCCGAGGGTTCTCGATTTTTTTCAATTTTCGCTCTTTTTTCTGGTTCTTAGGTGGCCGAAGGGCTCTGGACATTTTCACCGCCCGCAGATGACTGGCAGTTTTGAAGCCTGCGGAGGGATTGCGCTTTTGCGCAATTTTTCATCTTTTTTCATTTTCCAAGTGGCCCGGGCGACCTGCACATTTTTACCGCCCGCATCTGACTGGCAGTTTTCAAGCCTGCGGAGGGATTGCGCTTTTGCGCAATTTCTCATCTTTTCTCATTTTCCAAGTGGCCCCAGCGACCTGCACATTTTTACCGCCCGCATCTGACTGGCAGCTTTGAAGCCTGCGGAAGGATTGCGCTTTTGCGCAATTTCTCATCTTTTTTCATTTTCCAAGTGGCCCGGGTGATCTGCACAAAATCCGACGATTGCTTCCCCCCACGTTATAAAGCAATTTTTCGCCATTTTTTTCCAACTTTTCCCAGTTACGAAGCGGCCCAAGGCTTCCGAACAGGTCGCGGGCCTGCTGCTCCAACGCAGCTGGCCAGCGGGCGGAGCAAAAAATAGTCCGCCTCTTTTTCAGATACTAAGTGGGCCAGACCGCAAAAATGCTCTTTTTTCACCTTCTCCCGCTTGGTTTCTGCCGTTTTTGCGTCATTTTTGACCTCCTGGCCATTTTCCCATCTGGTCCGCTTTTTTTCCCTTCTCCCGCTTCATTTCTGGCCATTTCCCTGACCTTCACGCCTCCCGGCGGTTGCCCTATATGGTAACGGCAACTGCCTTCGCGCTGCGTTTGCTAAGCAATATCGCAAGCGCGCAGAGCGCGCGCGCCGGCTTCGTGGGCCGGCGCGCGCTCTGCGCGCGCGCGCGCACGCATTTGGTTACCAGATAAAGTCGCAGGTAGGAGTAGGGCTGCGAAGGAGCATGACAAAAGCAGCCTCCTCAGCCATCACTTTCCGGCCGGGCAGGCTTCCCGGTCGAGCAAAAGTGATGGCCAGGAGTTCCATGGCCATCGCTTTTCGCTCGGGCAAAAGCAATGGCCAAGAAGAGCTTCTTGGCCGTCGCTTATTTGCTTTTGGCCATCACTTCCATCCCGGCCGGGAAAAAGTGACGGCAGAGAGCCCCTTGGCCATCGCTTTCCGGTCGGGCAAAAGCGATGGCCCGGAGCTCCTTGGCCATCACACACTTCTCGCTCGGGCAAAAATGATGGCCGCGAGCTCCTTGGCCATCAGTTTTCGCCCGGGCGAGCAAAGCGATGGCCAAGAGCGCCCTGGATGGCCATCACTTTTCTTTGGTGGCCGGGCAAAGGTGATGGCCGAGAGCTCGCTGGCCATCATTTTAATTCCGCCCGCAGGGCAAAGGGGATGGCCAAGAGCTTCGTGGGCATCGTTTTTCGCTCGGGCAAAAGTGATGGCCCGGAACTCCTTGGCTATCACTTTTGGCTGTCACTTTCCGGGCGGCCAAAAGTGAAGCCAGCCGGCCGCCAAAGCCTCCCCAAAATAACCCTTGCGGCTGGCCCCCTTTGCTTTGCTTGCCAGGCGCGCAAAAGGGGCTGACGCCGGGCCGGCGTCCTGGACGCCGGACCGCAAAAGCGCTAAAGCGGCGAGGCCGCTAGGGCAAGCGCAGGCCGGCCCAGGCGCATCAATCTCCCTCGAGGCAGCCCATGCACAAAGCAAAGCCGCACCAGTCCCGCGGGGGGGCGCGCCGGAAGGTCGTGTGTGGGTCCGTGTAATCTGTCCTCGCTATGCTTTTGCTTTCTCTTGCGGCACCGCCTCCCCCTTCTTCTGAGGCGAATACTGGTGCCTTTTGTGCCTATCTCTGTCTGTGCCATGCCTCCACCTTCTAACCAAGCATGAGCGTTTGCGCTCCATGTGTAGAATTATTTTTCAAGCTACTAGCCCCAGCCGGCGTCCTGGACGCCGGCGTCTAAGGGGCTAGTAGATATAAAGTCGCAGGTAGGAGTAGGGCTGCGAAGGAGCATGACAAAAGCAGCCTTGAGCTTGACCTTGAGCTTGACCTTCCAAGGCCTGCTGAGAAAATAAAGGCATCACTTCCCAAAGCATTACCCGGCAAGCACCCGCTTGCACCTAGTTCGGCCGGGGGGACTAAAAACCGGACCGCAGTCGCTGCGAAGCGGCAACAGGTGGGTCGCCACGTAAAAGAAAGGCCAACATGCGCTGCAGACACAAAGCGCAAGACCGTCGACGGCCCGGAGGGCCGGCGACGAGAAATTTTCGCCCATGCCAGCTACTCGACCGGCAAGCGCAAAAACACAACCGGCCGAACGGGCATGGGGAGAGTCCCGAGGGCGAAAACACCGCGCCCGCGACGAGGAAAGCGCTATCTTTCTCACTTTAGCACCGATCTCGTCAATTTGTGACGGCGATCAGAGTTCGGTCAGATTTAGGTCAGAAATCCAGAATGTAATATAGGGACAGGATTTCTGACCCAAATCAGACCTAATTCTGACCTCCGTCACAAATTCTGAACAGAGGCCATGATCTTCGTCACAAATCGGATCAGGCCCACTGATCTTCGTCACAAATTGTTGATCTCCGTCACAAATTGTTGATCTTCGTCACAAATGGTTGATCTTCGTCACAAATGGATGATCTCCATTTCAAATGGCTGATCGCCATTTCAAATGGGTGATCTCCATTTCGAAAGGCTGAAAGCCATTCAAAGTTGACGACTTCCATCCCAAATCATCCCACATCAGGCTACTGCCACATTTGCCATCCCCAGACCACCACGTAGGCCTCGACCTTGCTTCGGCGCCTAGCCAAAGCTGAAGTCTATGGCGCCCGCACCAGGGTAGTGCGCTGCTCCATGTACCCACGTAGGGCGTAGTCAACGCATTACCGCGGTGAGGCTGTGACGCGGAAGAGAATGACCCGAAGGCACTGCTGAGATAGCTCCTGCGACGCCACCGAGTGCATCTGAAGAGCGCCCCACTTTCAAAAACCCTGTCCGTCACAAATCCGTCAACATTTGGTCAACTTTCTATTCTGCGCCGGGTGGTACAGCGTTAAAGGAGTAGGGCTGCGAAGGAGCATGACAAAAGCAGCCCTCCTTGCCCCAAACAGCACGACACCCTGGATCTGCGTGCTCCCAAAATCCGTCATGCGAAACTGTGGCTCCAACTGGTAGTTGTTGTATCGATTTTATACATTGCAAGTCGTTTCAACTTTATCGATTTCGAATCTGGCACTCCCATAAACTGATCCGTTGTAGTTAAACCAGTTGTGAACGAGGACAGCGAAGTGGGATAGATTTTGACTTGGCTTTCTCGGAAATCTTCCAATTGGTTTTGACTTTGACGTTTCCGCTGTCACGAATGTGCTCACGATCTCTTCCAATTGCTTTCCCTTCTGCCCGAACAGAATGTTGTGGACCTTCTTCCACTGCGTCGACGAATGAAAGAGTGCCTTGGCGTCTTATCAAATGTAAAAGTGTCTGGGTCTGGAAGAGTCATGCTGTTTTTGCATGACACAGAAGGTCTGGCATGGAAGCTCTAGCATCACAGGTTCCGAGAAGCCTCCGCAATGCCGAATCCGCATGACAAGCCCCCATTTTGGTGACAGAAAGTGAGCAGCCTTGTTGCCTATGCATCAGAGATTTTTGTGTGTTCTGAAATGCGCATCACAAGTTACATCCTTCCAGACCCAGACACTTTTACATTTGATACGTCCGGCGTCGGAAACATAATCAGAGCAACGGCTATGAACTGCAGATCTGCCTGAGTTTCTCTGAAGGAATAAAAGCAAAGCTCTCGTCAGCGTCATGTTGAATTGTGCACGATCAAGACGGCGCTTCCTGTTCCACATGATGACTGCATTTTCATCGCACGAAGAAAAAACGCTGCGCATTTCTTGGTCAAGTAAAACAGATTTTTGTGGAGTAATTATGCAAGGGAAGCACTGCAAGTCCTACAGGAGTCTCGCTCCAGTTCATTACTTACCCAGACATGTTTGCAATGCATAGCGGCGACCGGGCCGCGAATATTCCACGAGGACCGATGTCGTGAGCGCTCGTTGGCAGCCTGAATATTGCCCAGAAGTCTTTCCAACATTCCGCGAATTTGAATTTCGTCTTCAACTGCGAGAGGGTTTCTCTCGATGCCTTGACTTGCTCTGAAGGCGTCTCTCTCTGATATTAGTTCGGGAAGAAAAGCCAACATATCCAGTGCAAAAGTATCGTACTCGTACTTTACTAATTGCAGTCATCATGCATGACAGATCTACTTTCTAAGGGAAAACAGCATCACAAATTGCATTTTTGTTCTTGAGCAAATTTGTCATGCAGTTTATACTAGTACGATACTTTTGCAATGCATAACACACGTTTTGCAGCAACTCCACCGACATGCCAACCAGGACCTCCGGCTTCAATTCGGGACCCGCATGCTTGGGAGCCGCATACTCGCGAAGCAGTGCGCGCAAGTAAGAAGCTTGCTTCTGACGCTTGTTTAGTCGATGCATAGCCTTTTCGTTGCGCAGGATACTACTAGAAAGAAATCCCGCCACGTGCTGACCATTTTGATTCAACTCTTCCAGCAGATTTTTTTGGAAAAGTTGAGTTGCCGTCTTCGCGGCAGGGCCCCACGGTTCCTCTGATAGCGTAAGGTGACTGAGAAAGAGCATGCGATCCTGATCGGGGTCCGCCAGGAAGTTGTTCAGAAACACATCGCGCCAGGCCCTGGATGGGTCACTCTCAATGCTTGTGCGCAAGACATCGTGTGACGCCAACGTACGTATTTGCTGTGCATCTTCAGCAAGATCCTCCATGCTTGTGGTTCTGGTCTCCGACGGCGAAGACATGCAAGCGGCTCCAGAGTGTTGCTCCACAGTGGTCCCTGGAGGTGAAGGCGAAGGCGAATGATGAGCCGCTCCAGAATGCTGCCCTGGAGGCGGTGACGCACTGGTAGCGGAGCGCAAAGAACTACGAGTCCACATACCCGACGCGGGAGCAGGAGAACTAGATGACCAAGATGACCAAGGAGGCAAGGTTGTGCGGGAGGTCCTAGTACTTTCACTCGGCTCCAAGAACGCGAAGGGAGGCTCAATCGCCCACTTCGGTGTGGGTGCCAGGATGGGTACTAGCGCGTCCAGACTTGGATCAGGATTTTCAGAAGTTGCGCCATGATCTTCATCAATCTTCTCTGGAGATGAAGCCCTCGGAGTTGCATACATCGACGCCAAATCGTCCATCAACGTCTGCTGATCTTCCGTACGAATGATGGGGAGTTGACTTGCAAACGCCAGGAAAAACTTGACGAAGTGGGCAATTCTGCGATTTTCGAGATTCAGAACATCTTCATCGTTTCCCATCGCCGCCTTCACAGCGGTGCTCCATTTCCAGTCTAGCTCTTTGGTCGCGTCCGCAAGATCCGCTTCGTACCGCTGTATCTCTTCCCAGCGCGCTCTCAAAGCACGATCCTGCGCTTCTGGTGCTCCGTCTGCGATTTCCACCTCTTGCAGGAGCTGCGATTCCTCTATATCCTTGAACAACGTCCTCGGGTTCGCAAGAAAAAGGTATTCCGGGACCATGGAGCGAAGCATGTGTGCGTGCTTTTTTTCCAGGCGAAAGTATTCGGCATTCTGTACCAACGCGGATTCCCAGCGAAAGAGCAGCTTCCGAAAGGGGCGATAGAACTGCGTATAGACAGAATTCCAGTCCGCGGCGTCAAAGTGCACCCGGTACCGCTCGCGAGTCGGTCCCAGTCGGGGTCTAGCAGGATCGAGACGTATGTATTCGGGTCCAGTGACATCTTTAATTTCGACAGCGGGAAGCGCCAGTTCGAAAGCTTTTCGTACGAATGCAGAGCTATTCCCTCGCGAGGACTTCTGCTCCAACAAGTCCACAACAAGGGACTGGGATACTGAAACACAATCCGGCAGAGATCCTACGGCGGTCCTGAGCGACGACCCTACGGCCGTCTGTCGATCTACTGGATTCGCTCTCGGCGGGACAACGAACTTTGAAAAATACTCCATCGCTTTGCCCCACATTTCTTTCCTCGCAGTGCCAAGCGCGTCTCCCTGTAGGCATCCCTGATAAGTGCGGAGGTCGCCTCTGTTTCGCAGTATGCTTTTCTGTGCCGCGAGCATTTGAATACTAAACGTTTGTGCTCGCAACTGCGCCAAATCTTTTTCGCTTAGATGAGCGAGTTGCTCGCCGTCGTTGCTGCACATCTTGCCAGCGGCAGCCGTGTCTTGCTTTCCATCTTGCTCGTTTTGTTCCCCGCTTCTACGGCCCGTCACAGTCGCAGTCGCTCGAGTGCTGCTTTGCTGCCCGGCAGGTAAGCCAAACAACCGAGGACTGGGGCTGCGACACGTCGTCCGTGCACTTGCCGCGCGTTTTTCTGCAGTCGCAGTTCGCTGCTCATCCGCCGATGCGGACGCGTCGAGTGTAGTTGCTTTCACGCCTTTATTTTTATTGACTTTGCGACCGCCGCGACGTTTGTGTTGTTTGCGTTTTTGTCCTGTTTCTTGCGGTTCAGGGTCACCGGCTTCGGCAGGCACGGAAAACCCTTCGTCCGTGCTTTCGGTAATATGCGGTGCTGCGGCAAAAGCGCCAAAGGCTACATGGTCGACGAGTGCAAGCCTAGTGGAGATGAGCAAGACTAAGCTGACAAGCCCAGCGCCGACTTTCCGAGCTGACGGAAATTGTGTCAGAGCAGTCATCTTAAAGATCCTGCTGGTAGTAGTTGTGTCCTTTCTTATCGCGAAGGCGGCAAACTAGACCACACTCCCTTCTCAATACTTCCTTCGTGACGAAAATTTAAATAAGGTAAGATTGCGAGACTTCCACCTTGCTTAAGTTCCTAGAAAACTTCTTTGATAGTGTTGAAGAAAAAGAAATACAAGAACAATACAATTACTTGCGAAATCTCTATGTTTGTGTTTCGTTTGTGCGTCTGGCGCTTAATTTAATTATGTTGATACGACATTTACTTTTACGCTAGTTTTAATTCAAATTATCACTACTTAGTGCAATCTTTTATGAATTTTTACCTTCGATTTTCTGCGCATGCAGATGCAGTACTTGTGATACAGATATCTCGATCGGATACGATTTACGCACTACTTGCACTCGTTTTGCTTCTAGTATTAAGCCGTATGTGTAAGTTTGGTTACTTAAGTTTTTTTTGAACCGATGATGTTATCTTTAAATTCTAATATCCTACGGGATTTGAACCGTTGTTCCTCAGTAGGACCATCAACTGCACACACACTGTAATAGTATGGAAGAAGTTGAAATGCTGTTGGTGCTTTCTCATATTCCCTTGTGCGTCGTCAACAACATGTGTCTGCGTGTACTTATCGGTGTGTGAAAGTGGTCTAGCCGGTGTGCAAGTGCGTATGAGCCGGTTGATCCTCATTTCTTTGCGAATGATTCCGAAAACATTGACATTTAGATCATTTGTGAACTTCTTTCGAAGCATTTGCGACCCAGTTGATCCAGATCCTTCTTGACATTCATATCGTAGCTGATGCTGAATTTGCATGCTGGCATTTTTCCAAGAACCTGAGAAGTCCAATGCCGCGACGATCTGGCACGACCTTAGCATTGAGCGTTTTTTTGTACACTCGCGGAACAAACAAGCGTAGGAGGTGCGACCTTCTCGTATCTGTCCATGTCGCCGTACTGCTCTGCAGGGGCGATTTCATTGTTTTTGTCTTTCTGCACATTGCGAAAACAAAGTAAGGCGAGACAACGAAGACGTCCAGTTACAGAACAGTTTCTTCACTTCAAACCCTAAACCCATAACTCATCATACATGATCAGACTGCACTCAGTCCCATTCCAAAACGCGCAAACAGGAGGAAACGTCCCCTCTGCATGCGACTGACTTTCTTGGTAGCAGCGCCCTGGGTGTGTGTTCACAGCATTGCACTTTTTTGCAAATGTAGCTTCTTCCATCGCCACCACCTCACTCTCCCCATCATCATCTTGCTGCTCAAACTACGACTACTACTACTACTTTACTACAACTGTAACTGTTTCATCGCGTTCGTCGAATAAAGTCTTCCTTGCATTTGGACTTCGTCTTCGACTTGGGGCGTTGAAATTGGTGGGCAGCTTTCTGCCCCCCAATTTGGGCTCAAAACTGAAGCCACGCACTCGCAACTCCAGGATCGGCCAGAAAATGGTTTGTCGCGTTTCGCGTTTAGAATTAGAAGTCACTCTTTTTCAACAGACAGCAAAACCGGAAACCTGGAAAGCCTTCAAGTATTTGAAGAATACTTTGAGAGCCCTAACAACTATAAACTTGGAGATCGCTGGCGTGAATTCTCGTATGCGATGTAAAGCGTACTACTTCTACTATCCTTGTTCACCCGCAGGGGCTCTCAGTTCAGGTAATGAGCTGGGCGGTGGTCCAGGTCCCTGAGTGTCTGCCTTTTTGGGAGATAACACCCAGCACCGGCCCTTCTTCCATTCCCGAGTTCTCACAAAAATCAAGACCACCGACTTGCTGCTCAAAAAAAAATCCACATTATACATTCAAATTGAAATTCGTACTACTATCGCGGTGACAGTTGTTGCTTTCTCCTCGTCATTTGAATTTATTCGTGCATGCTGCAACGCGCTTATCAATGTCAGCGTTCAAATTGAAATTGTGTTCACATTTTGAAACGCCTCCTTAAGGATACCGATACGGATAGGACGGTTCCTCTGCATGTTGATGGCGATGGCTCTCTTACAACTCTTTAGAGTACTGCTTCTACGTCCAGCACCGCACCTTTGATATTCTGAAAGAAACATGTAAACGAAAGACCACAAAGAGCGGTAGAAAAAAAACGAAAATGAGTCTGCCGGTGGTCCACCAAGTTCATCTTGAATGCGTTCACTACCGATGTCTTCTTCAAGTACTTTTTCTTTTCACACGCCTCGGATGTTTCTTGAAATGTTTTCTATTTTTCCATTCCTGCTTGCGCGTACGTTTGCTTTTGCAATCGAGCGCACCACCAACGATTTCTCGCACCTCCCGCTTCGATTTCTCGTCCAAATCACCCTTGTAGATTTCCTCTAGCGCGGCGCGCACTTTCTGCAGATTTTCCCTGTCTTCGGGGCCGAGGGTAATCGAAGAAAACTTTTCGCGCAAGAGGTACCAGGGTAGCGCGCCAATGGCTTGCGGGTAAATGTGCTCCATCTTTCCTTCTGACTGCATCTGGGTGTTGTGCTCGTTCAATCTCTCGTTCGCTTTCCGCCACTCTTGCAGCATCCTCTCAGCATCAAGATCGCGCAGCAACCCGACTGCCGACCGCGCGTTGTAACTCGGGCCGGCTCGGCATCTCTGTTGCTCATTCCAAAGCGACGCATGTGGAATGCCCGGACCGGGTGGAAAGATTTCTGGAACTACAACGCTATCACTTGATAGGAGGCTAGCGTCGCGGTAACGCTCCGCCATTTTCTCTTGATTTGTGTGTCCCCAAAACATTAAGACAAAGTTTCCGTCAGGTGGCGTTACCGCCAGGTCGGCGCCCTCCTCGCGATGCAGTTTGTCGGCCAGACAGGCAGTAGGGATAATGTGCGGCGCACCACGGGCCAAAGGTCCGTGTTGCAAACTCGTCTCTATATTGCACGGAACTGGCGCCCCGGAAGCATCGCGCGCCGTAAAATTGTTTACACCCTTGTAGGTTTGCGCGTTCGCAATCACTAGCTGGCGCGCAACATTGCCCTCCTCGTTGCTTCGAGGTACCCACCACGAGACTACTTGACCCAAAGCCCCGCCTGCGGCACCGGTCCGGCCCCGGCGCTGGCCTGGAGATGAAATCCCCGCTGCATTGAACCACTGTGCATTCGCGGCGTAGTTGTTGTCCCTGTGGAAAAACGGCACCCTGAAACTTTTATCGAAAGGAGTAATCGAAACGTCCTCGCCATCCTCCCAGAGGACGTGGCTTAGTCTCGCTGGTGGCAGCGCGATCAGAAGGGGGGGCGCACTGCCACTGTGAAAGCTTTCTCCTTCTTCACTTCCGCGGCGATTATTCGCAGGCTGCCGTGCAGCAAGAGCGTCCGTGATCGAAGCTGCAATGTTCTGTGCGTGTGATGTGAGCCAGCCTTTTGCATACTTTCGAGCCGGTGGATTATTTTTTGGATAGCCAGCAGGTATGAAGTTGTCACCCTCCAGGTTGTCAGGCAGCTCTATGATGTCTCGGGAAAGTAACGCCCATCCCTGCGTAGAAAGGTTTCCAGCGACTTCTGCGATGTCAGAAGTCGCATTGTCCGCAGAAGACAACACCCGCGCACCGAAATCTTGCAAAGCCTTGTCGGCAACGAGCTTGGCGGCTTTGGTCGGCATCATATCGTTTTCTGTGTCTACCTTAGACGCGTACTGAAGGTCGTGGAGTCTTCCTTCGCTTTGTGTAGCGCCGTACGGACCCAGACCACCACCTATAAGTAATTGTATATTCCATTTTACGCTGCTCAACCAATTAACTTAACAAATATTGTTTACGACTTCTACAACTAGACCTGGTTCTACATACTAGCTGCTGCTGATGTGCATTGGATTTCTAGCACGAAATGAAAATGATTCGAGCTCCAGTAGCTGCTTCTATCAACTTGACATCTACCCAAGTAACACCCTCATCCTGAGATAATATTTCAGGATGACGGTGTTACTTCTGTGAAACATATTATTTGAGCAGATTCATATACCAGTAGGGCAGCTGTCCGTCAGTCTCAGCTGTGGGGGCTCGTCCTCCCTTAGACCAACATTAAGACGTTGTTGAACGGCTAGTTCTTGTAGCCCCGCGATGCCTGCGGCGACAACAAAAATGGCTGTCTGCTTGCCCAAACAACCGCTCGCTTCACGTTTCCCCGCAGGCCTTGACGGAGCCCGAAGTTGCGTTCGGAGAGCTGCGGTGAATTGGAACATTTCACAAAAACTGCCGACCGCAACGATAATGAACCAAAAGTAAATCGCACGCCAGCGGACTCCTTGTTGCGCACTCATTTTCATTTTATTCGTGCGCTGCCAACCTCAACTCTTTAAAATTGAATAGTTGCGCAGTAGTTTCTACTTGTTCTGCTTCTGACTTTTTAGGAATAGCAAACAAGACTGAGTCAAGGAAACCGAAACGATACGGATACTAAGCCATGGAGTACAATGATAATCGTTGTGCTAGAAAAAACTGAGAAGGCACGAGCGAGACGAAAGGCCAGGTGCGCAGTAGAGACGAGCGGGTGCCAAATAACAACTTGAGTAAGTACCTCGTTTGAGCTTTTACTTGCAGAAAAGCATTATATTGCAATGTAAAAAAATCAAAGTTGGATTTTGAGTAGGTCACTGTAGCCGGAGCGAACTGCGAGATTTGGTATGCTTAGCCTGTCGCGTTGGGTTGAAGAGAAGAAAGCGAAGCGAAAATAGACCCTAGCTAGAGCGGACGATTGAAAAAACATTTATAAACTGGACGATTGAGAACTCTTTGTCTTTCGTCTGGCTCGGGACAATGATAATTTTGTTTTTATTGATTATGGTTACCGACAACACGAAAATTCTTCGTTCGTATATCGGGATCCGATCGACCCCGCTTCAAAAACTCACGCGACCGATTTCGTGGTTGATTATGATCGAGGCGTCTTTGTATTTGGCCGAGTGATTATGATCACGTGACCGACGAGTTTTGGTTGGTTATGATCGGAATGTGTATCTTTTGGAAAAGTGACAGAAGCTGATCCTGATTTCATTTTCATTGATGACAGCGAAGCACTGCAATTTTTATGGCATCGCCTGATATTAAGCACTGACATTGACAAAGTAACTCGTCCATCCTCTAGATCCTGAGTGAAGATGGGAACTTCGTCTGCCGTTTCTGCAAAATCTTGACAATAGTTCACATCCTGGCGCCCCCTCGCGACGTGCTGCAATTTCCAATTCTCGGCGCACGCCTGGAGCCGTGCCTCTGCTTCTGCACCGTGCAGAAAAACAAAGCTGGCACGTTCCTGTCAATCTGATTCTGAACAGTCGTCGCGCGTAAGCGCACAGTACTTGTTATACGCACACTCCTTCCATGTTAGTCTTAGTCTTCGTCTCTGCTGGTTCGAACTAACAATGCGCTCGACTTGCACTTGCGCAGTTGACAACAGGCACAAGCAGGATTAGGATTACGAACAAAGACAAATCATGTCCGTGACCTCACTACATACAAATAATTACATATACATCCGTACCACTGGCGTGCTTTCGATTGCTCCTACATCATAGCGATTTATTACAGAATAGTTTTATTTCTAATTTCATATTTATATCAAGTAATATTAGTATACGTTGATGTAGTGTGGGTTTCGTTTAGGTTACATATAGCAAAGTCCTCGTCTCAAACTGAGGGGCAGATCGCACTCGCTCTCGCGGTTGTTACATCATAATTACATGTTTTTCTTTTGATTTCGTGTGCTTAGAGTTGCTGAGCATGAAGAGCACCAGCTCGCTCGTTCAAGTCCGTGTTACTTCGTTCCCCGATGTTCTTCGTCATTCGTAACACCTTTTTTTATCCTCCAGCTAGTCCCTGGTCCTCATCTTCGTCGACGCGACCATTAGTCCGGCTGTTCTCGCCGCGAGTCATCGTGCCTTCGCCTTCGATGTCTTCGTTTTCGCCAGCGCCGCCTTTTCTCTTCTTTTTTCGCTCACGAAACAGTTGCCATTTGAACGCAAGCTTGCCCTGCACCGGCATATCCTTCATTTTTTCTGCGAAGCTACCACTGGTCGTGTTCTCACTGTTCTCGACTTTCTCCACATCGCTCGGAAGGTAGAGCGGCAATTCGTCCTGCTTTTGCAAAAGGCACCCGCCCTTCGCGTGCTTCCGCACCTTCAACCGGCACTCGCCGAGCAGCACGGGCTGTTTCTGGGTCAGTTCCGCGGTGAAGTCCAAATCGTTCTCGTCGTCGTTGGTTGTTCTGCCCGTGTCGTACACTTGAACCATATGCATTGCAATCGTATGATCTATCGTAGTGGTGCTTGGTAGAACTTGCAATGCAAATTTTCTCAGAACACAAACAGCAACAGGGAAAAATGGAATTTGCCATGCTGACCCAGCTTCGAGAGCAGATTTCTCATGCATAACTGCAATTGAAGAAGTAGTACCACGGGTACGATAAAAGATATTAGTTTTGCGCCGGATAAAACACCGCCTCCAGTGACTTGCCGTCGTACGGAATTCGGGTCGTGTAGCGAAAATACGGCTTCGTCGTGCCGGAGACGACCTGCGATTGCCGCGACGCATCGCCCAACTTAATCACCGCGTAGGTGGAGGTACTCTTTAGCGAGTGTGCGCTATCCAAGAAAAAAACATTGTAGGTGTGACTTTTTTATTTTTGGAGGAACAGCATTGCAAATTTGTCTGGCATGACAGCAAAAACCTGTCATGCGCAGATAGTACGTGAAAACGCCCTTTAATGGACCCTACGATGCATGCCAAGCATGACTGACACACGCAATCATCTTGAGTGTTGCGCATCACAAATTTACACTAACAACGTTTTTTTCTTGCATATGCGCGCACCACCTGGACCAGCGCGTGGTCCTGTTTCATCACCTCCTGTTCGTAATCCTCCGTTTGCGTGTGCTCGATCAGGTCACGGGGCACCGTATAATTGATGTCACCCGAGGACATGTTCTTATTTGTTCCACCGTCCAGTCGCGACTTCTTCCGCTCTTCCACTTTCACGGAGAGGTTCCTGGCGGCGAGTTTCGCGTTGAACAAGGAAAAGAGCTCTTTCGTGCGGTCAACTACACCGGTCGTCGGGGACGAGGACGTTGTATTTGCGACCGCAGTAGAGGACGACGATGCACCCGCGGCGGCTCCTGCGGCCGCCGCCGCAGTTGCGCCGGCAGTTCGTCCCGACGGTGACGTCGGCGATACCGTGTCGTCCAGCTCCTGACGCAAGCTGGACATCATGGTGGCGGGGGAAATGTTCTGGTCCCGATCTTCAGTCCCAGCGGGGGAGTTGGAATCGTCCCTCGTCATGTCGAAGTACTTTGCGGCTCCTGCTGCTGCAGTTGTACTAATAATCCCCCCTTGACTGTTCGCGTTCTTCAACATCTGGTCACTGGCACGCCCCGCGTTCAAACTTCTCGTCTATGCATTGCAACGTAGTCGTATCGGAGGAGTGGGAATTGCATTTTTCTATAATTTTTTCGAATGGAAAAAGCGAATCTGTATTTGTGATGGTGCATGAGCTTGGAAACCAAATCTCTCATACTGTACTGCAGTTTGTACGAATACGATATCGATGCTGTTGCAACGCATACTGTTATCGCATCCTCCTCGTCGTCCAGCTGAAAGAGCACCGTCTTTGCCTGCTCGGCCGCGTCTGCTCGAAGCTGCGAGAGCGGACTGCTGCTGAACGAACGCGGGGGGCTGTTACGGTAAATTTTCGCGATCTCCGACTTGGTGATCTTCTCTTCCAGTGTAGGTTCCTCTTCGACCACAACCTGCGGCCCCAAAAGCGGAGCGGTCTGCTCGCCCTCCGCGCGGGCGGTCAGGGAGCCCACCGGATGGTGCCGGTGGCGACGGGACTGATGACGTTTTGCGTTTCCATTTTCGTTTTTTCTTTTCAATTTTCTCCTCCAGAAAGGCAGACCAGAGCAAAGAGCTTGCAGCCGAAATTTTGTACTCAACATTTGAAGGAATTGAAATTACTTAGTATGTGAAAAAGAAGATCATGTGAAAAGATATGAGCCATGAAGGAAACAGATCCAGTACGGCTTCTACCGTTGCAGCAGAAGCTCCTGCTTTTTCCGCACCGCTACCGAAGAAGTGCCACGCCAGCCCAAGGATCAACAAGCTGCACAACCCACCAACCATTTGCACGAGCGCCGTCCTGGACAAACAGATGCTGTCCGTAATCTTGAGAAAAGACGCATGAATTTGCCTAGAGCTTTAACACCCGTTAGCATGAGAAGTGGTGAATTTGTAGTGAATTTTGCATGACAAATTGCAGATGAGTCCGCCGGGACATTGTCCCTCTTGGCCTTCTGGGAAGTGGGTTCTGCACACCGCAAAAGTCAAGGCTTATGCGGCGGGCAACTTCTAGACATGGCCTGGGTGCCGTTCTTTGGCCATGTCTATTCGTCTCCCTGTGCTCGTATAAGAGCACTGCAGCAGCCGCGGCAAAGACGCCAAAAAGACAGTGCTGCGAAGCACATGCAATCAGGCAAGAAGGCGCGAAAGCAAGGGCAAAAGGACCAGGCCAAGAGCTCTGACGCGTCTATCCGGCAGGCGCGTGAGCTCTCCCGGCCTTTTCGGCAGAATATAAAGGGGCTGAGGGGGGCAGCAGAGGGCGCTTGCCTTTTCCCCTCGGCCCCACTTCCCAGGGCCTATTTGCGGACTTCCTTGAGCACTTTTCTGCGCTAAAGTTTGCTTATCACGGTCGAAAAGGGGCGCCCGGTGAATTTTGGGGTGAATTTTGAAAAGGGCGGCGGTGAATTTTGGCCTCCGGCTCATGTTCAAAATGCGCTAGCGCATGGGAAACTCCGGGTTTTGGAGCTCCAGAAAAGTTTCAAAAAAAGGAAAAGTCCCAAAATTCACCAGGAGAATTCCTGACCTGGGAATCACGTCGAAGAAGACTCGAGGACCCGAACAAGATGAGGCAGGAACACAGCTGGGAAGAAGCAAGCTACAGAGCAAACAAGCAGGCGATGCTAGCATCCATTGCAACATGTCTCCAGACATCCAAGCCGAGCCAGCCGGAACCCGTGAGAGCTACCCACTTAGATGCTCACCCAGTGCCCCTCTCCTGTTGAGGCTTCGGCCCCCTCCCTCTCGACCCACTATGAACTCCGCAGAGGCAGTGTTGTATTGTGAGACCGCCAGAGGCCGCCTTTACTTCTTGGCAACGCACCAGGCAGCTGCAAAGACGTGCGTCTCTACTTTAGGCTCTGACAGTGAGCGTCACCATCCAAGTGACAGCCTTTCAACTACTTACACGGAACGCTGACTGCCTGGCGTCCTTCTCGCGCTCTTCATATGCCCTCTAATTCATGCATCATGCCACGCAATACAAATTCACTGCAAATTCACCCTTCTGTATGTTAACGACCGTCCAAGACATAACCATTTGCACGAACGCCGTCCTGGACAAACAGATGCTGTCCGTAATCTTGAGAAAAGAAACTTCTGGGGTTGCAGCCGACTGCAGCGAACTTGTACTCGCCGTCCTAGCATGCGTCGTGTCGTCCGCGACCGGTGGACGATTGCTGGCAGTCGGTGCATCATCATGTGCGCTTTCTGTTCGCTGCTCCCCCGACAATTTCGTACTAGTCCTTTGAGGACCTCCAATCAAGAGCTGAACCCCGTGCAGAAAATCGCTGCCCACCGCGGCAGAAATTTGCTGGAAAACACTCCAGCTGGCAAACGGCGAGGGAAGTTTGTGCTCCCGGTCGTCGAACACCAAATACGGCTTTTCCCGGCGGAGCTTCGCTAGCACCACATCAGCTGCAGAAGGGTTTCCCGATAATTTCGTAGTGGAGCTGGTGCTGGAGCTGGTGTCACTTCCTCCTTGCTTCTCTTTCATCTTCCCAATCGCAATTGGTTTGGTGTTGTCTCGTAGTTGTCCTGCTGCAGCTTGTTTACTGTGCTGGAGGCTCGCCGTCTCGCTGGCACCCGACTCAACAAACTTGGTATTTTTAGTACGGTGCGGGTCCTCCTGCTCCTGCTGAGGATCGTGCCGATTATTTTTGCCATCCTTTGCGCGGTACTGGTAGTAGTTGTGTCGCCGCAACAGCAGGGCCGACTGTGCTGCGGTGGATTTACGTTGATGCTGTGCTGCTGAACTCACCGGCGAGGCATGATGCTGGTCGCTTGACGGTGTCAAAGCAGCAAGCACCTGGTGAGGATAGCTAATGGGAAAGGAGGCTGTCAGAAAGCAGACTGACCTCAACCTTCTTCCCTGATTTCGTCGCAGTTTCATCTTCGACGCAGCGCTTCGAGGTGCAGCGCCAAGTGAACGCTCACTATCACTACCCATTGCTGCTCTGCAGACAAAGAACTCAAACGTCGACATAGATGAATACATAGGGATGAACCAAGCAGAACATGGTCCTTCTTATTTCTGGTAGCTTGCTCCTGAGCCTGACAAATTGTGTGATAAATTACTTGTGCTGTGCGTTTGGGTATCAATTTTGCATGCTTCCAATTTACCACGAAGACGAGCACGAAGCCACATTCTTCAAATACTTGCGCGACCATGACATCACCCCTGGTCGCGATAAATGTCCCTCAACACCCTCACGAAATTTAAAGCGAAATAGAGGATGAGGAGTGACGATGCAAAAAAAGCATCAACGAAGACGATTCATTGAAACGATGGAGTCGTTTAATGCGAGCTATGTTGGCATCCGCTTTCCCGCCAGCATCGACGATAAGTTCCACCATTCTGACGAGAAACGAAATCGAACCGGAATCCATCGACTCACTCTTCGCTTTTCATCTCGTACTACTACACAATTGCTTTCCATAGTTTGGAAGAAGGTCCGCAAAAGGACAAAAGTCCGGTATTTCTTTCGAAGTGCAAGTACTGACGAAGAAGTTTCAATAAAAACTTTTTCATCTGGCACGTCAGTGATGAAACCGATGAAGGTGACGGTAGCTGCCAGAAACGGAACCAGACCGGGAGGAGAGTTTGTTTTTATCTTCAACTATTGTACAAGAGAGGGCTCATTTTATTTCTCGGAAGTATTTCCATCGGTGAATCTGTCTGCGATGCACATACTAGCTGCTTCAAGTGCAGCGCCATCGTCCACTTGTTGTTTACGATTTCGATTTTCTTTGCTGGTGTAGGTCCTGTTCTTGCACGTGCAAGAAGCAAGTGGTGAGTTTTCTAATGTCAATCCATTGCATAAAAGATAAAATCAAGTCCATTTGTAGAGTGTAATTTCACTTTGAGGTTAGCAAGTAGGTTTTCGCTCGGACAATACAGGTGGCCTTTCATTTTGGTGTACAATTTTTTGCGCCTCTCGGATTCGAATTTGAATTTTATATTTATTGGGGTAAAAGTTGTACAAGCATACAGCATAGCAAAAATCTGTCAATATCACAGGGGTAGAAACAATATTCATACATAAGTAATAGATACCATACAGCGAGCGAAAAGCGTTTATTTACATACCAAAGCGGCTAATGAAACTAGGAGCGAGCACGAGTCGGCAGCTCCCTTCTGGAGGTTTTCATATGCATACAAAAATCATTTTATCGGAACTAAAACGCGGAATAGGTAAAGATTCATTTTGATTTTGAGCGTGAAATCTGTGTAAGTGTACGCGCATCGGCTTATTCACGCTCGGCGATTTTGGTTTTGAATGTCAATGTCTTAGTCTTTGAATATCACAATCAAATAAATCATCCTCGCACGGAAAAGTTTCTAGAGCCTACATTTTTTGGAATTCCAGTTGTAAGGGGTCTCAGAAGAACCACGGCAGCTTGTCATATTCCCCGCCATGCTGCGTGTCGACGTTTTCGTGCACGGTGATGATGTTATTCACGCTGGCGTTTTCGACGTCGTTGCGCAGTTCCTTCTCCGAGTATTCCATCTTGTGTGCGTCGTGCTTTTTCCGCTCTAACATGGCTTTCCGAATCTGACCGCCTGAGTTGTAATGCTTCTCTGCTTTTTCCAGGTGCGTTAGCTCCTTTTCTTCCACGTTGTTAGGGTTCATATTGTTCAGAAGCACCGATTGGTGACTGGGAACCCGCTCGAACGGAACGGCCGACTCGCCCCAGCCTTGCGTCTGCAAGCCGGTCAACTCCTCCCACTTTTCGTCCATCCCGCCCTTGAGAACGTAGCGCGCTCCATCAACGCCCTCCTTGCGCCTGCCGTCGCCAGTTCCTGCTACATGAGGGTACAATGCTTCCTGTTTGAGTTTCATTTTGAGAGAACATTTATTTTTGTAGTTGAAACCACAACCAGTACTACTCCAACACCAAACGCAGGAGAAAAACGTTAAGGTTGTATCTCACATACTATCTACTTCATCCCTGTACACGCAACTACCCTTTTTGGCAGGAGGTCGATGACCTCAAGGTGGGATCAAACGCGCACATCAACAGTGGTTTGGAAAGTGGAACTAAAAATGCAAAAAGTCGAACAAGTACCCTTGGATTGGCTTTTGCCTGTTCCCTCGTTTCCTTTGCTTTCAAATCCGCCAGGCTGCGGATTCTGTCCGTGGCTTCGGCTTGAGCCGCAGAGCGCGACGGAAACGAGGACAGCGGCGGTGGCTTTGGCTTGAGCAGTCCGTGCGGAGCGACGTAGTGATTCTTCGGCGCATCTTCGGGAGCGAAGTCGGCACTAACTTGGCTGCTAACCGGAATCCGGTGGACTGGTCCTTCGGGCTCCTCGTCCGAGGGATGGTCTATGTGGTCTTTGCCCGTCATCTTTTTCTGCGAGGCCAGATAGGCCGCCGAAGCCTTGCTGTTAGACTTCTTGCTGTTTCCTTTGGCGAATTTGCCGTCGTAGTCGTCGCCTTCTTCAACCTCCGCGACCGTCAGTTCCCCTTCCGCAGACACCGACTTCTTCTTCGTCGAAGAGCGCACGCTCGGGCACCACGTCGACTTGGGGGCTGAAGCTGAGGATGAGTTTGAGTTCTGACTCTTAGCTCTATCCTCCTTCTCCTCGCTGGTCGTCCTGGTGGATCTCTTCTCATTTTTGGAGTCGCCCGCAGGACGATCAGCACCTCCTCCATCGTCGTCGTCATCGCCACTGTCGCTCTCGTCCGCGAGACCGGCGTCAAACACGCTCTCATCGCTGTCGGAGCTGCTGTCGTCGTTGCCTCCGAGCACGTCTTGCTGCAGGTGCGGCAGAAACGGCATGGCGGTCGGTTCCCGGATGTGCTTCCGTTCGTACATATGGTGATGCTCGTGTTTAAACGTGAACCACAAGAACCAGACGAACAAAAACACAATCATGCCGACGTAGAGGAAAATGGTGAGCCACGACACCAGTGCGCTGCCAACTTGGTTGTTGTAGGAATGCTTCGCGGCGTTGCTCGAATGCGCTGCGTCGGAAGAGAAAATTTCCTCCAGACTCGTCATGTTTGCGAGGGGACTTATCGCGTACTGTGGCGGAAGGGACGTCGGGTCCAAGCACCGGATGCGCTGCATCTCGTTCTGGTACAGCTTGCTGATCACCGCGATGTCGTGCGGAAGGATGACGAACTTCGCTGCGTTCAGCTTGCTAGTGCACGTGTGCATGCCTAAGAAGTCGTTCACAATCGTCGGGACCTGCCCCGTGCTGGCCGAAATGCGGGTGGCGCCAAGCTTCGTTGTTTCGGTCGACGCGGACTCTCCGGGTGCGGACTGGTCGAGACACAGGTAATTGCCGCACCCGTAGTACTCCGACCAGTGGAGTTTGTCCTGCGCCTCGTCGCCGTCCTCGTCAAAAACGCCATCGGGGGGGCGAACACAGGCAACGCGCACGATCCAGTACAAGTTGTCGTTCTCATTCCGGATGTTGGCGCTAGCCGACGTGTCTGTGCTGTACCGATGGTTGGGCTGCAGGATGAACTTGTACTTCAGCGCGGCTGGGTCCGTCATGGTCACTCTGCGCGCGTCCTGCAGAAAGCCGTTGGCGGCAACGGAGACCTCACCGCGGCCGACCAGCTGGTCGTTGGTGTCGAGCAGATACTTGCTGGAGTAGAGCGACACTTTCAAGTCGCAGGTCGTCGGATCCTTGTAAGCTACTTCGGATGGGTAGCGAACCACTCCCTCTGGCTTTAGTGTCCAGCCCTGGAATTGCAGCGTGTTTGCGGCGGTCGAATCGATCACCGGACACTTTTTCTGCGTCTCTGTGGGCGACACACCCATCCGGTAGGGGTACTCGACGACCGAGGAGGAATAACCACCAGTGCTAGTGCTGCTATTGCTACCAACGTCGAAGGTTGGCAGCATGCCCGGGCACACTTGCAGCCTGGTCAACACTTCGTTCGTCTTGGTAATCAGCAGCGCGCTGTTCTTCGTGAACACGTCGTTCTTCTCGTCCGACAGATCAAAATCGAGCATCGGGCGCTTTCCCTGGTAGCAGTACTTCAGGGTCTTTTGGTCTACACAGTAAAACAAATGCGCGTGGAAGGCTTGCGCCTCGACGAATTTCGTCTTGCTCCGCCACGACACCAGCCTGCTGTTCGCGATGGACGCCGGAAGCTGCTTCTCCTCGTCACCAGCGCTGTCGCAATCGAAGCGCACGTAAAGCTGCTCCGAGATCGGGATGCAATGCTGTTTGGCAAGCCGCTCGTTGTGGAACGTGACGTCGGGCGGCGGCGACACAGGGTTCGCTGACACTTGGGCAGAGCCAGCCCCTACTAGCAGCCCGCAGCCGGGACCCCTCCAGAGCTGGAAATCCAACCGCGTGCCGCCGCAACTGTATTTGTATTTCAAGGTTAAAGTAAATTGTCTTTGTGAAGGGCTTGGGCTTGGGGATCAGAGTCGCATCATCGAGATCGATCTGCTGCTGGACGAAAAAACACGACGAAATGCAACACTGAAGCAATAGAAAAACGAAAACATCATATGTAGAGACTATACAAGTTCACTTTCATAGAGAAGAAAACGGGCGTTGCCATGTCCAGCCGGTGCGTCGCGCACTCATGCAGCGCGTGCGCCTCTACGGCGGGCGTCATTTTGTCGTTCGTAATCTTGCATTTATCGTCGGAGTAGAAGTGCGCGCTCGCGGACGTGGACGTGCTCGCGTTCCAGATCGTGTGGTAGACCAGCGATCGCATCAAGCGTGTCCCACCAGGAAGAGACCCGAGTGCGACTTTAGCCGGCGAGGCCGAGACAGATGTTGCATTACTGAAATTGGACGTATTATTTGCAGAAGATGCGTTCTTCGTCCTTTCTATCAATGTTCGTCCCGTATGCCCGAATAGAGCACCAGCAGACTCGGCATGTCGAGATGTTTCTGCATCAAGACTAGCACTAGAAGCAGGCTGTGATACGAAGCCAGATTCGAGGTCGGCCGTGGATTTTTCCGTGTCGTCTCTTGTGTCGTTCTGGTTCTGCTTCTGCTTCTGTGCCGCTGAAATAGAGCTTCGCCTGGAGTCTGCATCGAAATCCTGATCACTTCCGTGAGAGGACGCTGTGGAGGTAGTTTTGCTACTTGCACTTCCCACGTCACCAGGCAGCAGCTCCTGTTCAACTGAAGACCCCGCTTTTTTCTCTGCGACAATTGGGTAATCAATGATGCCATCCTCGTCTGATGAGTCCTCATCCGGCGTAGGCGCGTCGGTCATTTCGTCCGTCCCGGGTTGTTCCATGATCTTCTGCTGCTCCGCTTCAGCTTCTCCGCTGGGGCTGCTATTTTGTTTATCGTCTTCCTCTTCCGAAAAGCGATATTCGTCGTCGTCGTTCTGGTCGCGCACAAAATCTGCTGATTCCTCCTGTTCTTCTTGTTCCTCGTCATCTTGATCAAACATACCGTAATCTCGTGATGTGTCTGCCGCTTCGCTCTCGTCGCTATTCGAATGTCTTTGCTGTACGACGTCGCCCTGGCTGTCCAAGGCTGTTGACTCATCTAGATCACGATCTTCTGTGTCGTCCCGTCGCCGACTTCCAAGCAGCTGATTTGCTTTTGCTTGGTTCAATTTCTGAGGCGAGCGCGGCCTCGCCTGTCCGTCCCGACCACGCAGCCCGGCTGGCGCACTCCCAGTTGAAGTTGTCTCTTTCGACACGGACACGTCTCCCTTTTGATTATCGTGATGTTCCTTCTCTTTGCTGCGGTAGCCACGTAAGAGGGACTTTGCTCTCGTCCGTGCGGATTCTCGTACAGCTACAGATGCTGTCGCCCCTTCCTGGTCTCTGAGGAACAGCTCCTCTTGCGAGTCAACATCCACATTCATTGTTGCATCTCGATTTTCGTTTTCGTCCACCTCATCAAATTTTGATGAAGTAGCTCGACGCACTAGTTTTCGCAGTGGCTTCGGTGACGCTTCTGTTGCGATTCCTTTCTTGCCGAGTGTGATTTTTGTGGCCTGGTGTCCGGATGAAGATGCTCGTAGAGATGTTTTTGCACCGCGATGCTGGAGCAGCATGTTCGCTTCTCGCTCAGCTGCTCTTTCAACGTCTTGCTGTGGGCCAGACGAATCAGGAAAGATCATCACGTCTGGCTCTTCATAGTCGGGTAAAGGATCTTCGTCGTAGTCTCGTCGCCGCCACCGTGGCTGCAGAAGCGAATTAGAGTACAGATCTGCAGTTTTTTGCTTTTGCGCTTTCCGCACTCCTGCAGGTTTTATTATCACTTCGTGCGGTTTCTTACTGCTGGTTGTTCGTACTACGTGCTCCACTTTTCCACCTTTGGTGTTGCCACTATAGTTCAAACTTTGTGTCCTACCAGTGGCCGATTTTTTCTTGGAATTCGATGAAAGACTACTGGAAGGCCTCTTTCCTGACTTCAACTTCTTTGCTGTTGCCGTTGTCTTTTCCGCTGATACTACGGAAGATTTTTGTTTTTTTGTAACCTGCGCTGCCGTTGAATGCCCTGTTTTCGTTTCATGGTTTTGTATTCTACCGACCTTCGACTTCGTCCTGCTCCTACTACTTGTTTCGACCAAACGAGGACCATGTTTGCTGTCATCCGTTTTCCGACTTCGAGATGGAGCTGCGCTTTCGCCGGCCTTGCCAGTCGATCTGACCGGGAGACGATTAGATTCCTGTCTCAGATCAGGTCCACTAGTCTTCTTCGATGCTGCTGCGCCACTGCTGGTAGAGCCCGTAGTCCTCCTCGGGGAGGTACTTTTCGCCGAAGACGCAACTGCTTCCCTTTTTTTCTGCAACTCCTGCAACAGGGACTTGGCAAGTGATTTTCGTTTTGCCGGGTTGCGTTCGCGCTTCACCTTCTCTTGCAACGAGTTCACGAGCTGCAAAACAGAAGATGCGGCAGGAGCGCTCGCTTCTGTCGATGCACCGGTCGCGGTCTGGTGGGCGCTTTCGGATGCATGCCTGGTTTCCACTGATGCTGTGCTGCCTGCAACAAACAAAGGGAATACGATGACAGCAACATGGAGCACAGCCATCAAGGCCCGAGCTCCTCGAGCCAGAACGCTAAGATTGCGACTGGCTGCAGCTGCTGAAGAGCGGGGAGCCATCATTTGTTTATGTTTGAGGTGGATTTGTCTTTTCTGCTTAGAGTAGAACAAACATGCAGAAGACAGCACTAGTTCGATCAGGCACAAGGAACTAAAGCTATGTATTCATTGTGTGAATACATAGAAGATACAAACCAAACTACATCGGTTGTGTACTTTCACCACAGTTTTTGTTTCGTTTGTAATTTGCAAACAGATTGTGGTAAACAGAAATACACCATCAAAGCACGGCGGAGACGCGATTCCACGATCTGGACGACGAGTCAACGACAATGCGATCGCTAGTAGAAAACGAACACGAAGTACGAAATCAACGACAATGAGAAAGTGCGCCCTCTCAGTTCTAAAAAGCCCTCTTTTGTCTCGCTACCGAGTGGATCACGTTCACGATCTGTAAGTGGACTATCTCATGCGCTACCATTATTCGATTTCGAAGCGAGACATCAATAAGAATAACGAAACCGAAAGTAGAAAAAAGAGTGGCGATTATGACAATATACCATAGAGGCCGTGGTTTCATACAGTTTTCGACTTGTGTCGAATTTCGAAAACTTCCGTTGCAAAAGCGGAGCGAAGAGCACGTCGCAGGGAAAGCTTCATCCAACGATGAACAAGAGCATGGCGCACTTCGGTAGAAGTTGAAATGTGGTCTCAATTGCCTTGCTCATGAGCTTGACTGAGGACCATCGATAACGATTGAGATCGTTGAGGAGAGAGTTATCATGTTGTAAGACTAAGACATACACATATTCATATAATTTTGCGTATGCTTCAAAATAAAACCTTGCTCTTCGTGTCGCTTGAGGTGGTGTATCAACAAATCGGTTTTTGGTTACCAAGATGAAGTTCAAGATTCAAAGGACGAATGAATCCAGCTCCGTGGTGTGGAAGTGCTTGTTCTTCACAAATGGTCTATCCCGTCGAGGAGCTAGAATCCGAACTGCTGTCACTATCGGACGAGTTGTCACGCCGGTAGCGGTTTAGTTGCTCGCGCCTTCTCTTCTTTGCCTTCTTCTCATCTTTTCGAACCTTCTTCTCCCGCTTCTTTTCTTTTTTCTTTTCTTTTTTGACCTTCTTCTGGCGCTTTTTTTCCGCCTTCTTTTCCTTCTTCAATTTCTTCTGTTCCTCCTTTGTCAGCCTAGGTTTCGGATCGGGTACTTTCTGCACGGGGAGTTTTGCCGAGGCGTTCGCGGGTGGGGCCATGGCGTCCGGATGGGGGGCTTTCCTAGGAATAAGTGGCGGGGTGTTTTGATCGCGACTTTCCCCGCTGTTGTCTCTGCTGATGTTTGCCGCTGCCGTTGCGGACGAGGACGACGAGGACCCTCCTGCACCATTGTTCGCATTCTGCTGTTCCTCTGGTTTCACATTCCCAGACTTTCCGAGTCTTTTCGGCGATTTCCGGTCGTTCTTCAGGTCTTTCATCATGTCCTCATCGTTCGCTGAAGCTGCGGCCATGGTGCCCAATGGAACAGATGCCGTTGACCCGCCCCCGCCGTACTTGCGCAGCAGCTCCTCCTTCTTCTTTCGCGCCGCGGCTTCCGAATTTTCGTCGTCGTTTCCACCGAATCCTGGTGGCAGCGCCGCGCCGTGCCTCTGCGCCTCAACCCCGGTCATCTTTCCGGTAGTCTCGCCGTCGACGAGGGCGTCCGTCAGCCCATACAATTTCGCCTTCTTCAGCTCCAACTCCTCGCTTCGGTGCGCGGCGAAACCGAGCCCCTTGACGGTAAAGTCGGCGCCTTCCTGCGCGCCATCGGGGTCTTCGACCTCCATGTCCTCTTTCGAGAGTGCCTGCTTCATCTCCTCCGCTGTCAGCCGCTGCTTGGAAAGGAGTAGCTTCTTTGGCTTCTGCCCCAACGCTTCGGCGAAAAGCTGGTCTTCGAACTCCTTGATCGTGTTTTGCTCCTCTTGTCTCGATTTCGCGTCCCCGCGATTGTACTGCCACCAATCGGAACGGTTGAACGAGCCTGAATGAGTTGTAAAATGGTCTTTACAATGGGAAAATGCGGAGCAAAAAAAACCGAGGCAAAATTCGTTCACGCAGCACTAATTGCTCTTTACTTGAGATGATCAGCGCATCAACTACAAACAATAGAAAACGTCAAATTATACTCATCTTTCCCATGGTGCCCACCTTGACTGAGGCACCCAGGTAGGCCTCCCGGTCCTTCCATGCGTGGTTTTTGATGGAGTCCCAGTTGAAATTCTCGGTACCACCACGGGCACCATCCCGAATGCGGTTCTGATGCCATGACAAGTCCGCCATTTTGTTTGATTCTTAGTCTGAAAAGGAAAAAAAACTTACTCAAACTAACTGCTGCTTGTCTGTTCTAGAATGGAGCTGTCGTTTTCTGTGTGCGACGTGGAAATAGTTCAGTCATGGGAGATCGAATTCAATATATGTCGTTGGGGCTGCTGGGGGATAAACACAACTTGTTCTATTCACGGGTGGTCCTGAAAACGAACTGTTTGCAATTGAATGCGATTGACTCGATTTTGATTGGTGGTCCGGACGAAAACAAGTGTTTTTCCTTGGTCGTGTGCTCAGCACATGAAAAAAGTTTAAAATTGTATAAAACAAAAAATACAAAGCAAATGCGACTTACAAGGTTGTGCTGGTTAAGGATCATTCTTCAATTTTTCCCGAGGATCTTTAGATCAGTGTCATTTTCCTGTATACGGATTTTATTTGCTATTTCGCAAAACGGATCTCTACTTTTGTTTCATCTCACGACAGTCATATTGATGTGCGGTTTTCTTTTTTCCTTGTGTATGTTGTCTCTGAACATTTTGGTATCAATCGGTCGGGATGAGGCGGCCTGCAGCCTGCTGCTCTACTTGCTTATTTCTATATGGACCACTCAGCTGTTGCCTCGGCTACTCGTGCTATCAAACAATGTATGACGCACGGCAAGGCACAGCAACCGAAGGAAACTTACTGCGTATACAATCCAGTTACAGCTCTACAAGGGGTCACTGCGTCCACGTTCTGCTGCTAGTTAGTACTTTGAGTTTGACCTGAGGCATCGGTTTCTCGGAAACGGATAACCCATCTCCCCGTGATCCGTCTCGTTAAGCTTTCTTGCAGTCCCCTGCTACAATGTAGCAAACGTCATGTTCTGCGTTTCGATAGCCGAGATCCCATCGATTGCTTTCCACTCCGCGAGCAGTGCCTCCTCCGGGGCGAACTTGGTACCAGCCCAATCCCCGAATTTGTCATCCAGGACGGAAATGACGAGCTTAATATCGCCGCATTCACCGCATACGGCGCGCTTGACCTGGAAAAGGTAGGAAAAAATACTTTGATTTTGTTCACCCAGTACTGGAGACTAGCTCCTGCGAAATAGAATTTGCAGTGCACAGGCGAAAAAATGGCTGGCGCTAGGTGGTGGTGAGCTTTAAATAAAACGAAACTCTACCTCTTTCAACCCCGGGATCTTTTTGAACTCCGGCAACAGCTTGTCAATGGCAGCATTGGCTGCCTTCAACGAAGCAGATTCCGCTGGTGCACCAGTATACTTCGCACGGAATTCCCGCGCGACACACTCCCAAGAGACGCCACTGTCACCGAAGGAAGGCATCTTTTATTTGCGCGTGTCGTTCGTTTGCGTGGGGGAAGACTGAGAAAATACTCGAAGAAACGAGGAAATGGAAAAGGGTCGAACAAACAAGAGTGGTGTACTGTGTATTGTAGTCAACTCGTCCTCTCCAGTGGCTATTTCGTACAGTGAAATTTTTCTCGATTCGGACTGACGACGAAATCAGCATGATCAAGAGCATGACCGTGGCATGGTTACGCGCTTGGGCGGGATCCGTTTCCGCAGCACTTCATCAACTTCCATACTAGAAGGAAGATCGTGATCAGTGAACCTATTCCGAAAAGGTTCGGCTTCAGGTGTGAGAAACAATGACTATCATGAAACGTAACGTAGATCATCTGCAACCTGTCCCTGTGCAACCAAGGAGCTGAGAACTACGAATGAGGATCTTTTTCTTTCATCGTTGCTTCGTGCATCGCCAAAGCGGACGTCATCATCCTTATCTTCTGCATCTTGATCGCAGTCATCACATCTATGTTGCAATGCAAAGAAATTCAAAAACAGTGCGCTCCTGCTGTCGCCAATGTGAAGGCGAAGACACAAACTAACACTGAAAAGTAGGCCCGCACTTGTTCATCTCCTGGCTGCAGTGCAGGTGGACTGGAGCACTTCCGTCCGAAAATGTGTCTACTTTGGCGGCTTCGTTCTTCTGTGCAAGTTGTCGAGAGCAGTACGCTGACACTGCCAGCCGAAACTGCCGGTCGACAAAATTGCTCTTTGTCATTTCTGTGAAACCAATCTTACATCAGCATCATGAAGAAGTAGGACTGAAAAAACTATTGCGCCTTTTGTTACATGGGTGACACAACGGACAGCGTCCAGTGTATACACCAGCACAGGTCAAGCTATCAATCAGCTCAAGGAACATATTCTACAGAAGCTGCCAAGGCTTTCACTCATTACATTAGAGGTTCAAAAATTGCTTTGTAGTTCTGGGTGGAAAGTTCTGGTACTCCCATCTCAGTGTAAATGAACGTACATTTATTCGACAGCTACAGCTAGGTGGGACTTGTTCATTTGGAAGGACCTCGCGCGCGCTGAGTGGAAACATGATGCGCACCTAGAACTTACCCCAGGAGCTCTTCCTGGCCAAGGCCGGAGACGCCGTTATATGGAGAAGGCGGTGATTCAGAGCCTAGCCTAGGCACCAGCAACTCAGGCGTCGGGACACGGTTCAACCTAGCAACCTGGTCCTGGTTCTGTGTCGGCGAAGATGGCGCACGCAAAAACTGCGCGTCTTCTTCGTGCAAGCGCTGCTCTTCAGGAAGGAGGTCACGAATCAGGTGGCTCGTCTGCCCGCCTGAGCGAGGCTTGTTGCTTCGGCGATCGTGTGGCTGGGATGTAGTCACGATCGTGAACCCGGAAGCGTTATAGCCCGACACTGCATCAGAAGCAGCAGTGGCACGCGGCGGAGACGACCGGTTCTTGCGAGCGGCGGAACTGTGGATGTTGTGATTTCCGTTTTCAGATTTTCTCTTTTTATCGGCGCGCTCGCTAGAGAATTTATTCAATTGGCGAGCTGGCCTCCCGCTTCATCAGCCAGGTACTATATTTAGCGAAAATATAATTGCAAGACTCGAGTACGTTGCCGCGCTCCCGGGCGGACTAAATCCGGTAGGCAAGCTTGCGCGGATCGGCTGGTAAGTAGAAGCGTTTGCATTGATTTGCGACTTAGGGACGGGGCCGGGTCGGGGTACCACTTCAAGCCTGCCGATCGGACGCGGATGTCTATCCGTCGCTGAAGTAGTGTGCGCTTCATCGAGGTTATCGTCCAGTACTTCCTCTTCGTCTTCAATTTGTGAGGGTTTCCGAGGCCGAGAGTGCGACGGTGGGGTGAGGCGGTAATTTAGGTATTCGGCCGGCGCTGCGCCGCTAGGACTTGGTCGAACAACTTTATCCCTCTGATATTCGTGCGGCCGCTTGCGCCGCAAAAATTTATTGAGCGCGGGGAGCACATCGACCTTGTTTTGATAGTTTTGTTTCATGCGAATGCCTGATACATCAAAAATCTTTGTGCATGATCATCCATCGGAAGATTTATAAAACATGCCTAGGGAGGCTTACACAGTTCCGAATGATCTTTTTATATGGTACCATCCACTCGACGTCGTTATGCTTCTTCCCCAAGATTTTCTTGAAGCTCGTCATTTTTGCGTCTCGTTCGGATTTTCTTTTGCTCCTCGACCGCAGCCACCGGTCGTCCTGCTCTGCGTCATCGTCTACGGGAGGACGAAGCTCCTTGTACAGCCGTCCTGCGTTCTGCGATATGTCGATCACATCATCCTCATCTCCGTGCAGAATGCAGACGGGAACTTGGTCTCGACAAGCTTGAAGGCTCTTCGCGTTGTCCCAGTGTGTGTCGTCGAAAGATATCATGCCCCCAAAGGGAAACCCAGCGGCAGCGGTTTCGACCGAGTAGAACGGCGACTGGAGAATCACCTGCGTCGTGCCATGCATTTTGATTAGCCTTCTGCTGTGTAAGCAACACGTCAAGGCTCAATGGAAAGCCCGAGCGGAAAGCGATTCAGCATCAACAGGGAGCAACTGCAACTTGCATATCAGCATCACAAACATCGCGAATACCGCGTGGAACGGATCCTGTCCCGAACCGTAAAGGCCCGCCAGCCGCGACGCTGGCCCAGTGCCGATGCTGCGTCCGTAGAGAATTACGTCGCTATTTTTGGTGAATTGCTTGACTCGCTTCACGTATTCGTACGCCGCATAGACCACCGCGTCCACAACAGTGCACGAACAATGAAGAAGCGGTAAACTGTCAGCTCGATTTCCTGAGGATGATGACGCGGACGTGCTTGTGCCTGTAGTGGAAAAATTGATCTGGTCGCCACTTGCAGCAGCTGCACTCTGCCCTAGTTGGCCTGCTTCCACGCTGGATTTTGAGATCGCGCCGCACTCCATTAGGTACTGCCGCAGCATGTATTCCCGTCGCACTCTCTCGATTTCGCGACCATAAATGACAGGATACTTTCCTTGTGCAGCTGCACCCGGAGTGGGGCCAGCAGTTGAGGCGGCCGCGGAACTTGTCCCACCTCCCCCACCGGGCGTCACGGTGCCTGCGGCGCTACTGGTTTCTACCTCCTGGAAGAAGCCGAACACATTGTTCGAATTCACGGACTCGCGCAACTGCAGGTCGAGCTCCGCTTGCGAAAATACGGAGATCGGGGGCTTTGTGCCGGTCGTTCGCACCGCTGGTGTCGGGGTGGGCGTGTCGTCTACGACTCCGTAACGAAATGACGGCTGCGGTCGCGGTTGCTGCCGAAGATGCTCTGACGAGAAGGTAGTTGCTGTTGCAGGCTCTTCTTTCAATCGCCGTCGCCGTTCGTCATCCTTTTGCTCCTGTCGAGTTCTTGTTTTCGCGGGGGGCACCATTTTTGCGAGAGAAGGATCCACGCCACCCCAGCCACCTGGCCCTGTCTCCGGACGAATAATATCTTCCTCTCGAATCTCATCGTCAGGAAAGAGGATGCTTTTACGCCCTTGAGAAGGCGTAGGGGAGCTGCTACTTCCGCCTGTGCCATCTTTCTGCAACGTGAAGCTGCTCGAGGAGGAGCTCGATGCGGAGAAAAACTCTTTCATCGCAGCCTGTCGCTGCGCGGCCATTGTGCTGCCTTCATGAAGATCAACATGCTGCTTATTTTCCTCTAGCAGAGCTTGTTCGTAATGCTCGTTATCGAAAATGCGCTCAAATGGTGAAGCATTTGCTTCGTGTTCCCCTGGTGATCCCTGACTGCTGCCCTTGACCCGTAATTTTTTGATGTCTTGCTCCGCTCGGCTGCGACGCGAGGTGGATATAGGGGAAGAGGAAGACACCAGGCCGAGTTCACGAGCATCCTCTTGCAGTACTTCCCTGTCCCGTTTAAGCAGTTCCATTCGTTCCAGGAACTCCTCCTCGGTGCAGTTGCAGTACCGTTTGAAGATGCCATACCCGGGGTATTCCACCATGCAGACAGAAACGCCAAGACTTCGCATCAGCCGGTGACCGAGGACCTCCACCTGCCCCAGGTCCTCCCCGTTTGCGTGCATGTAGATGACGCACCGGCGCCGGTAGCTACCGCTGCAATCGTGGAACACCGAACCGGGTACGTAAAACCCGGAATCCGGGGGTTTCGGGGTCTCCTGCTGCTCGGCCAGGTGGTACTCCGCCGGGTTGTAGTATTTCGCGTAGTCCAAATACAGCACCGGTGTGCCCCACGGGGTCAGCTCCAGCCCGGTGGAAGGCACCCGCCCGCTGTCCACCCGGGGGAACAGAAACTGAGTCGCCACGCTTTGGCCCATCTTGAACACAACTCAGCTTCCGATGAGCCCCTGTCGCTGCCACGGGTTGTATTGAGGCGGATGATACTAACTTAGCGAGGAGGCTACACGCCTCAACTGTAATCACTCTGACTCCAATTCCAACGGACACGGAGGAAGACACTTCTAGAAAGATTTCGTAGTGATTCTACATGTGGAGACCACTTGCGCAACGACTTCTGATGTGAAAATGAATATATATTAAGCAACGTAATTCTCACTTACGAAAGACACACAGAGCGGAAGCAAGGAACAGCAACGGAAGCAGATCTGCGCTTTCCCTCCGTGAAGACTATAGGCTCTCGGAAATTCATGTGAGAGTCCATTTCTGAAAATTTAAAATTCGCAAACTTCGAAACCCTCTGCGAATCTTATAACACGCGCCCAAAACCCGGCCCCGGCGAACCCCATTCAGCTTCCAAAGTCAACAAGGCCCCGAAAAGGGGGCTTCGAGAACTCTGAAAGGTACGCGCCGTTTTTCTTCCAGAACTCTGGAGCTTCTCTTTTGTGGACTTCGAACAAGCCGGCCCTCGATCCGGAGCCGCTTGATCCCCGAACGCCGAGGTTGGCTCCATTGCCTAGTCCATGAGGTGCCACCACGGCTTTGAGGTTCCGAAGCCAACAAATTCGACACACATGAATTTCTCAGGCTCTGAAAGAAAAACGGCGTCTTTCTTTCAGAGCCTGAGAAATTCATGTGTGTAAATGTTGAGCCAATCCCCTTCCATCAAAAGGGCGGCTGGTCGCCGGCCGTCTGGGCTGGCTTGATTGCCAGCTCCGGATCACGGCGGCCAAAGGTTCAATCTTTTCAAGTAATCAAATCTGACACACATGAATTTCTCAGGCTCTAAAAGAAAAACGGCGCTTTTCTTTTAGAGCCTGAGAAATTCAAGTGTGTAAATGCCTTTCGCCGGCCCCCGGCTGGTGAAAATCCCCATTGGTAACTGAAACATTTTTCAGCTACCAATGGGGATTTTCACCACTCGGTGAGTGGCGAAAGCGCTTTCGCCACTCACCGAGTGGCGAAAATCCCCATTGGTAACTGAAAAGCTTTTCAGTTACCAATGAGGATTTTCACCTCTAGGTGAGAGGCGACAGCGCTTTCGCCTCTCACCTAGAGGTGAAAATGCCCATTGTAAACTGAAAATCTATTCGCCACTGACGAAGGCGACTCCTCCTGGTGGAAATTAATTCAAGTGTGAAAATTTGTTGGGGCTGTTATTGGTCTCGAAAAACGAGTCGCTTTCAGCACTCTTTTTTTTGCTACCCCCGATGGGTAACAATTCAAGTGTGAAAATTTAAAAGAGTCACTGGAACGACTCACTGCAATGACTCTTTCAATAGAGTCTCAACTATTTCTCTTCATAATTAAATTTACGCACTTGAATTTACTGTCTTTTAAATTTACGCACTTGAATTTGTTGCCAATGGCAATAAATTCAAGTGCGTAAATTTAAAAGACTCCTTCGAAGGAGTCCTTGCAAGGAGTCCCTGCCTGGACTCATTGCAAGGTGTAGCCGGAAGAGTCGAACGCAAATCCAAAACGAAAACGATTCATCCCCAACAATTTGCACTAGCGCCAGCAGATGTCCCAACTACCTCCTCCCCCAACCCCCGCTACCTCCCCTGGGGCCCGAGCCTTCTCCTTCCCAACCCGGACCACCTCCTCTACAAGTTCAGCCGCCTACTCCCGGAGCCAGGTCTTCTCCTGTGGGCCCCGGCCCCCTTCACGCGGAACCCAGACCACTTCTTCCACAGCCCAAGCGCCCTCATCCGGAGCCTGGACCCCCTCCTTCCAAACCTCCGCCACATTCTTCGGAACCCAGGCGCCCCTCGTCCCAACCCGGAAACGGCCCCGGCCCTCCCGCTGCTTTCTTCTAAATGGCCAGACCCGAGGCGCTTCAGCTTTGAAGGCAAAGCCCATCGCCCCCTTCTGAGCTGAGGCCGCTCAACCCTTGCAGACCTACCTGCCCCAGAGGCCGAAGCGGGAGGAGCCTGCCTATGCTGGCATCCACGTGGGGCCGTGTCATTTGTCTCGCCTCGAGCCACCTCGCAGTCGGGGGCGGGTTTTACAAAAATGGCCGGAGTTGAGGCGCTTCACTTCACGAAGGGCAACCAGCTTGCCGAACCACGGCGAAGGCGCTCAGCTTTGTTGGCTTTGCTTGTCCACGGCCCGAAACCTCTTGCGCCCTGGCCTATGCGAAGCCGGGCGCGGACCTAATGCCCTTCCTTTTCCGAGCTGGCCCTAGCGTGGCGCCACATCGACGACGACTTAAAACACCCCACAAGAGAATGCCTGGAGGGCGCCGGAAGGAGGGCTCGGGCAGCCACCTTCCGGCAAAGCCTTGCAGCTACACACCGCGAGGGGACCACAGAGCGCACCCCCTGAAAACCGGAGCCGGGCCCCTCACTATTCAGAACATGCCCTAAAGTGGTTCGCAACGCACTCCACTCAGCTGGTTTCTTAGCCACAATCTTCATAGTGCCAGTGCCGATCGTGAATGCTTGCCGTCTGTAGAGGTGTCGCTCTGCCACTCAGAGGGGCGAACTACAGACGCTCCCGGCGGCCAGAACCCCTATGCCCTGCCCCCAAATCGCGGCCCCCGATGGCCGACAAAACCGCCGAAAACCGAAAACACGCAGAGCCACCAAACTGAGCCGAAACACCTAAGACCGAGAAACACAAGCCGGCGACCAGTGCAACTGCTCCAGTTTTTTCTTCGGGCAAAGGCCCCAACGTGGGCGGCAGGCCTGTGCCCGGGCGACGACCACAACAGAGCAGGATGCCAGGAGTGAGGTCATAACCCAGAGGGCCGAAGCGCTTAACGTGCGAAATAAAAAGCGCGGCGCCGGCGCTGCCGTCGCTACTTCTTGCAGAACTGTAGCGGTTCGACTCTGGCAGCAGCTCCGTGGCTGGGCAACTTGCACAAGCAAAGGAGGCGCGCAATGTTTTGCCATTGGCGCTATTCGAAAACTGCGAAATTTAAATTTTCGAACATGGTACTAGACATGAATTTCTCTGAGCCCATAAAGACGTCCGGGCAAAAGACAGGTAGCGCCATGTGAGATATGGTTCAAAGCTGAATGTCAAGCAGCCTCTACCATTTTTGTTAAAAGCATTATCAACTTGGTTGCGGATTCACTCAGCTCGTCCAACATGACTGCTTTGTCAGAAAAGCCACCGGTTTCTGTCACATTCACCATGATCTTTCCCGCAAACGCATCTGTCCCGGGGTCCACGTCCTTGCGCTCGGATATGCACTTGGGGGAAAATCCTGACTCGGTAGAATAAGTACCTGCTTTGGTTCATACATGATATCTATGTCTATTTTGTCATAAGCATATTATCGGATGCCAGTCCCAGGACGCAACCACGAAGGAATGTGAACGTGCATCGACGAGCCTGACACAGAGTCTAAATTTTTCTCCGATCATACCAATCTCGGTGCCCACGGTCGCGGAAAAGGCATGCCGTACCTGATGTAGCATTTGTTGATCAAGGTTATGCGTTAATTTGTAGTGAGTGTGAGAGCGAGAAAGCTTACATGTACATACTCTTAATTTTGAAAACAAAGGTATCTTTCCATGACGGACAGGCACAGGATCTATTTGATTACGAAAAACCAATTTTGTTGTATGTGAAAAATCCGTCACCGTCCTTGTGTAAAATGATCTCAGTACGATTTCAAAGTCTTCCTTTCGCAACACTTTTTGCTGCTTGGACGGTAGTGACTGCGACAGGTTTCGTATCGTCCGATTCTGCAGGTTCTTGCCTGGAAAACGGCCGTGTGACTTTATTGTCGCTGTTTGGTACTTGTCAATGGCGCCCGGCGTCCACGTCAAGGTCCACAGCAGTTCTGGCGCCTGCGTTTTCTTCGGGCTGGACTTGTTTTGCTTGGCGTGGAAAAAGGGCTCGTGCGCCGTGCTGGGTGGCATTTGCTCCTGCACGGTGGACGACGAAGAAGCGGCCGGCGCGAGGGACACGTTTGTGGAGTAGGGTTTCACCTCAAACTTGTTTTTGAAGGAGTCCGTGATGGTCAACTTCTTTACTTGATCGGTTATACCATAGGTTTCCTTGTCCGCTTCGTCCGTGTAATCCACTTCGGCGTAGAAGATCGACCGTCCGAAACTGGAGCGCTCGTATCCAGGGAAAACGAAAAAACATCCAATTTGTCATGCAGAACCTACATAAATTGCTGTGTTTGTCATGTTGGGAAACTAAGGGCAGGGCGTCCCTTTGTAAACCAAAGCTACAAACTTGAAACCTTCAGGTCCTTCAGGTGTGGCACCGCGCAAGCACGAATACCGGCGGAAATCGTGAGGTACCGCGCAAGCACGAATACCGGCGGAGTGGTGACGACCGAAAGGGTCAGGTAAACTCTAAAACATAAACTTGAACAACGCGATTTCTACCGAGAGACAACAACAGAAACTCCGAGAGACAACGATTTCTACCGAGAGACTCCGAGAGACAACGCGATTTCTACCGAGCGACAACGATTTCTACCGAGAGACAACAGACAACAATAAATTTCTGTGTTTGTCATGCAAAAAATGGATGCGAATGGATTTTTTTCTGTGGATAGCTCGCGGTCATCGTCCACAAACTTCTTCTCGTCGTCCTCGGCCCACTGTGCGCCGCAGCGGATCGCCTCGGGAACGGTGTTATCAAACAACGGGTCTTTGGCTCGGGCCTCGCGCTGTTCGGGGGTGAGCTCGTCGTCCAAGTTGCCATGTCTCTGCTCCGCTGCTGGGTCTTTGGTGGTGGGAAGATTCGCCGCGGCCGCAAAAAGCTCGGAAATCGCGTTGCCCGCGCTGGGAGGACCGGAGGACAACATTTGTTCTGAAAACCAACTATTTGGCCGCAAAAACAAACTACCAAGGTCAAGAAATGACTGAGACTGAGTAGATACCTGACCACGTAGTTGCTCTAGCTCAAGTTCGGACAAATCACAAGCACCGCGCGTCGTCTAATTCTATCCGACCATTTTTTAACAGGAAACTCGATGTCTCTACACACCAACTCAACTGGCTGGCTCGCTCACGTTCTCCGAAATAATCTTCGTGTTCTCTCAATAGCTCTGAACTTCCGATGCTCTCAAAAACGTCGAAGCTGTCGCTCGACGTCCTACCTGTGCTCGTAGAAGTACTCCTCCTTCGATAGCTTGATGCTTGATGCACTTTGCGTTTGCAGTGCCTCACTTCTATATCAATATTTTCATGACCTGGTAACATCAGGTACTACTCGAAAGTAGATACGGTTGCGAAGCTGCGATGGTGTACTTACGTCACTATACAGTGACGTAGATGTTGCTCATCAGACTTTTCACACCCCCAAGATGTAGACACTGAACAAGAAAAGCAACACGACGGTAACGTCGCCTGCCAACATAAGGAAGCCGGGGTGAGTTCGCTCTCCTCGAAAATCAGGATGGTTATTCAGTTGTGTACACAACGAAAAGAATGCAACATGAGGCAGGGGACGGGGTAAAACGAATGGCATGAATTTCTCCGTGCAACAAACAAAACAAAGTAGTAGAACTGACGGCAAGTGGTCTGCAAGCGCAGTCTAGCAGAAGTTCAGGATTTCTCGTCTTTACTCGCTTCCATTTCCTCATCTTGTCTGAGCTCGGATCGAAGGGCACACAACAGCGACCAACTGTATTTCAATTTCTCGTTCTCCTTACTACAAAACGGAGATTGACATTGTTTTTTTCGCCAATTTATGCGGCTGCTGTTGAAGGATGAAAAAGTGAAAATTTTCTTTACTTACTCTACTAGAGGCTGTAGTAATTTGTCGTAGCAGACAGCACCGGCGTGGTTGTGTACTAGAAGTGAAGTTGCGTTGTCATCGGTACTTTGAATTTGATGACACCGGTCTGACATTGCCTTCTCCTCGCGAGTTTTTCAAGAGTTTCCTGCCGCGCGCCTCATGTCCGGAAATAATAGACACTAGCGGCCGATGGAAGACTGCTCTACACATGCTAGCGTCACAACAATGCTGTTGCGGTTCGTGTCGAGATTGCAGTCCTTGTTGCTGGGTTATGTCAGTCAGGGATTCTTATCTGACTTGGTCGTCGCGTAATGACAAAAAGGATGGAAACACAACATATTAACTAGATTGTTGATGAGTGTCGTAAATCTTAAGGGAAGGCTATGAAGCTGATCTCACAAACCCACATTCCCCTCCCATAAATCTGTTGTCAAATGGGTCAAACCTGCCATTTCCGATTGGAATGACGAGAGGCATCAATATATTGGTTCATTTCAATTTTACTCAGTTCAACTGTTCAAATAGGTAGTGACCATGATGTAGTTCTTTTAAATATGATTCGCTGCGGACAGTGTAATAGGTACAGGTGTAAAAGCGAAAGTCTGCTTCGTCCGAATCGAGTACGATTTCAACACGACCGATCGAGCGAGGCGTCCCAGGTCGTCAAACAGGACTAGGACTACTTCGCCTTCCATTGATTGGTTTCACGTCGTCGAGGATGCTTTTGCAGGCCACTTCTGTCGTTATCTGTGGATTTCGTTTTATCCACTGTACTTAATGCCTGCTATACTTTTTCTTCTTTGTTACCTCTCCGACCCTTGCGGTAAACTAATTAGCCCACCTCGTTGTAAAAAAATCTGCGAAAGAATTAGAGTCAATTCTTGTAGCGGCGACGCTCCTCGACTTTCGGCCTATAATTTTTTTTGCTGTCCTGCGTGTTCGGTGGCAGGTCCTGGTCAGCAGTACACATGTACAGTCAGATAGGTACAACAAATGATTATGTCGAAGAAGTATCTATTTGCTGTTGCTGCTTTTATCTCCAAACGAGACTCAGCAAGGCAACGGCTTTGATTCAGATTTTCTCGATTCTGTAATAGCCAACGATATTCAGACCGCAACAAATATCGCTTGTTCTGTTTTCGAAATATATCTTTGATATTACCAACGAATAAAAACCATAAACATAGTTGTGGACAAGCCTAGTTCTAGTACGAATGGAATATATGACGGAAAGTGATAGTAGTACTTAAAATCGTTTTTTTGGTGCAACCTGAGAACGAAAAGACAGATGAAGAATCCACAAACCGAGGAGGTAGCTTTTGCCCCATCAATACATCTTTCCATCATCAGGTGCGTTTTTGCGTTTTTTTTCTTCTTGACAAAGCAGTAGATACGACTCATCATGATGTAGATACTCAAGGATTTTTTTTCTTGAAACTTTTTGTTTTTAGGAACGAAAAATAAATAGATAAAAGCAGTCGCTTTCAACAGGACATTGGAGTAAATCAAACACAAAAAGGAAACTAGACATTAAATGGTTCGTTGAAACAACATCTACACTGGTGTAGTATTCAATTCTTCTGAATAGAATTGGCACTGACTGGAAAGGAAGAAAAAAAAAGTTAAATTGTTTCAAAAAAGAAGGACCAACGTCGTGATCTTTCACCTATGTATCAATTGCAATACTAGGGAAAGCCACAGCGGAAAAAAATGTGCAGCCACGCCTTCGCTATCAAGGCGTTCAAAAAGTTCGAAAGATTCGTGCATATTTATAGACGATGCCCTAGTGCTTTTCCTTTTCCACGGACGCGTCACGACAACATAAGTGACAGCATACTTCTACCTTCTTGACCCTACAGCAAGTTTCATAGAAACAAATGCAGCATCAAATCTAAGGCGGATACTCATACTTATGCACTTCGATGCTGATGGCGATGGGATTCATGCGGCGCAAGCAGCGGGCACCTTCTATATTAATTTGCCTGGAGTTCCTGTTCCTGGAATAGGGGTGCGCTGCTTTTTGTCGCAGTGCCGCTCCTTTTTTGCTCCAGTTTGATCTTGCTCTTTCGAATTGCATATCTTTTGGTTTTACCACACCATCTACCTCGACGGCACCAGCGTTGGTTGGAGTACGGCCGTAGTATTGTCTGTAATGCACAAGCGTCGCCTACGCGTTGCAATTTTCTTTTTTTCAGAATTGATTTTTTTTTCTTTAGATTTACTTTTCTACTTCGTTCTCTTCACTGTTGGGTACAATTTCCCGATTGAGCCTCGACCGCCTGGCCCTGCTCCGCAGAGGCAGACGCAGGCTCCTCCGCTGTGGTTGTGGCCTCCTGGTGCTTCTCCGCAGACTTCTCGGGCGTCTTGTGCTTTTTCGATGTCGACACTGCATCGGTCTGTTTGAGTCGTGTTATGTCGATTGATAATTGACAGTCTTTCACTTTCTAAATAAGATGAAGTACGTGAAACAACCCGCCAAACCCAGAGCCAGATCAAAGATCGTGCATGATTAACATCTTGCTCCTCGTCACAATGATGTAAAACAGGAACAAGAATCCGAATCACTCAGGGAAAACGCCGAGAATTTGATATTTGACGCCGTCGATCATGCCCGCATTCATGATTTTCAATCTATATTCGACTTGCATGGAAAACAACATCTACCTGATCTCTCCCTTCTACGGGGGCGGGACCCTCCGCACCACCATACTCCTTCTGGTCGGAGCCCTTTCCGCTCCTGTGGCCGTTTTTGTCAACAGCTCCACCGCCGGACTTGGGCGATTTGTGCTCCGAATGAGATTTCTCCTTCTCATGCGAGTACTTTTCGCCGTGCTTGTCGCGCTTGGAGGGCTTGTAGTCCGAGGGAGATGCGTAATTTTTGTCGTACGCGTAGTACTCTTTTCCACTACTCGCGTTGCCATACTTATCGTACTTGGAAGCGCCATAATCCTCGTACCGGTCGTACTGCTTCTTGCCACTCGTGCTGTAGCCCTGCTCATTGTACCAATTGGACTTGTGTTCCCGCTTGCTCGTTCGCTCCTCGCCCCACCATTCCTGTTCCTTGTACGCGCGTTTGTCGTAGGCCCTGCAAGGACGAAGGAGGAATATATAATCTGCACGTTAGAGTTGTCGACCCTTCGGCCAATCGACAAACTACACCGAAAAAGTAAAAAGGACCAGGGCGGGGGAAAGCGACAGCTGCATACTCAAGCAGTAGAAAAACTAACTCTACTTCCTCGACGGCCATTTACAAAACAACCTCAACCTAGTACGAAAAATATGAATGAATATCATCATGCTTCATTACCTGTCTTGTTTCCACGACTTGTTCCAGTCCTCCTCCCAATGCTGGGCGGCCTGCTTATTTGTTTTACTGTTATCTCCCTCTCCGTCATCGATGTGTAGTTCGCCGCCGATCGGTCCGCGCTCCCGACGCTCCTCGCTGTACACTTCTCGCGGCTCCCGGTCGTCGTATCGCGCCTTGCCCTTCTTTCCGGAACCTTTCTTACCGTCGCCCTTCTTTCCGTTTTCGCCCTTGCCTTTCCCGGGCGGAACCTCCCTGCTATCGTGTTCGGCGCTCGCAGAGCTGTACGGCTGCTCTTCGCTCTGCTCCGCGTCCTGGGGCTCTTTCGAGGAGCTCTGCTGAAAGTTATTGTCTCGGTCGCCTGCTCCACCGTCACGGTCTCCACCACGACCACCGCCTTTCTTGCCATTTCCGCGCTTACCACCCTCCCGTGCCTGGCGCCTGCGTTAAGGTGAGTAGGGTAGCGTCGAATTTGAATGAGTTTCTACTTTCGACCAGGCCGAATATACGTACACTGTGAGCACGATGCGCTCAGTTTCATATTTTGTTTTTGACACACGACATAATGCAGCTAAAGTGTTAAGCATCGTAACATTTAGATAAGAAAAAACATAAAGCTGCAACAGCATATCCAAACATCAATACTCGTGCTTCTCTTTGTAATACTCCTTGTCCTTGACCCGACCACCCTGTCGCGTTTCCGCGAGTTTGGCAGTGACAAGTCCCTTCGCGGGATTGTCGCCTTCAAGTGTAGCGGCAACAAGCTTGAACCGCAGCAGAAATGGCAATGGGTAAATGCGCTGCTCAACATCCAGACCTACGAAAAATTTTAGTTTGAAAAACTAAAACGACAGCACCAGCTGATCTAACTTCTACGTACAAATACCGGAATCTCATTCGCTCCGCATTGCTTCAGCAAAATTTTGCTCGACCAACATGAGCAGTTGAAATTCATCATCAGGAGGCCCTTCACGCTCTACTTGCGTGTCGATAGATTTATGTAGACATGCTCCTTGTCATGATAGTTCGTAAAATTTTTTATGCATTTCCATTTAGTTTCGCTAGTACCTGGGACATCCCCGTAGTCTGGTTCGGACTCGACCTCGTCTTCGGGGGCAAGTTCCAAAAAGGTCGGGCCACCAATCGCGCGCGCATGAACCGTGACCCACCCGTCCGGTTCGATCGGCATGCGAACCACGCCGGGGTCGACACGAATCGTCTCCCCCGCCTGCACACAGGTATCGCCGGGCAAGAGTCGACGGGTTTCCAGCGACGACATATCGGCTGCTTCGCGGACCTGGTTTATTTCGTTTCCGTTTTCATTAAAGATATGTACCAATTTGCACTCAAAGGCGCGAGCGTCGTCGGCGTGAACATTTGTAGCATACGGGGACAATGTAGTTGTGAAGACGGGGTCTAGTTCGGACTCGGCACTGCGGAAATATTGTAAGTAAAACCAACAGCAATACGATAGCGTCTTTGAAGTCTTCTGCTCCGAGGCGGACACGCCACTTGGTGCCTTTGCCTCCTGATTTTTCCTCAATCGTAAGCTCTGGTGGCGGCAGTTTGGGACTGTTGATGGCGGCAACGGGCGGCGCGGGGGCGGGGGCGGCCACAACCTGCTGCACGACGGCCGGGGAGCCTTTATTTCCGGGTGCTTCTTCTGGTTTTCCGACTGCCAATACCGGGGATGCCGCGTTCGCTGGCTTCATCTTTCCGGGGCCCTTTCCACCGTACGGGTCGATGGCGCCCATCAATGGTCCTCCCTGCTTGCCCGCGGCCATGGGATCCATCGGACTCTTGGCAGCTACAACATTCGGATTCGGAAATTGTTGATTGTGCATGTGTTGTCTGATGACTGTTATGAGGGAAGTTTGTGTAGTGCGGTGCAATGTAGAAGATCATACTGCACCAGCCCAGCATTTGCACAATGCGGAATGGCAGATCGACTTTGAACTTGAAGTGATGTCGCGTATGCAAATGGATGAAATATTCATCAGTAGAGCATGAGCGACTACTCACTTGACTTTTTTAGTCTACCAACTGCAGCGCCGTCAAAAAAAAACAAACATTTGATACCTGCAGCCTTCTGTTGCTGGTACAGCATGGCCATTGCCTGCGCATTGGCCGGATCGTATGGGCTGCCGGGCTTTCCTGCGGCACCCGGTTGCTGCCCCGGCATTGGGAATCCTTTGGGTCCCATTGCGCCCGCGAGAAGAGGTTTTCCCTTCAACGGACCTGCCATCAGCTGCGGCTGATACATCGCCGGCACTAAACCCTTCATTTGCAGTGCGGGGCTGATCATCGGTGGCAGTGCCCCCTTCATCTTGCCTGCAGCAGCAAGCTGTAGAGCCGCGTTCTGGAGCGCGGCCTGCTGCTGTGCCTGCGCGGCGGCCTGTTGCTGCTGCTGTTGCTGCTGTGCCTGCAATTGCGCCTGCATCGCGGCGTTGACTGGCTGGTGGACCAGCGTGTGTGTGGTGCCATAACCCGGACTTGCGGCAGTGGGCGAGGGTCCACCGTACTGTCGACTTTGCGTTTGCTGTCCGCCAGGCGTGCCGGCCTGCGGCGCGGAGGAAGAGGAGTTGCCGGGTTGTTGCCCGCCGTTGATTGCAGCGGTTAAAATTTCCTTTGCCGCCGCCTGCTTTTCTTTCATCTGCCTCTCGTGCTCCGCGTTGGCCTGGACAAGTTGTGGAGAAGAAACTTCTAGTAGGAGTGACACATACCCAACTCTATTTTGTATGTAGTGAAAATCTTTCCAACTACGCTGCTAAGAGTCAGCGTAAGAGCAAGAAATAGAAACATTCTCTAATCTACTCTAGGCCGGAACCGCAAGGCTGCAAATTTAGATTTACAAAAAAAAACTACAGCATCTTACCGGTAACGTGAGCGTGTCGATCCGGAGCTTGTCTTTGGGCATCAAGAACTCTTGTGGGCCTTTTTTGGCGTCGTTCACCTCCACCTTGTATCTACAGGAACTGTCGTCAAAGGCCTTCACAACTCCCTTGGCACCATTCAATTCTCGAATTGGAAAGTCGATGATGGTCACTTCACTACCGACCGGGATCAGTGACTTTGGTGGAACTGTAGAAAAGATTGCTTCCAGAATCAGTTTATGGGAGTGCGTGCAGCGAATGTCGCATAATAGATTGGTCTTCGAAAAACTTGGAAACAGAAACACCATCGCAGTCCATGTGTTTTTGGACGTATGTGTATGTCGTGAAACAAAAAGTTATACCTGGTCTATCGCTTTGCATGGGCGCGTGGTATGCCTGCGGGTAATACAAGTAGTCGTCCTTATGGTGGCTTAGCTCTTGCATCAGTGCCGCTTCCTGTCTCACCTTTTTTTCCGCGTCCTCTTGCGCTCTTCGGATTGTTTCGTTCATGGACGGCTTTGCCGCGCTGCCACCGCCACTGCTCGTGTTGCCTGCCGGGGACGTCAATTTGTTGTCGCCGTCTAGAGTTTTCGTTTTTTGAGTATTGTGATGAGTTACTTGTCCTGTGCTCAAAAGGCTGACACTTTCGTACTTTTTCTCCTTAAACATTGTTGAAGAAACTAGTACCAGCGTCTTGTCGAGTCTCACCTACTTTTCCATGGCATGTATGAGAGTTCTGTTGGATACTAGTAAGGGATCATTAGGTAGAGGAAATACTGCTGAAAGAATTGAATGGATTTACTCTGGCGCGCAACCCGCCGAATACAAAAGTAACGAACATACCTCCCATGCCCATCATTCCCTGTACAGCTCCCATTCCGCCACCTCCTATCTGATTGTTGGTGGGCACCGGTGGCCCGCTAATTTGTGCCTTTCTCTTGGCTTCGTCATTCAACTTCTTCAACTTTTCGATTTCCTCCGCAGTCGCGGGCGGTTCCATCGCGGGGGCGGCGTCCCCGGATGGTGCTGGTTCCAGCACGCGCACATTTCGGGCCTGGGGTCGCAGCGTCTGGGGGTCGTAAAATAAGATGAATTCGACGCGCTCCCCGGCAATGAGACCGATGCGCCCCACTAAATGTGTGTTGTAAACGAAGATATCGCCGGTAATCGACTGCAATTGCTCGGAGGTGATAAACCCAAACCCTTTTCTGGTGGAGTACGTCTTCACGTGGCCCTGCAGGTAAGTCTCGTCCGTTTCTCTCGCGGGTAATGGCCCGGTGCTTGCTCCTGCAGCCGCCTGCACGGACTTCTGCAAGTCACTCACCGCGGTCGCGGCATCGGGCGTGTGCAGCGTTGGTGACGCCCCATTCTTTGCAAGGTCGGAGTTGTCGTCCGAGGCCGGAGCTACCACGTCGGCAGTCGCCATACTTTAGTCTGTAATTGTGTTCCTTATGCTAGCTTATGCAGCCGTCCAATCCACTTATTACGTGGTCTGTTTGAAGATGAGAAGATTCGGCGTGGTCACAGTATGTACTGATGTTCTCAATATCGACGCGGGTTTGAACGTCCGGTGTTTTATGGTCTTTTCTTTCTCCCGCCGGTGCTGGTTGCGAAGCTTCTCGGGACTGCTACTGGAATTCTTCCACAACCAAAAACAAAAAGTTTGATTGTTGGAAAGAAGAAAGTACGACGTGTCGTTTCTTCCCCGTGGCACTTTTCAGAAGCTCTTATTTCTACCCACCAAGTACAATTGTATTTGCTTGTTCTCTCCTACTTCTTTTTCATCTCAAAACTACTACTGAAATTACCACGCTCTTAAATTGTGTTTTAGTTTTTTGCGTTTATTTTTTCGTTCTAAACTTGATGACGCCAGAAGTTCTTAGCAGCCGAATGCTTATCTTTGAAGCGTTGTTCTGTGTTCAGTAGAGCTGCGGCACGCTATTGCCTCAGTGTGTTTTTTCCGGACGTGTAGCTTCTATTGTTTGGTGTTTATTTCGCGCGAACGCTACTTCTACTCCTGAGGCAATACTTTACAATAATACCTGCCAGTGCAGCACTTATCTACTTACCCCCGGCGACACTAGTGCGCAGCAGATCAAATGGCACGCTAGTGCGCTGGGGCAAAGAACCCTTGTCGTAGAACTACGACAAGCCGCTGCAAAACTGCAATTGACTTGGCGTTTGAGGCATATCCGTATCAGTATTGTGTTAAACAACGATTATCATTAAATAGCGGTTTTAGGTTGTAACAACATGCGCTAAAAAAGGTGGCGCTGGAGTGGAAAATTCTTTATCTTTCAGTCTGCCACCTCTTTTCGAAAACAGTCTCGTCTAGCTACGCAAAAACTTTTATCCGCCACGTGTTTTGTCTTTAGTCAACCATGGAAGCTATAGCACCTGCCGTATCTAACCACGGCTGGTTGCGTTGTCGATGTGCGTTTGCCTGTGCGCACAATTAGCGTTTTGCGTTTGCTTTTCTCGGAGACGATCTACTTTGCCAATTAAAGTTCTAGCGTGGTTCAGTTTCTGCAGTACTGGTTTCAAGGAGTCCACTAGTTGATGGTGCCGGCAAATCTTTTCCAGTTTTATTTTACGCGCGCCACGTATTACAGAAAGCAGGTTGTAAAACAAAACTGGAGAGCCTGGAAAAGCGCAAGCAGAAAGAGACAACAAAGCAAAAAAAGTAATGTGGTAGGTGGACGTGAAAAACTTGTAAAAAAAGCAAGTTTTGGCGTCGATAAATGAAATAGTTGTGTCGTCTCTTTTGAAATTGTACACAGAAGATAGAAAAACAGCTACAGCACCAGAGATAATAAAGGAAGCTAAAGGTGGAACGTTCTAAAAACCTATAAATCGCTATTCCCTACTCACACAATGACCACAATGCTGAAAAAAAGCCTCGGACGCTTCAAGTAATAAAATCCTTACGTTTATTTGCCGATGTTACGTGACGATCCTCTGCTTTTTGTCTGATTGGGGGGTAAGTGTAAATTATTCTTAGTTATGCTTTTTTCATAATGCTCATACATTGATTTTCAGATCTGCTAGCACTACCACACACCGCGTATGCTCAAGGGTCTTGGTCTATTTTCATTTCTAGTGGCATCTATTGTACTGATTTAGATTTCAACGAGTTTGCTTGCTGTTTTTACATGAAGGAGAGATCCGTTGCAGTTGCTAGTACTTGTGTGTGTCTGTGAGCTCAAAAGATCGTAGTGCGCGGATAAGCGTGATCGACATCACATGTCTGGGTCTGTCGTAGATCGAGAACTCAACGCGTTTTGTGGACATTTCTTCCTTGCTAGTGTATAGTTACTTCAGTGCGGAACTCATGTTGTATGCTAGAACAGTGCATCCAAACCACGAAGCGTCTTGCTTGGCCGAGCTGAACACAGCTGTTAGCGCATATGAGAATTGCGCTACGCAAGTACAAGTAGTGGATCATGCGTATGCAACTGAGAGCAGAGAGGCTCGGCTTGCCTTCGTTCATGCCAATGGAACCAAGAAGTAAGCGGTAGCACCAATCTTACTTGAAACGTGAAACATTTTCGGTTTCTTTACTTTCTGGTAGGTTTTTTTATCGCATCAATTTTACATTTTTTCTTTGCTCATCGCACGAGCGCTTATTCGGCGTTGCTGGTTTTCGACACTGGAGACTCCTCCGGGATTCCGACAGGGTTGTAGCTCTCCGTCGGTGGTTTCGACGTTTTTGTGGCGCTGCCATGATCCTCCGTCTTTTCATCTTCTCCACTGCCCGCAACTCCACTACCGGTCGTGTCATCCACCAGCTTGCCACTGCCGGCTCCTGCTGCGTCGGAATCCGTCTTGCCGATTTTTTCCGCCCTGTCGGTGTTGTGGACATCCGAATGCGGTACTGCCAGGTCGTCGTCGTCACCGGCCAATGCGGACTTCGGCCTCCTGCCGCCTTTATTCACCGCCACCTCGTCGTCATTCACGAGGATATCACCCAGTTTAACCTGCTGCTCTGCGCGCTCGGCCTGGGACAGAATTTTCTTGTTCGCAGCGGGGATGACTTTGTCCGAGCGGATGCGGTAGAGCGTTCCCGCGTCTGCAGACGACGTCGCTGCTCCGATTTTGTCCTCGCTTTGTGCAAAAAAGTCGCCTTTGCCCTTCTTGCTCGGTCGCTTCACGACCCATTGCCGCCCCTCCCAGACGTCGTCGTTCACGTCCACGAGCTCCATGGGTACGTTTGCGCATCCACAGGCGGCGTCGGAGGGTAGTTTGGTGAAGACAATCAGGTCGCCGGGGCGGAATTCTGGTGCAGTTCATGATTTGGGGAAATAAAACAAAACAACACCAAAATACCGTAATTACCTACTTACTTTCGTATAGTCACTGCAGTTGCCATTGAGAAAAAAAGTCATCAACTAATAGTACGGTCTCCCTCCGGCCCGATCCATTTGCTCGCCTCCGGTTTCTTCGGGAGTGCGCGCAAGGTGATTACTGAGTGCGGTCCAAGTTTCAAATCCGTCAGGGTTTCCCCCAGATCTTGTATCCTGTCCTCGTCGAACGAGAAGTCTTCCATATTCGCCAGAATCCGCTCCTGCTTCTCCCCGGACGACAGCGCGCTGATGCTCGCGCCCGTGCGCTTGTTGTCGAGTTGCTGCTTCTCTAGCTTCACCTGGTCCTGCTGCTTTTTGTTCAACCCGGCCAGGTCTTGCCAGTCCTTCACGATGTCTTCCTCGCTCAAGTATGACAGTGCACAACTCCCCCTCCCCCTCGTTTGTACAGCATGAACGGCAATACAAGCATCAGCAAGAGTGCCGGTTTTGCATGAGAAATTTGCGCTGGAGTGTAGGGCTATTTGGGCTGCCAGAACTTGTCATGCAAACACTGCCAAGAGCAGGCAAAGGGTGGACTGGGTATTTTGCATGACAAATGAGGGGAGGGGGAGTTGTGCACTGTCATATCAAAGCCTTCTCGTCCACGATCTCCTCATCGTTCATGTCGTCTTCCTTTCCCTCGGACACGACCGGCTCCTGTATGAAATGTAAAAATGTCTGGGTCTGGAAGATTCTGAGATTTGTCATGCATGTTTTGCATTGGCCATGATGTCTGTGATGCATGCCCTAGCATCACAGATTTTTTGAGGGTTTCGCGATGCCTATTCCGCATGACAAATGCCCTCTCCGCGTAGCAAAAATTGCATTCCCTTTGCTGCTCATGCAATACAGATTTTTTTGGAATCCAAATTCAGCATCACAAGTTGCATTCTTCCAGACCCAGACATTTTTACTTTTGATATCCTGCTTGTACAGCCTGAACCGGTACCTGCCGGAGGTGAACTGCTTCTTCAGGAAGGGGTTGCGGTACAAAAACTCCTGGATGGCGTATTTGGTGAGGTCCTTCATCTTCGTTTTCTCGAAGGCGTTCATGCTGAAGGTGGTTTCCAGCGGCGCGTCACTCGTCGTAAAGTCGCCCACCACTTCCACCGTGATCGGGATCGGGCAATCCATCTGGTCGATGTCGTCGGGCAGGGGCTTTCCGCCCTTCGCTTCCTTTGTGACCTCTTCCCCCGTGAGATAAGGGTTTTTCGCCATGATTCGATCCCGTTTCCGGATGGTGTTGACCTTCACGAAGTCGTAGAATTCCCGGAACTCGGATTTCGTCATCAGCGGCCTTTGCCTGCAAACAAATTTGCTCCACTCCATGTCCGTGTGTTTGACCAGAAACGCGCCCATCTGGTACAGGTAACTGTTTTGCGACACGATTTTGCCCGGTTGGTCTGTCTGCAGTAGAGACAGGACGTTCTTCACGAGCGGCGCGGGTTGGTAGCGGAAATCGACTTTGGGCGCCACGGCCACCACACCACCGTTTGTTCCCGCAGCGTCGCCGTAACCCATATCCCGTAAATTCGCGTAGCTCTTCATGACCTGCTGCTTGAAGATGTTGCCCCACCCCTTGTTCGCGTTTTCCTTGTCAAAGGCCTTCTTCGCTTTTTCCGGATCCATGGACGCTTCGATCGCTTTGAGGTCGTTCTTGATCACGAAGTACTGCATCGTCAAGTCGTCTAGTGCCCGCTCCTGGCTGTACGTTTGCTTGTCGCGGCGGAGGCGGAAGTTCCAGACTTTGTCCAACTGCATGATTTCTGCGTCGGACACCGTTGTCGACACGCATTGGGGGATGCGGCGGAACGACACCGGCGGGAGGTACAGACACTGGTGCTTGAAATTCACACTGTCTTCGGCGTACTGGCCCTCTTTCGGATAATTGTCCGTGCAGAAGTCGCCCCACTTGTCGTACAGAGAGGTGAGCTTCTCCTTCGGGTCCCACTTCGCCAGCTTGTCGTGCGTATCGCCGCGCTCCACGCCGGCGTCGGTCTCGTAGAATGCACGATGGTGCCGTGTCGCGATCTTGTTCCGCTTTTGCCGCTCTTCTAGGAACGAGGAAGGTGCGTTCTTCGCGAGGACCGCCGTTTGCAAAGCAGATGTGCGAGAAAACCACACTGAAGTATGTTGCGACTGCCGATTTTGTGGCTTGGGTTCCGACAACTCGAAGAGTACGTCATCCAAATCTGTGTCACTCTCGTCATTGGCGTCGTGAAGAAAGGAATCGACGTCGGTTGCTACTTCACCGGACGTTGATGACGGTTGCTGTTGCTGACCACGAGAGAGGTCCTCATTCTCCTGCATCAAGCCTCCAGCGAAGCCAAAAACCAGACCTGCTTTAGCACTTTTTCTTTGACCAGTCGCGCCTTCCAAATGAAGATCCGCGGGATCAAGCTGCAACAGCGATTCATGATCTAGATCTTCCGGATCATCGATTTCCAGAAATGAGTTTGAAGAGGAAGATGCAGTTGAAGAGCGAAAAATGCTTGCTCTGTCGCTGTCTTCCAAATCCGCGGACTCGTCCCCGTCGTCGTCCCCCTCACTCCAACGCTCGGCCGCACTTTCGTATCCGTACGCTGAGGGCGTTCTTTTATAGCGGTGTCGCTTCATTCTACTTCGACTTGCTCTTGCATCTGCATGTTGGCGATCCTGTTCGCCAGGTCGTCCAGGCGCGACACCATTATCTTTCTCCATCAACATCAAGCGCTTCCCGGATTTTTCGTTCGCATATCCAGGAAAAAACACCCATCCCCATCCATTTTTTGCATGACAAATAGTGGATTTTATACATGTTTTGCATGACAAATTGGATGGGCATGGGTGTTTTTTCCTGGATATCGCAGCGAGAATTCCGCCAAACAGGTCGGCTGCCGAGTCCGCGATGTAGTTCGGCGCGTCCACATATCAAGTGCAAAAATGTCTGGGTCTGGAAGATTGCTAGGTTTGTCATGCATAATTTGCATAACCCATGAAGCCTGAAATGCATTAACTAGCATCACAGATTTTCAAACGGCATTCTGATGCGTATTCCGCATGAGAAACGCCCACTCCGCGTAGCACAAAGTGAACTCCTCTTGCTGGTCATGCAATACAGATTTTTTTTCACCTTCCAAAGACAGCATCACAAGTTGCAACCTTCCAGACCCAGACATTTTTGCATTTGATACCACAACCGCTCTCCCGAGGAGCACGTCCCGCAGGTCTGCAAACTCCTTGTTCTCATCGTTGTAAAACGCATCCTCGTGGTCGTCGTTCTCACTCGTCACACTGCCGCGAATAAGTTCCATGTCCACGTCGTCGCCCAGTCCCAACGATCGCAAAATCTGCTCGTCCTCGTCGATTTTTTCGGTCTCCTGCGCTGCGTATCTTTGCACAACCTGCTGCTGGAGGAAAGACGACGTGTCAACCAGGTCGTCCTGGGCAATGTCTATATCCAGCTCCGGCACCTCCACATCGGATGCTGTCGTAGACGAAGTGGAATGATCCGATGATGCACTACTAGTAGTTCGGCCACCCCCCTCTGCTTCCATCTCGCGCTCGATTTGCAACTTGTCTTCTTCGCCCGGGTTCATCCAGACCGAGTTCAGAATCTCTTCGTCGGAAAGCGGGGCGTCGGGATGATCTTGTGCCTTGCTATTCGCTTTCGCTTGCGGTTGCTGCTTCTCGACGTGCGTGCCAACTCGTGCGCCAGCTACTTCAGCTTCTTCGTAGCCTCTGGATTTTCCCAATTTTTGTGTTGACACTGTTAGTGGTTTGTTCGCCGTCCCGCTGTTCGGAAAGTTCCACGACATATGTGAAGATGCGGTTGGTTCTTGTGACTCTTCAGCTAACGCGACCGGCGGCGTAGACGACTCCGCAAGAATTTTTCCACCGCCGCCAGTGCTGCTGCTGGTGCTGCTGCCACCTCCAGCACCTGATATCGCCTGAAGCAGTTTTCCGCCGACTTCGCGAATCGCGTCTTCCTCAGTCCCGTCCCCGACCGCCGTCCCGTCGTCGCTTTCTCGCTCTCTCCGTTCCAACGTGCTGGACTTCTTGGTAGTAACTGGCAGCGGCGGCGGCTCCTGATCGACCTCGGGCTTTCCCGTGTCCTCACCCGTGTTCTTCGCTTCCCGCACAAACTCCTCCTCCTCGTTACTGGTCGGGGGATTGGGACTATCTTCGAGCAAATGCCCCAAAGTCGTTCCCTGCCGATGGTCCCAGTACATGGACACCTCCTCCCGAATCCGCTTGTTCCGCTCCACACAGGAGAACTCACTCATCGCCAACGACACCACATCGGACGCGTCTTTCGCGTACTTGCTTTTGTAGCCCTGCAACAGCACCTTCAGCCGCGCCGTCCGGGCCCGGAGATACTCCGCCATCTCCTTGAACTTTGGCGCCTTGTCCTCGATGGCGAGCACGTGTTTTTTCTGCTGTTGGAGCAAGTGCGGAAACATCGTCGTCACGTCCCGGGCTAAGTCCTTGAGCGTGTAGTCTCGCCGGTCGTTCAGCGGCCGCGTGTTCATCACCCCCCGCAGAGGACCCATCCTCACCTCGTTCAGGCTCGAGGGGGTATCCGCAGCCGGCATGTCCTCTACATTTTGGATCAGCGGCCGGAGAACGGCTTTGGGGAGGTACCTGACGCCCCTCGGCGTGCTCATCTTCAGCCACCCTGGGTTGTCCGGATCCATCTCCCCCCACACCACGTCGCCGGACAACCGATGCACGTCCGGCATGTCGACTTCCAGAGCCGGGGAGATCTTCTTCGCCGTGTAAAAGGGCACTCCCTCGAGGAACTCTGACTCCAGGTCCTCCGGCCGGACGCCGCTCTGGAGCGACACGATGTAGGTTTTCTCTCCGTTGGCGTCTGACGATGATCTCCTTCCCTCATGCTCATCCTCGTCGTGGTCGAAGCTGTGGGCACTGGATGTACTGATCACGTTTTTCGGGCGGAAAAAGTGCCAGTCGGAAATGCGCCGATGCGTTTCCTTGCCCGTCTTCTTGTCCACCGTGATGATGATCGCCCGGTGATTCACGTCTGACCGCATGAACCCGCGGCCATCAAGGAGTAAGAACTTACCGTAGGAGTCTTTGGCCGTCGATTCATCGTCTTTCTCAAGCTCCTTCTGCACCTTCTGGGCGTCGCTTGGATCCGCCTTGGAAAAGTCCGCGGACTTCTGCAGCTGGTACACCCCGTCGCCTCGGTTCTGCAGATCCAAACTGCCCAGCAGGTCGAGTTTCTGCAAGACTTTTCCGATTTGCGCCTTTGAGCGAAGTGTCTTCACCAGTCCGGCAGACAGCGTGGCCTGCTTCTTTCGTTTCTCCTGGTCGATCTCTGGTGTATTTTCTTTATTTTCCTGCTCCTGTTCCCCTTCGCTATTTTCGCCCGTTCTTTCCACGCTGGTCTCATCGAACGTGACGAAGTCCATTTTTCCGGTCAGCGCCTCAATGATACGGTCACATTCGTCCCCGGTCAACAAATTCGGGCTAGCGCTGCTCGACGAGGCACTGTCTGGCTTTTTGATGGAGATCACGCCCCGATCCTCAACCACATCCAGGGCGTTGGTGGTTTCTGTATCGGTCCCGCTAACGACGTCGGTGAGCGACACTTTCTCGAGCTTGTGCTTCACTTGCTCCAGCAAGTCCTTCTGCCCCCCCTTCGAGCTGAAGGCGATCGCGACGAACCGCGGCCCGTTCATGTCCTCGCGAAAGGCGCGCAGCTCCCGGTTGGCGCTGTCCTGAGCTTCCTGCACTAACTCGTCACTGTCGGGAAAGTACACGTCGCGCGGCTCCACCTCGATTCCGGATGTGGCGACGGACTGGAAATTGAACTTCGGCAACTTCACCAAATTCGACTTCACCAGCTGAATCACGTCTTCCAAACTGCCCTCGGATTGTTCGTTTTTCGTGCCGCTCTCTTCTACTGTTCCGCTGTCGCCAAGCCTGGTTTTCTCGTCATTGGTCTTTGCTTCGGTCGGCGGCTTCAGCAAAGCCACAGAGTACTTGCCCTGGTTCTTGTTGGACGGAACCACCTTCACGATACCGATTTTATCGTTTACGCTCTCCGCCCCTGCTTGCGTGTATCCCACCACCCTTACTCGGTCGCCCGGTTGCAAATTGCTACTGCCCTCACCCGATTCGTCCGGCGGGGGCGCTACTGGCGCAGACCGAAACCATTTCGTCGTGTGCTCTGCCTGCTTACTTTTCCCGAAGTGCGGAACCTTGTACGGGACGAAAACCGAGGAGGGTAAGGTCGCCTGGAAGCTCGGTTCCGCATGCTCAGCAATGATTTCTCGGAAGTCCGAGGGATTCCGAAACAACCCGACACGAAATTTTGTGGCCGCTGCATCAAATTTTTCGCCTTCCTGCTCCACGTTCAGTACGTGGAGCTGGGGGGCGACGAGATCCGGAAACACCGACCGCAACCCTAGTTCGCTGGCTTGCAACCTGGAAAACATTTGTAGTCGTAAAGGAGGACGTGGGTGCTACTCTTCTAAACCGTGAAAATTTTGTTGGAAGACAGGCCTGCAAGATATCATTCCAACTCACTTTTCGATGAAAATGAAGAACAGTTATTAATTTTGTTCTCATTATAGAAGCAACGGCAAACATGCCAATACAAATTCATGCAAGCATAACTTTTAGTACGCGCTCGACCCGCCTTCTATCGCTTTTTCGCCGGAGGTCTTCAATGCGATTGCCAATAACTCGTCCAGTTTCTTCTGGTGCATGGCTGCGCGCGCCTGGCCCTTGATTTCACTTTTCGCGCTCATTCCAGACTTATCAAATGTAAAAATGTCTGGGTCTGCGTCTGGAAGAATGCAAGATTTGTCATGCATATTTCTCATGACCCATGATGCCTGTAATGCATGCCCTAGCATCACAGGTTTTTTGAGGGATTCTCGATGCCCATTCCGCATGACAAATGCCCTCTCCGCGTAGCAAAAATTAGACTCTGTTTGCTGCTCATGCAACACAAGTTTTTTAGTCATCGAAATGCAGCATCACAAGTTGCATTCTTCCAGACCCAGACATCTTTACATTTGATAAGACTGCACCCGGTACATATCGCGTTGGTACGACCCGCCAGGTGGAACTGTATGAAGTGCAAAATAAGTATCGCACTCGTATAAATGCATGACAAATTCCCTTAGCACGACACATAAAATTTGTAATGCGGATTTATCTTGAGAAAAAAATTTGTAATGCGTGATTGCAATTACTACGAGTACGATACTTTTGCACAGGATAAACTGCCATGCGCAGCAATATGCGGGTGCTTTTGGGCTGTTTCGTTGCTTTGTCAATCGCGATACCGAACTGCTTTAAGGCGTCGGCCTCCTTGGGAGAAAAAGTTCTGGGCTGCTCATCTGGTGTACTCTGTTTCTTCGCTGGCTCACCTTCTTCTTCCGCTTTGCCCTCGCTCTCTGCCTGAATTGCTTCTTTCCGAAGCTGCAACGACGAAGCAGCTCCTTCCGCAGCTGTTCCTTCCGCGGCCTTTTCGTCCTGATCCGTCACCGCCCCCACGTACGGACTGGGACTCAGAGCCACGCTACACTTCGTCTGAAACCGTTCCTGCACGTCCGCAATCTGAAAGTTGCACTGGCCCGTGCCGCCCGAGGCCATCGAGACCTGCTTTCCCGTGAGCGCTTCTTTCTGGATGCTCTCGTAGCCGTGCCTCTCTTCTTCGGAAAACGCAGAAAGCAGCTCCGATGGCGGGACCGCACGTATCACGACACTCGACGAATCGGATAAATGCGCGTCCAGCGAATTTTCGTAGCTGCTGTCGGGGGTCGGCACGTACTCGATTTCGCTACTTGGCCCCTCGGCCTCCGTCACGACTTGGATTTGCGCGTCGAGCTTTGTCGCAGCGTATTTCAGGTCAGCGTTGTCGAATTCCTTCCCGATCGCGTCGCGAACCTTGGGCGTGAGAAAATAGGTCTTGTCTGCGTAGACCTGCGCTCGCTGCCCTTTACCGTTCACGCCAGGCACTACTTCCACCCGGACATTCGCTTTTTCCGCCTCCGGAAACGTACTGATGACGTTCTCGGCACGCGTCCTCACTTCGTCACCCGTTGCTGGCGGCGCACTCGGGACATGTGCCTCCTCCTCGAGATGCTTTTTCGGGCCCCGGTCCTCCTTGCCTTTCTCTTTAGTAATGTCGCTGTCATCTTCAGCCTCAGCGTTACCGCTTTTTGTTTCTTCAGCATCTGGCACCGAGTCTTTATTTTTGTCCGCTGTAGCTGACTCATCGTTGCTTGCGTGACTGTCGTCTCCAGGGGCTGCAGAATTTTCGTCCTTTTTTTCGTCCCCCCCTTCTTTGCCGTTTTCTTCTTTCTTGCTTGCATCATCCTCCTGCGCTGCGGCTTCGCTCTCCTTAGAAGTCGTGTCCTCGTCCGCCTTTTTGTCTTCTTCCTTCGAGGATTCATCGCCTTTTTCGGAGGTCTCTTCCGGTTCTTTCGTTTCCTCAGCTTTTTCCGCTTTATTTTGCCCACCTTCTTCTGCATTATCACCCCCCGCTTCTTTCTTCTCTTTGTCAGCACCGCCCTCATCGGCACCACCTCCCCCCTCCTGCGCTCCGAGCTGCAAAGCCGCGCTCGCACTTTTGGCCTTTCCACCGCCCCCACCTCCTCCCGCGAGCGCGACGGAAAAAAGAACCTTCTTCCCTTTGTACTTCCGCAGAGGCACGACCGCGGGAAGGTACACCACCATGTGAGGCACGGCCCCGTTCTGCTGGTTCTTTTTCGAGTGGCCGACAATGTCCTCGTGGTCGGCGAGCACCCACCGCTTCTGGGCGTCCATCCGGCCTTTTACCGTGTCGCCCCAGCGTGCGAGCTTGTGCGCCTGCTCGGCCACGCCCGGCGTCAGGTTCAGCAATATGTGGGGTTCGACCTGCAAAGCGGAGGTGGAGGAGGCTCCAGACCCCGTCATTTTGTACCGCGGGTCCTCCGAATTCACCAAATCGACGTAATAGGGCTGCTCCCCGTCGATCTTCAACTTCCGGTACCGCTGGAACGCGTCTTCGCCGGCCTGAATCCCGAATTTGAAGTAGGGCGCGACCGCGTTTTTGGCGGCCTCGTAGTTCTGACTGGAACAGCGATACTTGATCGGGAAAAAATCCGCCGGCCTCAAAGGATTTTTCAAATCCCCGTCGGTTTTCACCCGTGTCATGCGCAACCGGAGCGGAGAATTGTCGTTCAGGTGGTATTCGAGAGAGGCCTTTTTGATGTCCCGGTCGGCGGAGAGCCGGCAGGTGACGATGGCGTTGTTCCGTTTGTCGACGGAGAGGGCTTTCCTTTTCCGCCTGGCGTCCTTGTCTTTCACGTAGTTGACGATGATGCCGTTGTTCGCCTTTGTTTTGTCCTCCTCGTCGTACCTGGTTGTGGTTTTCGGACAGATCAGCGGCCGGTTACTCAACAACGGCTCCTTCACGTAAACCGCCATGGCGTTGGTCACCTCGGTTGGAATGTCGTCGAAGCCCAGCGCTTTCAACAGCTTCGTCGGGCTCTTCTTTGCGCCCCCATTCCCCTCGCTGGCCTCCTTCGCGGCAGCCGTTGTCGCTTCACTGTTGATCGCGTAGAACCCGGGGGGACAGATCAAGTTCATCGCCTCCTCGATCTTGGAGGAGTCGCCGGGAAACAGCGCTTTGCCCTCTTCCCGCTCTTTCAGCAGCTTTTTCTCCTTCAGATCCATCACGAAACTATGGTCCTGAGCCAGGAGCGGGTCTGTGTCCGCGGCCTCGGACACGCCATGGGCAACGGAGAACGGCACGAACCCGTGTACCTGGTCGTGGGTTGCACCGGAAAGGTCGAAGCTTTCGTCCTCCTCCACAGGAGGACCTACTTGCACTTGCTCAGCGTTCAACTGCAACACGCTTGAAGAGGAAGTAGAAGGAGCTCCTGTCAACTGCGAGGCGCTCGCTCTTGTTCCATCTACTTCGAGCGGCGGAGCTGCTGGTGTTATCGTCGGGTTGACGTCATCCTTCGGATCTGTATCTAGTACTGTGGATGCTGGTCTTGTAGTCCTTATCGCGCTCCGCTTCACTTCTTGAGAAGACGAAGGTGGTGGGTGTCCTTTTGATGCGGCTGATCTCGTCTGGCCTGAGTACATGTTGTCTATCTTCACGCTAGAAGCGGAAGATACACCGCCAGTTCCGCCGGGATCATCAAAGGGCTTTCCCATAATATCGGTATCGCCTTGCTTCTCTAGTAAGGCTGCTCCTTGCATTTTCCTCTCTTTGTTCTCTTTGCTAGCAACTGTAGTTGCTGGAGCGGCAACGTTCGTCGTCATCCTCGACCTCGTCGTGCTTGCTCCGCGCATAGGCAGATAGGTGGCTGCAGCTTCGTAGCTATCGATTGGAATTGCGTTCTCCTCGCGGGGGCTAGAAGCTCGACGTGCCCCCGACGCTCCTGCGCCGGTAGAAGTAGGTTGCCCAGTGTCCAGGCTGCTTTTCGCCGTTGTTGTAGAGGTTGGCGGCCCAAAAACTGCCTCGGCAAAGTGCTCTAGAAATACAGCAATGGGTGGCTTCGTCGGCTTTCTTGAAGCGCCGGGGGCTCGTCTGAGATATTTCCCTTTCGTGCCCTCATGTGCAGGTGCGACCGGAGCGGGTTCCTCCGTGTCGGTTGCTTCGTCCGGCTGCGCCTCACGTCGTTCCGCCTGTCTAGCCTCCTCGCGGTTGTCTGTTTGCACCATCCAGAAAAATTGCACGAGAAACAGGAACACCATCAGGCATCTGCCTGCGGTTTTCCTTGCTGTACTACTCATGCTGGTGCTGCTGTGATGGTGATGATGATGTCGGATTCCGCTCGAGCCTGAGCACTGCTGCGTGATAAGAAAGCGGATTCGTGCGAAGGAATGCCAGACCGGCAACGCAAAGTCCGTTGCGTTTGCCTTCTCACCGTGGTCGAGGAAATGAATTAGCGCACGCATCTCTGCTACAAAAACCAACCGCAACCGAAACCCGTTTTTAGACACTGGGACTACATGTGCAAGTTTGGAAAACACACAGATGCTAGTCTCTTACTTCATCCTCTTGCCTTCGTATTGCAAATAATTGCATTTCAATTTAAACAAAGCAAAAAGCTGTGCCTGGGCTGACGGTTCCGCGACAGACCTGGCTGATAAAAACGCAACGCTGAAATTCTGCCCCTCAACCGCTCACTCGAATAAAGGTATCCGCATGACAGGGACGAATCTTTCGTGCTTTATCATTTTTGTTGTCGTCTTGGTCCTGCCTTTCTCAGAAAATCTCAATGTCACCGTCTAGCACATGTGTCGCCATCACATCACCTTCTCAAACTCATCTTGCACCACTTTTTCAGTGCCCTTCGAACAGCATCAACGAAGAAAACATTGACTTGTGAATACTTCAAAATCTCTTTCGTTGCCGGCATGCGCCCCGGCGAAGCACTCGCAGCAGTGCGGGCGTTGCGCCAGATCGCTGACGACGCCGGGGCAACGCGCACTCCACCTCCATCCTTCCAACAATTGGCGCAAGGCGCCAGCGCCCATAAATGCCATAAATCGAATCCAGCACCGGGGCGGCGGGGTGGAAGCTGCCAACGACGATCGGCATCGGGGAGGCTACTTGGACAGCCCTGCTCCGCATGGGATCGCCGGCCGGCGCCACTGCCCCACGACGGGCGGCTAGAAAGGCGGGCCGAGGGCGCGGGGCACACAGCCCAACGGCACGAGGGCGAACCACAGACGGCGCGCGCCTGGCTCGCGCCGCGTCCCCACCACCCCCCTTGCGGGGGGCAGCGCTTCGCGATCTTGCGCACGGGGCGGCGAACGGCTCGCCGCCCAATGCCGTCGGGGTCGCCACGCCGCGCAGCGGGCGCCAATCACTGGCCGGCTGAGGCGGTAAATCCGAACGGTGGGCGGAGGAACTTACTAGCCGCGCCAGTGGCTGGCGGTCTGCTCGAAGGATCGCTATTCGTGTTGCTGCTTGAGGATGAGGAAGACGACAGCGCAGCCCTGTAGACCGTGGCGGGCTCTCCTTTCCTTCAAGCGATGCACTTCTTACACCATGCGGCGGGTCCGCGGGGTGGTGCAGGCGCTGCGGCACCGTCAAGCGCCCTCGTCTTGCGGCTCTGCCAAGAGTTGCCACACCACACGGGCCAGCGCAGCGGCGGCACATCGCTGGGCGATCCGGCAGGTCGTCCAGTAGTCCGGATCCTTGGTCCAGCACGGCACTCCCCGTCCGGCCTTCGGCTCGCCAACGACCGAAACTGTCGGCCTTTGCGCAACGTCAGCGACGGGCCAGGAGCCATGGCGAACAATCACTATCACGCGCACACGCGCTCCAGGAGCTATGAGTTTAATTGTAATCGCATCGAGAGAGCTAGCGGAGCGTCGGCGTTCCTCTGCCTGGACAAATTCATTTTGTAAGCCACATTTGTTCGGTCGTCACGTCAATCTTCGCGCCGCAACTACATACACGATCCACTCATACAGCATGAGAGAAGCTTAGCACTTGGTTGCTGCGCTTTCGCCAAGTAACTCCAGAAGTGTCCACCTCCTCTGCTGCACATCGGGTGTCTCACTCGGACTCGACTCAAACAGAAAGAAAAAAACTCGCAAAATGAGCAAGACGATGCAAATGAACCCCGCATCCCCGGTGTAAACTCAGACGAAAAAGTGAATCCTTATTCATGTTCTCGCCCTCTTTTCTTTGAACAAGAACAAAGAAGATCGAAATCGGTATAACTGTATTCCCTCTGGTTCTTGGTCCCACTTTTGCTCACTCCCGCACTTCCTCCTGCTTGCAAGTGTTGTTCGCGCAGCTGCGAACCGGGGCACAAAAAGCGTTCATTTATTTTCATTTTCGCTCCTAGTCCACTTGGTACTGGGTCCACCGATCGGCGGAATGTTCCAGATCCACCTTACCACTTCATAGTCGAGGATAATTTGGTTGTAGTTCAGGTCGTACTCGTACGCAAACGCAAATGATAAATTGGGTGATTCCTTTAACTTTCTGTTTCTTTCAATCAACTTTATTTGCAAAAAAACCGTCACAAAAAAAGTTCTGCAGCTTTATCCTTGCGAACTGGCGCGAAATGCCAGCTCTAGATAAGCAAAAGGGCAAATGTTCAAAATCAAACTTCCACATAACTCTGTAGTCAACAGCGGACATATGTAAGTATAGTACCCGCACCGTCAACCCATATGCAAGTCCAATTGCAAACAAAATCAACATGAAAGTCACAATCCTTGTCAAAGTGTTCATCTGACATCTGAACAATTGCGTCAAACTCGGCACCACTCCAGTATCCGTGAGAAAAGCGCTCAATATTCCCGCTCCCAAGAGCAAGAACTAGTTCATCAGAACCCCGCATCTTCGTCCGATTTGAAGCTGCTACCGTCGCCTTGGGAGAAGATTTCTTCCTCGATTTCTTCGTCGATCTCCTCCGGAATGTTGTCGCCGCCGAAGGGATCCTCGTTCTTCTTCGCAGCTTGCTCCTGCTTCCTGCGGTCCAGCAGGTCGTTGTACACGTCGTCTAGTTTGAACGCAAGTTCCGGCTTCTCTTCGTGATTTCCCGCATTCGCTTCTATCGCACCGTCTCCCGCTGCTGCTGCACTACTCGTGCTTGGTGCAGCTGCTGCACCAAGCCCGAGAATCTCCACCTCCTTGCTGTTGTTGGAAGATGAAGGCACGGCATCGGTGATGTTCTCGTCGTCAAATCGATCATCGAGACCTATCTTGTTCGACGAAGAAGACCCTCCTGCAGGCCCAAGAAAATCGTCCAGGCGGAATGAGTCGTTTTCGCCATTCTCCTCGTCATCCGCTGTTTGCTCCGCGGGTGGGGGCTTCAAAATGTCTATCCCTCTGGCTTGTGACACCGCAAGAGACGAGGAATCCTGCTCGGGGTACGAAGTTCTGCTCTCTGCGCCAGAGGAAAATTTGTTCCCCGATGCGGATGCGTTTATCATGTTCTGGTTTTGTTGTTGTTCATCTGTGCTAGCGAAAGCAGCTTTGGAAGACGAAGATGACGCTGCAGGAGCCGTTCCGACCAGCAGGCTTCGATTCGTGCCTGGGTCTTGGTCGACGACGGGTTCCGTTGCGGTCGATGACTGGGCTGAAGCCGTCATGGTCATCGTGGGAACCGAGACCGGAGGCAGTGCGTTTGTGGTTGACGCTGACGGGCCTATGGCCGCACTCCCAAGAACGACCCCTGGAGGTTGTTGTACCACAACTCGGTCCGCTGGTTGAAAAGCCTGCTGCTCTGCACTCAGCCTCAAGCGGAAATCAGGCCCGTTGCTGGTCGTCGCTGTGCCGGCCACGTCGTCCTCCACATACAGAACGACCCCGTCCGCGGAGGACCGCGCGGAGTGGCTGGCTCGCGGGGGGCTTTGCGAGGTCCCGAAGCCCGTTTGGAACGCGTTCCTGGACCGCTCCACGTAGGACTTGCCGTCGAAAAGTTCTGCTTCTTTCAAAATCGCGTCCACGTCAACGGACTGCGACAGCATGGAGTTCGGATTGGGGTTTTTAAAGAACCCGTGCCTAGCAAATTCCTGAATTTCCTGGTTCAGCATTCGGGTTTTCCGCTCAAGTCCAAAGTGCGCATTGGAGCTAGAGCTGTCGCCGGTGGTCGACGCAGACTTGCTGGTGCCGACGTTGTAGCGCTGCTTGGTCGCGGCCAGCTCGGCGTCGATGTCGGACTCCCACTTTGCGTAAAGTCGCTCGGGATCCAGCGTCGTCCCGTTGGGGGATTGGTCTTGGGAACGCACGCCCGCATGCCCGGTGGTATTCGGGGAAAGAGCACCTGAAAGCAGGCGTAGTGATCTTACAAGACAAGAAAATATTGAAATTCAAGCTCTTCCAGCATCCACGGTATGTCGTTAGGTGTTTCCGACCGCGTTTCCGGGTGGTCTTCATAAGGCACTACTGGAAGACTATGAGGTACTTAGATATTCAAGGGAGCCGACTGCTTCAGTTGTAAGTACGTACCCTGCTGCATTGACTGCGTCAGGAGCAACTGCTCGACCCGTCGGAGCTCTCTCTCTTTCAAAACGCCGTCCTCGTTCCTTCGCTGCAAACGGTCCACCTCGACCTTCAGCTTGATGTTATCCTCGCGGAGCTTTAGCATCTGCTGCTTGAAGTCTTCTGCGTCCTTCTCGCTCTGCGTCTGCCTGGAGACGGCGCGCTCCAGATCGTCTTGCTTGGACTAGGGTGGATGTAGTTTGGGAACAGAATATGCTTGTTTCTAAATGAACTGAAGAAGTGAAACTGAAAGTGCGTAGAGGCTTCTGCTCCATGACATGCAGGACAAGTACGGAGAAATCGGCAAAAAGGAAAATGGAATCCACTCGTACCAATCCGTCCCTGCGCAAGTCGTCGATTTGCTTCTGCAGAAGTTTCTGGTTCTCCTCTTGCTGCCGTAGAAGTGCCTGCTCCTTCTTGCTGAGTCCAGAAAATACGTCCTCCTGCCGTTTCAACTCCTCTTCCCGGAGCTGATTTACCGTCTTCAACTTCTCTACCTGTTGCTGCTCTAGTTTCGTTTGCTCGGCGGCAATTGCGACCTGGCGCTGGCTCGCTTCGTGCAGAATCTTGAATTCCTTCAGCCGGTCCTCGAGTTCCACAACAGTTTTCTTCAGCGTAGTAGTCTGCTCGAAGTAGTTCCGACTCTCTGTCAAAGCCGTGTCGCGCTGCTGCTTGATTAGATCGATCTGGCACTTTTCCTTTTCGAGATTCAGCTGAAACGTCCGCGCTTTGACCTGAGGGGGTTTTCGTCGCCGGATGTTGCAAGGAATAACATAAGATTTGAATTGCAATGGTGTTCATTTTGAATCGCCATCGCTTCCCACAATGCGCGTCCTTACAACTTCCACTTCGTGGCAAATCACAAATTTTTCTTGTACCATGTCTTGTTCCAGGTTTTTCTCCACGTCGATTTTGTGTCTGTCGACAACAGCCTGATTTTGTGCTTCCAACTGTCTACGCGAAGCTTCCCAGTTTCGGCGCTCTTCAGCGAACTTGCTCTGATTTTTTAGTTGTGGACATCACTGACAAGGTGGAATGTCGATTCCTATATGCTCCTGAAAGGATGAGCAATTCGGCACTCATTGCTTCCTGGAACCAACTTTGATTTTGCAGGAAGGGGAGGTCGCTGTACTCAAGAATAAAAACCACAAACATACCTTCTCGCTTTCGACGCCGTCCCTCGCTAGCGCAAGTCGCTTTTCCTCGAGCGCGACCCATTCTGTTTTTCTCTGTACAATCAAGTTTTGTTCCTCCATTTTCCGCAGTAACAGCGTGCGTTGTTCAGTGGCCTTGCGGTCGAGCTCGATCTCCTTTTGCTGCAGCCGGTGCAAGGCCTGCTCCTCTTTCGTCTTGAGCCGTGCCTCCTTCTCCGAGAAAGCCTTGTTGGACTCGAGCTGGCGCGTCTGGTACTCGGCTCGCGCTTTCTGCGCCTCTTCTAACCGAATCTGCTGCCGGTCCAAGGCCTTCACCCGCTGCAGCTCGGCGTCCATTTCTTGGCGGTACCGCTTTTCGCACTGCTGCTGGTAGAGCAACATCTTCTCTTCCAGATATTTTGTCATGTTTTTATTCCTATCCAGCTTGCTGTCGGCCTCGAGCTTTTTCAGCTTGTACTCCAAATTGTAGCCGCCGGGTCCTCCGCCGTTCCCACCAGGGCCGACTATGTTCACGGCGTCCGTCTGACACATGGACTCGCGTTTTTGCAGCTTTTTCTGCTGCTGCGACTGCTGCTGCTTCTCGACCCAGAGCAGAAGAGACTCAAGTAAAGACGCTGCAGTCGGGGGGCTTGTCGACGTTGGACCGGTCATGTTAACGTCTGATTTCCATTTCGATTTGACTCAACGATTGTTTCCAGGCCAATTCTAAAATTGGCATCAAACATAATCCAGATAAAGGTCGCTTATCGCGAAAGCAGAAGGACAGAAAACAAATCCTACCATCTGTCGGCGAGAGCGGCATGCCACCATTTCCCAGCAACTCCACATCGGCCAGTGATATTCCGAGTACCTTGCAGATGTCTGCCTTCGACATGATCTCGCCGTCTCGGAGGCCGCATTCCGGCGTCAGCACGCTCATGCTGTAGAGCTTGTTCTTCACCTTCAATGCCTCGAGTAGCAGGGAAAACAGGGCCTTTTCCCGAAGATCGTGCTTTTTCCCCTGGTCCGCGGAGATTTTGATTTGGTTTTTGGACTTCAAGTTTTCGATCAACTGGTATCGCAGCTCGGATTTCAACTTGTTCTGCAATCCCGAGGCCTCCAACGCCTTCCCCAACGGAGAAGCGCGGGCCTGGTGCACCTGCAGCTGGTGCATGCCGGATGCCGACATGATAGAAGATGCTCGTCAGGAGCGCGCGCTCGAGCAGCTCTACTGAATCAGTTTTGATGGTAATGCATATGTTTAATGCAGTGGCCCTTTGCGGTTTGGCGGTGTCGTCGCTCTGATGTCCTAACTTGTTCATATTCGTTTTTGTTTATACTGATTCTCCTTTTTGTTGGCAAAATGTCAACCTTGCTTTCGACTTGCTTTCGGTCATCTATTCCAATATGTGGACAAGCTACATCGCCTTACTCTCGACGTTTCGGTTTTGATGTGCGCCAACCAGGCGAACGAAGTTAGGCTCCTCAACTCGGATCGGAATATGAGTATCGATCTTGTGCAGGACTGCTCTCTCAACCAGCAAAGTGTGTACTTTATCATCAACATTAGCATTACCATAGAGGCGCAGCAACAGCGAGGGCGGCTTGCTCTACTACTACCAGAACGTCGGCCACTTTGTCTTTGTCAAGTAAAAGAATATTATTGTTTGGTGTACCATAACACTATTTGCAGCTTCTCTCGACGATGTCGATCAAAAGACACTTGAAACAAGAACACACCAGCCCCCTGACTTCAACAATTGATATTTTCTGCAGGTGCAGAACCCAATGTCCTAATTGAACGCGAACCACGTGAGCATCTCCATTGCGATGCTGCGATCGTCGACATCGGCATGACTACGGCCCGCACCAGCTACACACAAACACACACGCAGCCGGCCCACGGCGCAATCAAACACGCCCAAACTAACAGCCTCAGGCTATCATAATGGGCCTGCCTCACACAGAACGCAAAGGGGCGCGCGGCCACAAAGTAGAGCAGGCCCGGGCGGCCCCTGCTGTGGCCCGGAGATTCACAGACACTCTTAAGGGACGGGCGATCCGTCGAGGGCACTTCAGGGCGAGCCCAAGAAGGCAGGGGCCACCATTTCGCGCGCGCGGGCGCTTGGGGGAGCAGGCCCGGCAACAACACCCCGGCGCATGCTGCACGGGCCGCGCCGGCTGCATCAACCGGGCGCCCGCAAAGGTTTGCGGGCCAGGCCGGGACAAAGGGCCCGGGACAGGGATAAAGAGGGCCGGGGCAAGCGTCGCGCGGCGGATGCCTCAGGGCCTGCGCCGACGCAGTCTTCGATCACCACCATAAATTTTTACGCGCATGAGGCCAGACCGAAGCTGCCGGGATCGTAGACCGAAACTGACTCGAGCCCCCGGAGAAGCGCGCCACCGCTCACGTCCCTGGCCCAGGCAGACTCGGCGGAAACAAGGCGCGTCGCTCGTGCAGCCGGCCGCGAAACTGTCGCGCTTCCATGTTCGCCGAAGGCGAAGCGAATAGCATCCACAAGGACTTAGTTGAGAGGTTACACAAGGCTTCTCGATTTTTCAAAGGACAGACGAAAAGAAATACAGACACATCCGGGAAAAGCATGGAGAAAGTTTGAGTAACGTTTGTTGGCTGACTATTCTGCTCTTGATCTCGTTCCACACTATCACAAAAATCTCTCAAACCACACCGGCTCAGCCTTGACTGCCCGACCTGTTCATGTTTCCGCGTTCAACACTTCCTCCAGTCGATCTCCAACAAAAAGGCTAAGTAGCTGCACCTGCAGCTGCCACTCTAATTCTCAGAATAAAAGGGAAGGTGGCGGTATCACGTTTTGACATTTTTGGAATCGCGTTTACTCATGGAATCACGTTAACGGAGTCACGTTTGCGACGGAATCGCGTTTGTCGAATCGAGTTGAGTGAAACAACTTCGACGCCGAAATGCCCACAACGCACTTAAACGAACGGCGGGCGGGCCCAGCGGTCCGCCGGGATCAATGACGCGCCCCACCGGCCAAGGAGCTGGCCAGCAGAAGCCAGGGGGCCCCCAGGGAAGCGACAGAACAACCACGAAGGCGGGCCGGGCGCGGGGTCGCCACCTACCTCCCAAGAACGAGAAGAGAGAGTCGCCGGCCAGGGCAGCCGCCGCCGGCCGGCCGTAAACGTGATTCCACAAACGTGATTCCAACTTGAAAACGTGATTCCGCTTCCAACCGAATAAAAGACGCAACAACGAGGAAACCGCAGTCGTTACTCAAGAGAACACAGAGACAGAGCCACCAGCAAGGCCGAAAGAGACATGAAAAGTTCGTTCTCAAGCCATAGCCATGTGCCAAGAACCACATCTCTATGTTGAAGACTCAAGCGGGAGAGAAGTGCTCCATGTGTGAATCTTCATGATTGACAGCTGGCGCAATTCAATAAACTCAAATTAGTTTGTATCACAATCGGAATCCAGAGGAACAACGGGTCATTGCGCTGGACCTGGAGGCGATATTGAAAATGTGCCTACCAACGAAAAGCACCCCTATTGTTGCTCACATCATCATCGGCGCCCCTGGTTGCAACCACGCCTGCAAATCTTCTACCGCGACCGTGTCCGTTGGGGCTGATTCTGGCGCCTCGCAGTTAAAGGACGTAAACAAGTGTTTCAAATCTTTCTGTGACCACTTCAAGGATGGTGCCACGGCGCCACTCATCTCGACAAACTCGTCCATGGTCATTCGTTCCTTGCTACTGCGACAAAATTGCAGTATTGTTTGCACGTCGTCGGGACTGGACATGCGCTTTCGGATTGCGGTGCGGACCTGAAGATGGGAAACGAGGATCAACATGCAAAGCAATCGATATCGAATATCAATATTCATTGTTGAGCGCAAAAAAAAAAGCGGACGACTTTGACAAAACGACAGAGCAACCTTTTCGGAAAAAAAAAGAAAGAAATGAAGATTTGTATGTAAGTACCACATTCAGATTCCGTGTCTTGATAGCACCGAGCAGAAGCGTGACTAATCCCAACGCTGCTATGTAAAGGGCAATCAGGATGCCGATCGTCCTTGCAATATCCTCGGTATACATGGCTGAGAATTCGAGGCCGGAGAGGAACATGAGGTATATCCCTCGCCCACTGATTCTCGTGAGCAACCGGCAATACTTACCAATTGCAATTTTTGCCTTTACCACCCAGCGGAAGTTCAGCGGTGCATCCAGTACGGCGATCATCTATGATTTGAATTGCGATTTTCGATGGCGAAGATTTTTTCATCTTTCAAGGACGCGCTGCTGCAAATGAAACATAGGTAGGTAGGGTAGGTTTACTCAACTACGGAGTTATAATAGTCTATAGCAATAGCGTAAGCGCTTATTTGTTTCTATAGACTGTTGGGTGGCAGGGGAATTGCCGGGCCATCTGCATCTGCTTGCTGGGGCGGCATTGCTTCCTTCTTTCCCTTGCAGGCCATCTCATGTCTCTGCATGTCGTCAACTTGTTTCATCATCGAGCGGGTGAACTCCGTGATGACTTGCTGATCCTCCTCCTGCAGCTGCTTCTTGAATGTTCCGCACTTCCTGCATTTGATTCCGAACTTGCCGCTGCGCGTCATGTAGCATGCATCTTCGGGAACGTGGCACCTGGTCACGTAGGCGTTGGAGCCCATAAAATATCGCCCCTGGTTGCTATCCCAGATGTGTTCGCTCGGCACGAACTCATTAGTTTTAATTCGTTCGCCACCATCGCCGTACCGCCAAAGCTGCCCGTATTTGACATAGTCGCCGCGGGTATGTGCAAGCGCGTGCAGCTCCATCGCGCCAGCGCTTGAAGTAAAATGCTCACAGCAAATCTCGCAGGTTATTTGCGGCACGTGCCCCGCGCGCCTCCTTCCCGCCGGTGGTTTGCCTTTCCTCGCTTTTTCCTTGAGGACACCAGGATGGCGCGCAATGATTTCCGCCCGGAGTGCGGTAGCTCTTTCGTGATCATCCTCTTCATTCCTCTCCATCAAAGCATTGCGGCATTGAAGGTCAGGCTCCGCGACCGAGTGGCTATCTTTGCAATGCGTCTGGAAGGCGTCCGGAACACCCGCGATCTCCTCACCGCTCAGTGGCTCCTCCTCCGGGTCCTGAAAATGCGGCGAATCCGCAGGGCACCAGGGACATCGACGTAGCTTGAAGATTTCTGGAATAGCGCCGGTTGGTCGTGTATAGCCGTTCAGGGCTGCAATGGTGTCCACCGCCGGATCAAGCCCCTGCGCAACTGCGTCCTGCCGGATTTGCGCCCTTGTGCGCCTCTCCCCGCTGTTTGAGCCAAAATACTTCATTGCTAATTTGTCAAGGTACTCCTCTCGCAGTTCCTCTCTGCGTCCTTGGTCTTTCTCCGGCTGCGTCCAATCGCTCACACACTCACGAATGTATGCCCAGCGAGTTAGAACGTAAAAAGTCCGCTTGTTCTTGTGGTAGAGCGAATTTGGGCCCTTGAGGTCTGGGCGCAGGGCTTCACATTCATCGGGTGACATCACCAACTTATCAAGAATCTCACTGCTTATTCCACACTCCTTGCGCAAATACCCCGCGCAATCCTCCACATACGACGGGATGTGTCTGCGCTTCGGATCGAGCTCCTTGAGGTTGCTGTCACTGCGCAGGTAGTGTCGTGGTCGGAAGTCAGGCTGGTTCTGGTCCATGGGCAGATGCAGGGTAGGAAAAAACTGGCCCACCAGCGCCTTGCGGGTCAGATCGCTTTTCGGCTTCCTCATCACATGTCCGAAATAGCGCAACTGCAGAAACTTGAGGTGCGTAGCGAGTGGCGGAATCTGTAATCTGCGCCGGACTTCTGCGTTGCTGATCCTCTCCGTCTTCTTTGTCCACCACGGCAGGCCCAGAAGCCGACAACCAAACTTAATTTCTTCGGTTTCTAGTTGCCGGATTTCCGCCGGTGTCACCGCTCTGCACTGAAGGCCGTAGCAGAGGATCGTGCGGAGTAATGTCAAAACTAGTTCCCCGCGCCTGGCGTTTGACACGCCCCCAACTCCTGCAAGCTTCGAGGAGAGTGCAAAATAGGCCTTCCATGCTTTTCTTATTTTTTCGCTGATGTCACGCTCTGGACACGTCCACACCCCTAAGTTCTTCGCCACAATCCTGGTCACGTCGCCCTGGATTCTTTTCGTCTTGTTCTCGCGCATGCCAGAATCAGCAAGCGCCTGCGTGAAGGCTTCCATAACTTCCAAATCCACCGGTGGCAGCTTCGGGTCTTGGTTGAGATTGTGCTTGTCTTTCTCCTCCATGGCTCGCACGGCCTGCCTGTCCATCTCCGCCATGAAGGTCGTGTCGTCCGCAAAAAGCAGGGCAGTCAGATCGGTTCTTGTGAGCTGCGCATGTAGGTGTGTGTCTGCTGCCATCGGTCTGCTTGCCCGCCGCGCCATAATAAGGTCGTGGACCTTTTCACTTCGCTTCAAATGTATCCCCGACGGCTTGGACCATAAAACGACGCCGGCCGTCTGCTTCATGGCAACACCTGCGGCCCGCGCTGCTTGCTGTTTCGCTTCCATCAACTCTTTCTGCCGCATTATCACCACGCAGTAATTTATCAGAAACAGCAAAGGCGAAGAAACGCATCCTTCTTTACACCCATGGGTCAAAAACACGTCCTCCGCTCCAAAGTTGTAGACGGCCCCGCGATGGCTGTTCTGCAGCACTGCCCAGAGGATAGTCGTAGAGAGGCCCAGTTGTTGCATGATGGAGGTGATGCACCTCCAATCCATTGCGGGGAAAGCCTTACGAAGATCCACCAAATGCGGCACAACCGCCGCCATCTCTGGCACACTGTTGGCATAGTGCTGGCAGTCCTCGCGCAGTTTGTGGTAGATAGCAATCGAGTCCACCGTGCCGCGGTTTTGCCGAAAACCGTGCTGCGCCTCCGGAAAGAATCCACAACGTTCCAGCACTTCGTAAAGCCGCCGCGTGTAGACGCGGCATACCAATTTTTGCACACAGGGCGACACGATGAGAAATCTGTAGTTGTCGGCGTCCTTCCTACATCCCCGGCCCTTCCAGAGCGGCGTGCTTTTGCAGAGGTTCACCGCCCGCCCCAGATTCGTCATCTTCTTCCTTTTCAGCTCGCTGCTCAGGCAGGTGGTCACCATCTGCAGGCTGTCGCTATCTACATATCTGAAAATCGCCGCCGACAGCCCATGCGCGTCTTTCGCTGCCCCGCCTTTTCTCAGTGCCTTTGCGGCCTGCTCAAGCTCCTCCGGCGTAATCTCTGCATCTAGCTCGGCAAGATTTTCCGCGGAGAGTTTCTGAACCAGTCTCGGTATGTGCGCCTCAATCGGTAGCTCCTCCCCATCCGGCAGCGTTGGAGACGACCCCACGGAGAGCATCTGCAGCTTCATCTGTTGCGGTGTTATTTCACAACACCGGTCAGTCTTCTTCAGCGTTTCCGTCTTGCAATGCTCCCAAAACTCCGATCGCGACTTTGCTGATTCAACAAGGCTGTCACTATCAGGAACGCGAAGCCCTCCCGGTCGCTTCTTCCTCAGAAACCAAGGGGTAGTCCGAATGAGAAAGTTCTGAAACTCCTCCATGCCGAATCCGTCCGGGCCTAACTGCGTCATTCGGGTCTGCAGGTCGTGGTTGAACTTCGCGACAAGTTTGGGTGACGGTGCTGGGTCGAGTTCCATGCTTGCCGTTCGCCGCTGCTGCCCTTCGACCTTCAGCTGCGCCTTCGATTTGATGTCCACCGCTGCTTCGATCGCCAGGTGGTCAAGTTTGCGCGGCGCGGCCTGGCTCCCGTCTGGCAGCTTCCCATTCGAGTCAAATCGTGCGTACGCCCGGTGCCGCGCCAAATGCCGCCCCGGCGCAATGAAATGATCGATCTCATTGCCTTCGCGAGTTGCCGAAGTGGCTCCCTGCCCCGGCGGAAAATGGGTCCCAACCAGCACCAGATTGCCGGCGGTCAAGGTCTTGGCGAAGTCCCGCCCGCGCGCGTTTGTGTGCGGTAGCCCGTAGCCGCCATGTATTATCGTATCGCCAAATCTTTCGCTCCCTATCTGCGCATTCGTATCCCCCGCTGCAATGCTGCATTTCCACTTGTGCGCCTTTCGTCTGTTAATCTCCAGGTTAATAGTATACAGATAAAAAGATCGTTGATCTTGCGAGCAAACTCACTGAGGAAAATGCCGTGTATGTATCTATACCGCTCCGCCGAAGAACAGGTAGATTTCCGAGAAGAAATCCAGCGGGAAGGCGACGAAGGCGAAAGGAATGATCAAAAACCAGAGCGCTGCCAGTACTGCGCTAAACATCGCGCTGACTCCTGCGACAAAAAACAGGACGCCATAGGGTACGGGTGTCGCTAGTCTCTGCAGATTGGTTTGCTGTGCGGCGCTGCCCGGACTGTTGGCTGGGTCGGCCGTTGCGGGGTTCTCTGCATCCACTCGGTGATACTGCACCATTTTGCGGGATTTGCCGTGGCAGTCACGTTCTTCAGGAACGTCAGCTTCACTGCAACACTGCCGCTCTTATCGACGCGCGAGGTGCGTCTGTTATAGAAATCCGAGACACGAATCGGGATACGCACGGCCAGGATGGTATGTTCAACACGAAAGCTGCGTTTTCCTGGAAGACACCAGTTGGTACGTTCCGGGGAGCAACAGGAATACGTCGGCGTCGTTGCGCTTGCGTGGTTACAACATGATACTCCAACAGAACCAGCTCGTCTAGCACTTCTACTTCATTGAATTTACTACTTCTGCTACGCAGCACATTGTCGGTTTTATATAATAATGAGCCTACCTCTGATTCTGAAGACTTTGTAGGTCGAACGCACACTATGAGCACGTTCACAAAGACGTTCTTGACGCAACCTTTCACTCCAAGACTCAACTATGAATTTAGGTTCATCGTCGGCTTGCCAACGATTACTGTTGCCAGGGGACACCATCACCAATGAGCGACCATCTTGGACACATGAAAGGACGACAGAGAACTAAGGGCATTGCCATTCATTGTTCTGTCAAGTTGCGTTGATTCTACGAAGGCAACGAACACGATCACTCGCGGGGGAAAATCACAGGCACGGAAAATTTCCTGTGGAAGCGGGGATTAGCCACAATCTGCTTCATCTTCAAACAATAGCCAGGCGAATCGCCAAAAAATGCTTCTTCTTCAAGCCATAGATCTTGTTATGGTTTCCACACGCATATCGGGAATGACCCTGCCTGCCAAACTGCTGCCACTTCCGAGTTTTTCCTCTCTCTGCGCCCGCCACTCGTCGTACCCTAGTTTGCGCAAAAGTTCCTTCCCGTCCTCCTTATCCAACCCGCCCTGGTAGCAACTCGAGTCCATGATACACTTGGGGCAGCCCTTCTCGCATTCACACGTGAAAATCCGCTCTGCGGAACACTCTAGCAGTAGCGCGAAGTTCTCGGCTAACGTGCGGCTGTAGGGGTAGAGCAAAAGTTTCTCCCCATGGTCGTTCTCGCCGCTGCCGTCGCCCCCCTTCTTCATACCGCGATTGTGCTGCGCTTTCAGAGGCTCGGTGATCCCAAACACCGGCGCGAGCAGGCACATCACGTGCTCCAAAACGTGCAATCCCGCCGGGTGCAACCGGGCCAGAATTCCCAAGTCGAGCCAAATGCCAGTGTGGTAGCGCTTTAGCGGTGCCATCTTCAGGTCAATCGTGTCTTCCACCTGCCCATCCGCTTTGTTCAGCTTGTGATACCCTGTGACAAAGAGAAACGTCGTCAAGGGTCCACGATAAAGCACATGCAGTTGGTTGAAGATTTTCACGTACGACTGAGGCTTCTTCTGCAGGTTCTCGTCGTGCAGCTCTGGTGGCGCAGGAGCGGTCGAGGCATCACTAGGAAGCTGTCCAGCAGCTGGCGCAGCTACCGCGAGGTTGTTTGCGTCATTCTGGTCCTGCTGCTCCGTCGAGGAGGAAGACGTGCCTGGAGGAACATTGGCTGTCGTTTTGAGCATGGTCGTGGTGCTCGGGTTGGTCTTTTTCTCCGCTTCCAGTAGATTTTCACCCAACACCTCCCGCATCTGGCTGTGAATAAATACCTCCACGCGGTCCTTCGCCCGTGTGTAGTACTTCAGTGGCTCACCAATGTGCTTCCGCACCACCGCCCACTGATTGGTCGTGTCCAAGTCCTCCACAATGTAAGTTTCCCGTTGGATACGGTAAATCGCACCGCGGTACAGCTTGACGTAGGCCACGGACTCTTCCAGCGAATCCAGCGGAACAGCGGCAGAGGAATAGTCCTCCGCATCCCACACGTCGTACTGGATTTCGATCTCACGGATGTTAAACCGCGAGTGCGCATTTTTCTCCTTTGGCGGGGCGCAGTAGTCGACGATTTGCGTTTTCGGGTCGCGGTAGAAACGGAAGGGAAACTCGGCGTAAATATCGTCGAAAGTAACAAGGGGGGTAAGGGACTGCTCTGCTTTCTGACTTGTACTGCTGATAGTCGCGAGTGCCGCTTTGGTCGTGCCAGGATTGATATCGGCATCGCTGTCCTGCTGCTGTAGCTCCAAGCCAGTCTGTGTCCCTTTGCCGTTGTCGAGCATTGGCCTGAAGCTTTTCTCTTTCCAGAACAGTTCCAAGTAGTCCTCCAATTTCCCTGGGTACTCGCTCATGGCGCAAAATAGGTGGTCCCGCGTGATGTCTGGTGGGATAAAGAGGGCGCAAACCGGGTCCCGCCGGCTGAAGAATTCGTCCGGGTTCTCCATGTAATACGCGTCCACACCCGAAATCGGCAACGTAATCACAATCGCCAAGCTGTCCGTCTCGAACCCGCGCCCACCGCGTCCCATCTGCTGCCAGAGAGAGCTGAGTTGCCTTGGAATACCCAAGTGGATAGTGCACTGCAGGTCCCCGACGTCGATACCCAATTCCAGGGCGTTTGTGGCAACCAGACCGATGAGTTTGTTGTTGAAAAACTTCTGTTCGATGTCGCGCCGGATCTCCTTCGAGTAACCTGCTCGGTACGACGCAATGCGGCCGATCAGCTCGTCTGCGGCGGAGTGTACCGCATTGTTTGACGATGAAGAATTTCCAAGTTGTCCGGTAGCTTGTGCCCCCGGCCCAGTCGCCGAAGAGACAGATTTCCGCTTTGAAGCAGCGGCCTTGGCTGCAGCTGTGGTCTTCTTTGCCAGCGCTCCGGGCTGACCCCTTTTGTTCGTCTCCGGGCTCTTCATGTTGCGCACTCTTCCAGCTGCCGAGTTATTGTTACCCTCGTCCATGTTTTCCTCTTCTGACGGACGTCCGTCGTAATTGAGGAAATCCTCAACCGTCTCAGCAGCGTCCCCAGCGGTACTCTTCTTGTTTCCGACCAAAGACGCATCTTTTCGGATACGCTCGCAAATGCGGTCCAGCATAAGTTCCACCAAGCTTCTCGCGGACACGAACAGCACCGTTTTGATGCCCTTTTTCACTGCTTGAACGAAGCTCCACGCGATATCATCGTAAATCCCGTCGTTCATGTGATGGAACGAGTCGACATTTTCCTTGTCAGTCATCGGATCGTGCAAACTCGTAGTCGCGGTCGTAGCGGAGGACCCTGTAGTCGCACTTCCAACAGCCGTACTGGCCGCACTACTTACTGTCGTGGGGTCCTCAAGCAAATTCAGTTGCTTGTTCGTTTTTTCGATCTTTTTCGCCTTCTGCTTGGCGAAATTTCGCTTGCGCTTTTCCGCGTCGGGCTCGTACAGTTCGTAGTTCCTGGCGCGCATCGTGGGCGTCCACAAACAGACCTGCTTGGACCCGCGGCCCGCACCACTGTCGCTGATTACGGTGACATCCAGGTCGACAAGCTCGTGAAAGAACTCGAGCGGGCGAACCATAGTGGCCGAACACGCGATAAATCGCAAGTGCTTGGACTGCTCGGGTTCGAGAGTCGGAGCAGGTGGACCACTGTTGGATTTCGGTAGGCCGGCGAAAGGCAAAGACGACCCTGTCGCAGAGCTAGCTGTTGCGGTTGCCGCGTTAGTAGGAGGCACAGCAGAAGAACTGGCCGAAGTGCCATTAAGTTTGACGATTGGCCCCTTGTTTCTTGCTGCTCCAGCCCGACTCTTCGCTTTTGCCTTCGCCTTGGCCTTTGCTCTTGCGCTGCCACTGGCCGCAGATTGGCCCCGCTGCAAGCCAGCAGCGCCATCTCTCCCAGCCGCATTTTTTGTTTCCTCCAGCAAGCCATGCATCTGCTTGGTTTTCTCGATCGCTCTGCGCAGCCGGCGCAGCACGCAACTGACGTGCGCACCGAACCGCCCGGTGTAGACGTGCGCCTCATCGAGGACGAGAAAGCGTAAGTTCAGCAACACATTTTGCACTTCCTTGTTTTTTCTGAATTCCTTCAGAAAGAAGCAGTGCAACGTGTCCGGATTTGTCAGAAAAAGGTCGCAGGATTGCAAGAGCTGCTTCCGTGTGGAAAAAGCTGTGTCTCCGTCGAACGTCGTCACCTTCCAAAAGGGTTTCCCTTGCAACTGCTCGAATTTCTTCAACTTCTGGCACTGATCCTGGGCCAGGGCTTTCGTTGGGAAAAGCAGAAACGCCCGAGGGCGGTTATCGAAAGCACTGCTGGAGCTGCATGCTGACTGTGCTGTTGATGCTCCAACACCGTTGCCAAACCGTGCGTGCCACAGATCCCACTCGTGCAAAAGCGGAAGGGTGTAGGCTAGAGATTTTCCCGAGGCAAAGCTCGTACAGAGAAACACATTCTCGTGCTTTTCCACCACCTGCCGAAATGTTTCAGACTGGTGCGAATACAGCCGGTCTATACCAATCTGCTCCCGCAGCGCCCCCTGAACATTTGCGGAAAGTAGTTCTGGAAAGCCTGTGTAGGTTGGCCTTTCGCGCGGGAGCTCCCGGACATAGAAATTTGCCGCGTATTTCTCCAGCTGGCTCTGCAGTGTGGCAATGCCTGCGTTCTTTGATTTCTCTCCCTCCGCTACGGCTGTCTGCAGCTGGCCCGATGTTGACAAAGATTTCGCCTTCGCTTGCCGTTCCGCTTCATCAAGCAGGCGGTCGACATCGTCCAGCTTTAACTCTTTTTCTGCGACTTCTTGTTCGGTAATTGTAGCTGCGGCACCCGTGTTATTATCGGTTTTTGCTTTTTTCAGCACCGGCTCCTCGTCGCTGTCAGACATGAGGTCAATCACCTGCGCCGCGGGGAGCTTCCCGCTGCTCGCCATTTTCCTCCTGATGTAGCCTTCTAATGATCGCGCAAGGCTACCTCATTTTTTAAGATGGTTCGGAGAACAAAAGCGGAACGGGAAAAAGCGACAATGTCTAGACGTAGAGAAGGAGGACACAAAATTTACTTAAGTGCAGCGCAGCTCAAAAATTATAAACCACTTATTTACAAATGCGGTGTGCGCCGCACGGAGCTATAGGGCTCTTAGATTGCTTATTCACTAAAGCGATAGGGTCAGGGGTCCTGCAAAAATAAGAAAAGGGTGTTTTACTTTTCATGTTCAAGCATCTTCCGCGTGGCGGACGCGGATGTAAAGAAATGCCAATAATAAATAAAGCCGCGTCAGCGGCGGGGGCAGTCAGGTCACGCCGGTCGTCTTTTTTGTCTTTATGCCAAAAAACAACGCGATATGTAAGTATGGCCACCATGCCTCCACGACTCATGTTGTGCACGATGGTACTGCGGCCGATAAAAATCGCGGCCCAAAGATGCCAAGCGTTTGGGCTCGAAAAGGAAGCCCTTGTTTCCCGCATGCCATGGCCCCTCCTGGGCCTCCACCCGGGCCGGCCCCGTGGGCGACCCAGATCGGGCCCGTAGCATGCGGATTAGCTTTCACTTTTTGGCGGCACCCGCTTTCTTTGTTTTCTTTGTCAGAAAGTAAGCGCATCTCTTTGCATTCGGCCCGCCTCTGAAATGCTCAGCTCGCCTTTGTTGGCGGCCTTGTTAGCAGAGCTCAGAGTTGGGCCAAAATGACGCCCATGCCATGCGGATTCCCGATCCTGCATTTTGTCGTCTTCGCATTTTTTTGGTGCCGCTTTCTACTGGGCGACCCAAACCGCCAGAGACTAAGGCGGTCGGCGCCTCAGAAGGGCGCTCCTTTTGCCGGCTCCACGGCGTCGATTTCTCAAGCAGCAGTCGATCGCATTTCCTCGAGCTTGTTTGATGGCTAAGCCCCGGCCGTTTGATATAATATATCAAAAAAGAAGGCCTAAGCCTGTCTCTTCACAAAAAAGATTCCCGCTCTATATATTATATAGAGCGGAAATCTTTTTTGTGAAGAGATGACAGGCTCGGCCGATTGAAAACTACTCTACCGGCCGTTTACGTTTTGCATGAGATATGACAAAAAAACCGCCAGGATAGAACGGTCGCGACCTCAACCTCACTACACGTACACACGAAGAAAGGGAGATGCTAATTCTAATATGTTCTTGTCGATGAGCATGTATAATGTTAATGGCTTGCGTTTGCGACAGAGGTAGCAGGTACGAGAGCAGATCCTTGCGCCCGTACATCAAGCCACGGACCATGTGCGTGATATTGATTCACTAGGATCTTGGGACTCATCTGCACACGAAAAAAAAGCATCCTCATGCTGCGGTATTTTCGACGACCGAATGGAGTTTTAGACTGATGTATCGTTACCAATGAGGGCAATGAATTGCTATTACCTCCTACAGCGCACCACTCTTGACAGCAAATAAACAAGGCGACGCAATACACAGGACAGCTGCACACACTGCATATTTAGTCGTATCTCTATGTCTACGTGCTCCTCTGCACATTCCCATCTGTTTCTGTTGCTGCTACAGTCGCGTTAGGAGCAGTGTAAAGAAGTGTTTCAGTTTCTTTTTGTCCACGAAGTAAAACTTACTAAACTAAAACTACAACTGTCCTTCTCCTTTCTTCATCTCGGTCGTTCAATGCGATTTCTGCAATTGACAAAGGCTTCAAGTTGTTGCAAGAGTTTGCTGGTGCAGTTTTTGCTCCGTGGTTTCCACTTCTTCGATGGAGTGTGGAAATAGAAATGCATGTCGATTCCGGCAATCTGTGATTCCGGGAATCTGTTCACGCCGCTCAATCGTGTATGTCTTCCGTGGGCAACCCCGCGCTCACCTCCAGTAGTTTTCAATTACATTTTAAGAAAAACTCTTGTCCAGTTCAAGTTCTGATGTAGAGCAGCGGCAGTGCCAAAGAAGTTGCATAAAAATGAATCTATCTCACAGCTAGCCGCTGCACTAGAAGTACACACAGAAAATTGTCCTCTACATCGTTTTTGCAAGAACATCAATATCCAACGGAAATCCTCTTTGTACCCTGCGTATCATCTGTTCCACGTCTTCGAGGCTGCGTCCTTCGAACATCCGTTGCTCCCGGAGACTCGTGAGGGCTCGGATGCCTGTTCCCCCCATCCAAAGCTCCAGCTTTCGAGCCGCCTGCTGAGCCGCCTTCCTTCTTTCGAAGTCAGTTCGTCCCTGCGGCTCCATGACTGTTTCCCCTAGTTTCAATACTTCCTCGTCTGACAGGGTCCACGCTCTGCCTCTAGCCGCCGCCTGTGGTTAGTGCAAATAGAAATAGTGAGAATTCTTCAATCCCCTGATGAAACTTTGTTCAAGCGGCGAGCGGTGTGCCTCGGTTCATTTTTGTTTTTCTTCCGTTCTCTCCTGGTCCCTTTCTATCTTCGTTTCATGCGTTCAGTCTTCTAGCTCATGCATGGGCCTTCGTCATCATCATCATCATCATCATCGTCATCAACTGCTTTACTCCGTGGCGTTTCCGTGTAGCTTCGCGCTAAGTTCTTTCATGGATGTGCAGTGCTTTTGCTATCTCCTGGTCTTCATGACATGGATGTGCAGTACTTTTGCGTAGCACTTCGAATATATAAATTTAAATATCATTTCTTGTCTTGAGCAAGATGAATAAAATCTCAACGGTTGCATCTCAATACCATGCACGGCCTCATGCTAAAACACGAGCGAAAACCTTCCAAATTACTCTTGTAAAGCGGTTGCGTCTCAACGAGTGCATATCAACGGCCTGGGAGGCCTCCGCGACTTTCCGAGGACCTTAACGACTGGCCTCAACAAAAAACACACGCAGGAATTTACCGGGGAGAAGGCCGGTAAGCCTATGGGAAAAGCAGAGCCACAGGGCAGGCAACGAAGGCCACACATTTAGAAAAATAAAAGGCACAACGAGGCGGGCACGCGGGCCGGGGAGAAACAGCACAAGCGCAGCGATGAAGGAGCAGCGCCGGGCCGGCGGCGGCCGACCTGCCCGACGACCCTAAACCCCAAGCCCTAAACCCGAAACCATAAACCAGTGGAGCGGGCGGCATCGATTTGGTGCGCCGGCCGTTGAGACATATTTCTCAACGTTGAGCTAGGAGGTCTCAACGTTGAGATCTGAAAGCGCACTCGAGGTATATGTAGCACAACCATGAATATCTCTCTTGTTTCGTCGTCCTCGTTACCTCACCGGTAAGGCCGCAGAAAGTCACAGATTACATCAAGAAGCTTTTTTGGATGTATGCGCACTAGTTCTAATGAATCATTTCAAATTCTGTGATAGCGTGGGAGCCGCGACAAGAAGGACTAGGACAACAAAAAACCGAAACTCTTTCAATTTACCGTGTACTTCGCCTTCGGTTTTGGCTTCGCCTCCGGTTCTGGTCCATTGGAAACTTGTATCTCCCTTCGTGGAAAGCGGGGAAGCGGAAGGCGAAAGGGAAACGGTAGTTGCTGGTCCTGCTCCAAAAAAGCCTCCTCCACCGGCTGCTGCTCCCGCTCGTCGCTAAACTCGCTTGCTCCACCGGCGTCGACCGCAGCCTTGCTTTTTCCCATGTTGTCTTGCACGTCGTCCGCCACAGCGACGGCGGCAAAGAGATGGACTGCATTACACCCTGCCAGCAACTTCGAACCGGTTTGAACTCCCCTCGCAAGAACGCCAGATGAAGCTCGCCGAGTCTTCGCTGCGTTTGTCGATTTCTGATCGAGCACCTGATTCTGCTGCGCGGGGGCGACGTGCCCGCGCAACGGCGGGCCGGGTCGGGGGCTGACATGCAGTCGCAGAAGTCACTTGACGTTTACGATTCGGAAACAAATGACCTGCTCTTGCATCTAATTGTAGGCGAAAAAAAACGAACCAACTACTACTACCCTAACATGTTTGCATTGATCAGCTAACGCACGACAAATGGAGCGAGTGCTTCATTTTCGCTTGGACTTACGTTCACACACCACATAAGCGAGACCATCACTCCCACAGAATCTTCTTCACCTCGATTCGCACTCAAGTTGCTTTTCCCATTTCACTTCTCAGCGGCGAATAGTAATATCTTGCGTAGCTTGTATCGATATGTATCAATATCACGAGCTTGTTAGCTTGCCGATGAAAAATGTCCAAACGCAAAGCAACGAAGTACTACAATAACTGGTACCTCAACCCCTGAGAACCAAAGTCTTTCCCCGTTGACGATTGCGAAGAGCTATGCGATCTGTCTACGAAGACACCCTGTTCATTGGATATTGGAGGTTGTTAGTTTGCCTGGAAAACGCGCAGCTCTTGCACGGAATACGTATCTGCTGTAGAAATGCTGTACCAAGCTTACGATTCACTGACGCAGCTGCGGAACTTCATCACAGCCTTCTCTTTCATTTGCGCCCTCTCGTTCTCGTTCATCGTTTTGTGACGTCTACTTTGTTTCTTTGCTATATTAATGTAGTCGTCGACCCGCGACAGTAGCAGCATCGCCCATAAAAGACACGTTGATGCACGACTATGATCCTGTTTCACGACATTGCGTGGGATAAGTAAGTATTCGTTTCTTGTCAATACACCGTCGACGCTTAATATTATCATTTTTGCAGCCGCTCATAATCATATGCCACTCAAATCTGCGCACAGGCTATCCAGCTCGGCGGTAAGGGTTGACAAATCTTTCTGCCGTCTGCTACCGCTCATGACCATGCGACTAGAGTTTGCCGACGCGACTGCAGCTGGCTTGTTCTGGGTTGTTCGCAGTGTCTCTTCTGGTTCCAGTCGAGAAAAAGAGAAGTCCGAGGCGGGTTCCTCGTCATAGTTCGTGCCCGGGTGTCTGACCGATATTGTTTCGCGAATTTCAAAATCTTCCTGCTGTTCTTCTTCGTTCGCACCCATTTCATCGTTCCCATCCTCCTCCTCTGCGTCGCGCGTGTAGTAGTTGAAAATGCGATTTTCCGCCGCCTCTGCAGAAGATGAGGCAGAATTTCCGTAGAATGTGTCGCTTCGTTCCTGCACCTCAACGCCACCGTAATCCTCGTCGTGCGGATTGAAGACCTGCTTCCCAGCTTTGCTGCGGTCCTTGACGATGATCGTGTTTTCGCGGCTGCGCAAATCGTCCATGTTCCACGTTGCCTCGCTGTCCTTCACCACGTCCTCGGACAGGAGCTTTAGCAAGGCGGATTTGTCCACGACCGCCGTTTCCCCGTCATTCAGGTTCTTCCCCCCCGTGCCCGTCGGAGTCCTGCTACTGGACAGCGCGCTGTCGTTTAAAGAGAAAGCCTCCTTGATGAACCTGCGCGCACTGGGGCTGAAATTGTTCTTTGAGGTAGAGCAGGAGGAGGAAGATTTCGTAGCTGTACCGGCCTGCTTTGACGCACGAGCAGAAGAATCCGTTCCGAGCACGGCAGGGTAGACGACCTTTTCGTTGAACTCCTCCTCCAGCCTCGCAGTGTCGTTCAGCATCGAGTTGTCGAGCGAAGACGCTCCGGTGGTTGTATTTTTCATCTGCAATCTCAACGCGTCCGCACTGCTTCGCAGAGCCTTCTCGATGTTGTTTTTGCTTTGTTGTAGCACCGCATCCACGGAAGCGATTTTTGACGTCTGTAGCAGATCGTGCGTTGCGATTTTCTGCTGCTCTGTGTTCGAGTTGTTCAGTTCCGCAGCCTCATTGCCTTTGTTCCTCAGACTAGAGATCAAGTCGTCAAGATCGACGCCAGAAGCTTCTACTGGAGCTAGTTTTTTCTCGCCATGATCTACTTTCGCAGCACGCGAAGACGACGCTGCGGAGACGAAGCTATCGACACTCGACCGGTGCAGCAAGTTGTTCCGGATATCCTGGATTACGCGCTCGTTCTCCTCAAGAAGCGCGCTAGCTTGCTTCATCTTCTCATCCACAAGCGACGTCGCGGTAGGTCTTGCACCAGGCCCTTGTTCAGCAGTCGTGATCATCGCAGCGGTGGTGGTCCCCCCCGCGCCGGCGTAGGCGGAGGAAGAGCAGCTGTTGTTCTGCGACCCGAGCAGACTGGTACCGAGGGGCGGACCGGACTTGATGTTCTCATAGGACCTCGGCTCCGGATAGAACCGCAATTGCTCTTCACCTTCGCCATGATACGTATCCAACTCGTCGTTCTCGTAGCCATACTCCTTCGCAGCTGCTGTCGTGGTTGCGTTGTGCACTGCTCCGGCCTCGTGCGAAAAGGGCGAGGAAGAGGGAATCTGCAGCAAAGACGAATTCTGCGTCTCGTTGAATTCCGAGGAAGCAGCTGGTATCTCGGACTGAACGAGGGAGAGATTCTGCGACTGCGCAGACGGATTCGGGCTCTGCTTCTTTTTCGCGGAGGACGCTGCTTGCGCCGGCTGCTTCTTGTTGGGCGCGGGCGAAGCTCGGACGCGGGATGACCTGAAGTGATAAATTACTTAGATACGAAAAAAATCATTGAAGACCTGTAAAGTAGACTTCTGATGAGCCCAAACATAGAATCAGACAGGGTGACGAGAGAATGAGGAAGCGAAGGGCAGTACGAGAGCGAGACAGAGCTGGAGTTCGGCAGCCCCATGTTCGGAATTTTCGCGGATTCTCGGTTGTACTTTATGCGCTCAACGCTCGTTTGCCGCTTTAGTGCTTGCGCAGCCTCCCTTGCTTTCTGTGCCTGCGCCGATGCCTGTTCAGCTCGCATGCGCCGTATTGCTTCCTTTCCTCGTTGCTCGCGCTTCTCTGTACGTTTGGTTTTCATTTCAGGTTATTTTTCGGGTACGTAGTAAATTGTGCCCCATGTTGCTGAAATTCTGACATGAAGAAGACAAAGACTCATCAGGGCAAAAGTATTTGCATTCTCTTTCACATTCGAAGTCAGTTCCTTTTCCTGCGTTGCCTCATAGTCATAACCGCGTTAAGATAAAATCTGCAGCACCTTTCATTTCCGCAGTTGACGCGGTCAGCTTCTTTTCTTCGATCTGTTCCAGTTCCTCCTCCAGATCGTTCGTATTGCGCATCACGTGGAAGCGGGTTTGTGACCAATCTACGTACCTGAAATACAGGAAAGCAAACTTCCTCGAAGAATGAAGGAGGTCCGCGCGGAAGCGCACGCGCCTGCAGCTCAATACAAACCTACCCAAATACTCAGCAAAAGGACAAGCCTGCGGCGCGACTCAAGCCAAACCAGAACCAGCCGAATTTGCACGCTGGCTTGCCCGGATGGAGTTCGGGCGACGCGGCAAATCACCCAAAATTGTGCGCATTTTGCCCAAACCCCGGGCGGTCCAGCCGTGCGCCTTTGGCCCATTTTTCGGGCGGCGCAACTGTGCGCATTTTGCCCACTTTGCGGGCGGTCCAGCTGTGCGCATTTTGCCCACTTTCGGGCGGTCCAGCTGTGCGCATTTTGCCCAAGCCCCGGGCAGTCCAGCTGTGCGCGTTTTGCATTGCTCACTTTTCGGGCGGTCCAGCTGCGCGCATTTTGCCCAAGCCCCGGGCGGTCCAGCTGTGCGCATTTTGCCCAAGCCCCGAACGGTCCACCTGTGCGCATTGATTTTGATTGCCCACTTTTCGGGCGGTCCAGCTGCGCGCATTTTGCCCAAGCCCCGGGCGGTCCAGCTGTGCGCATTTTCCTCACTTTTCGGGCGGTCCAGCTGTGCGCATTTTGCCCAAGCCCCGGGCGGTCCAGCTGTGCGCATTTTGCTCACTTTTCGGGCGGTCCAGCTGTGCACATTTTGCCCAAGCCCCGGGCGGTCCAGCTGTGCGCATTTTCCTCACTTTTCGGGCGGTCCAGCTGTGCGCATTTTGCCCAAGCCCCGGGCGGTCCAGCTGTGCGCATTTTCGTCACTTTTCGGGCGGTCCAGCTGTGCGCATTTTGCCCAAGCCCCGGGCGGTCCAGCTGTGCGCATTTTGCCCACTTTTCGGGCGGTCCAGCTGTGCGCATTTTCCCCAAGCCCCGGGCGGTCCAGGTGTGCGCATTTTGCCCACTTTCGGGCGGTCCAGCCGTGCGCATTTTGGCCACTTTTCGGGCGGTCCAGCTGTGCGCATTTTGCCCAAAGTGCGCATAGCTGGGCCACCCAGCTTTGGGAAAAGAAGTGCACACGGCTGGACCACCACCCGTGATCGCAACGATTTTCTCCATCACAGGTGAAGCAAGGGCGTTTAATCTGGCAAAATGTCGTTTGCAAAGTTGTACCCGCTAGCATCTTGGCACATGACGAGATTATCCGCTTTTTGCCCCAACTGCGTCGTCTCCATCTTCTTCTTTGCTGCCTTCTCGCGCAACTCCATCAGCCGTCTCGCGTTGATCTCGGCCTGCTTCGATTTCGACCGCTCCAAGTCGAGCTTCCGCTCTTCCTTCTTCTTCCGCATCGCTAACGGCAGGGCCTCGTATGCTTTCGCAAACCGGTCCCTCTCGTCCTTGGACCGCTGCTCCTGTCTGTACGCGTCCACGAACTCCTGGATCTGTTTCGCCTCCCGAAGCTCTTCTGACCGTAGAAACCCCTTGCCGTAAACGGTGTTCGGTAGGGTGTCGCAAGAATTCAACCCCATGATGGAGCCGTCAATGGCCGGACTCTGGTTCGGCGGAAACACGGAGAACTGCTTGCTGTTGGACTGCGTGAGACCGAGCCTCTCCTCGATCGTGTTGTCGATGGTGGTGGTCAGCCCAAAGCCGCTCGGGTTCGCGGTCATGTGGACGCTTTGGTCGTTGGCTGTGACAATGTATGTGACGGCGTGTCCTAAAAGCTCGAACACTAAACTTTTTTGCAGTTGCACTGCAAAAAAGATGATGCTGAAGGCAGCGACTGCAGAAAAGTGTTGTTTGACTGCAGAAAAGATGGAACGGACTGCAGGAAAGTGCTGTTTTCAAAGAGTAACGGATAACGGATCGAAGAAAGAGTAACGGTTAACGGATTTAACAAAGAGTAACGGCTAACGGCCTGCCCACCACGCCCCCATAGTGCCCCTATCGCATCTTTTTTGCAGTGGAGCCAATCTTTTTTGCAGTGGAGGCCAATCTTTTTTGCAGTGGAGGCAATCTTTTTTGCAGTGGATGCCATCTTTTTTGCAGTGAGTGCCATCTTTTCTGCAGTCGAGGACATCTGTTTGGCAGTGGAAGCTGCCAGCTCTGCAATACAGACCCGCCGCCCTCGCCTTCTGCGAAGCCGCAGGCGGGCCTGCCATGTGCCCCCCTGCAGTCACGTCTTGACGCAAGGCCGCCTGCAGTCGCCTCTTGCCGAAGGACCGGCTGCAGTGCCCCTTCGAAGAAGGCCTGCAACAATGAATCCCACCCGCAGGTAGGCCAACGATGGCCCCACCATAGCCGCCCCCCCTTGAAGAAGCCGAGATGCTCCATCTTGGGCTTCTTCCCTCTCGAAGCGGGGGCGAGCGGAGCCCTCCTTGAAAAAGGCGGGATCCCTACCTGGAAAAGGGAGGGCCCCTCAATGATCCGGTCCTGGAGAACCCTGGAGATGGGAGGAGCTCCTTGGCTCTCCTGCACGCAGTTGAAGATCTTCTTGTAGTTCATGATCAGGCCTGCCAGCCTCCTCATTCCCGACGCCCACATCCCCGCAACCTCGTTGCTTCCCGATCCCCCAACTTGCGTCGCTACCCCCTTCCCTAGTCTCCTTCCCGCCCTTTTCTGTGTGCCCCATAGATTCCGCGGGCCCCCAGGATCTATTCCCCATACGAAACGCAAAAACCAACGCGGGCGAGATAGGGGCCCGAGCTACTGACGCAACGGCCCTCCTCTCAGAACAAAACGGCCAGCAGGCACAGACCTACTCTTTTAGCCCTTTCTACTAACTTGGGCGAGCCTGCGGCAACTCGCACAAAAACAAGCGGGCCACATGCTGTGACAGTTGCTGAGGTGCTTGTCGTCGTCCCCACACTTGTCGACAAGCGGATCATCTGCGGCCGCGCGCGGTCTGAGGTGCGCCCGCGCGCGGCGCGCAGCAGCCTGCGCACGCAGGCGCCTACGTTCGGCGCCAGGTGCCTCCAGGCCTCCGACATCCGGGCGCGACGCAGAAAATTTTTTCCCGCTCCCAGGCCAAGGCGCCTGCGCGCACGCAACGCGCGATCGCTTTTGCCTCGGCCAGCCCGCGACACCTGGAAGCGAAAAAAAATTGCGTCGCGCCCTCACCAGGTTCTGGGGCCTGCGCGCGCGGCGCGCGAATAAATTTTCCCGGCGGCAAGACCCCGACTAGCGGGCGCGTAAAAAAAAATCTGTCGCGCCCCCACCAGGTCAGGGCGCCTGCGCGCGCAACGAACGCGCGAATAATTTTTTTTCGGCCAGCCGCCGACTGCCGGACGCAAAACAAAACTATGAATGTCACGCCCCGATCAGGTCAGGGCACGTGCGCGCGCAGGGTGGTAAAATTTTTTTCGGCCAGCCCCGATTGGTGGGCACGTAAAAAAAACTCATCGCGCCCTCACCAGATCAGGGCGACTGCGCGCGCAGCGCGCGAAGAATTTTTTTGGGCCAGCCCTCGATTGCTGGACGCGCAAAAAAAAAATACGAATGTGGCGCCCTCACCAGGTCAGGGCGCCTGCGCGCGCAGGGCGCTAGAATCTTTTCTCTGCCAGGCCCTGACTGCTGGGCCGACGCGACAAAAAAATTGGCGGCCTCACCAGGTCAGGGCGCCTGTGCGCGCAGCGCGCGAAAATTTTTTCGCTTCGGCCAGTCCCTGATTGGTGGACGCGAAAAAAATTCAGCCGCGCCCTCACCAGGTCAGGGCGCCTGCGCGCGCAGCGCGCGAAAATTTTTTTTCGGCCAACCCCCGATTGCTGGGCGCCAAAAAAAATTATGAATGTTGCGCCCGAACCAGGCCAGAGCGCCTGCGCGCGCAGGGCGCTAAAAATTTTCTCGGCCAGCCCTCGATTGGTGGGCGCGTAAAAGAAACGCAGTCGCGCCCTCACGAGGTCAGGGCACCTGCGCGCGCAACAGGCGACAAACTTTTTTCGGCATCCCCCCGACTGCTGGACGCGGAAAAAAAAAGCATGCCGCGCCCTCGCCAGGTCAGGGCGCCTGCGCGCGCAGGGTGCTCAATTTTTTTTCGGGCAGGCCCCGATTGCCGGGCGCGACAAAAAAACTACCGGCCTCGCCAGGTCAGAGAGCCTGCGCGCGCAGCGCGGGAAAAATTTTCTTCCTTCGGCCAGCCCCTGTTTGGTGGGCGCGTAAAGAAAACTCAGCCGCGCCCTCACCAGGACAGGGCGCCTGCGCGCGCAGCGCGCGACAATTTTTTTTTCGACCAGCCCCCGATTGCTGGGCGCCAAAAAAAATTGTGAATGTTGTGCCCGAACCAGGCCAGAGCGCCTGCGCGCGCAGGTCGCTAAAAAATTTTTCTGCCAGCCCCCGATTGGTGGACGCGTGAAACAAATTCTGTCGCGCCCTCACGAGGTCAGGGCACCTGCGCGCGCAGCAAGCGACAAATTTTTTTCGGCCAGCCCCCGATCGCTGGACGCGAAAAAAAAAAATGAATGTCGCGCCCTCAACAGGTCCGGGCGCCTGCGCGCGCAGGGCGCACGCTAAAAATTGTAAATTTTCGGCCAGCCCCGATTGGTGGACGTGAAAAAAAAACTCTATCGCGCCCGTACCAGGTCAGGGCGCCTGCGCGCGCAGCGCGCGAACTAATTTTCCAGGCCAGTCCCCGATTGCTGGACACGAAAAAGAGAGTATGAATGTGGCGCCCACACTAGATCAGGGAGCCTGCGCGCGCAGCGCGCGAAAAAAATTTTTCGCTCCGGCCCGCAGCTACCGAAGCAGATCAGGGCGTCTGCGGGTGCGCAGCGCGCAACATTTTTTTACGGCCCGCCGCGGCCCTCGATTGCCGAACGCGACAAGGACATCGCAAGCAAGTACCAAAACAACGGCGCCTGTGCGGGCGCAGCACGCCGACTTTTTTTCCCGCTCTTAAACGACAAAACACCACACGCACACCATCACCACTACCAACGAAAGATGGAGCCGAAATAGGTGCGCGCGGTAGGAAAAAGGCTTTTCCCGGCTCCGAGCGCAGGCAGAACACGAGAAGACGCTCGCGCCCTTCCGAAGTAAAAAGCCAAAGCGCGTGCTGCGTGCGACAACCATTTTCGTGGCTGACCCCCGGTCGCCCGGCTCGAAAGGCGCTGCGCATCTTCCCAAAGTGTTTGCGTAAATGGCAAAAAGTAAACCGCCCCACTTACGACAGTTCCGCCGCATTCTGCCCACGGGGGCCAGGAAACGAATGCAAGTTTTTCAGCAGAGGCACATGCGCAACTGCAGAAAAGAACGGCAACTGCAGTAAAGTTATGTGTTCATTTTTTTAGATTTCCGAACGGTGGAAATCAAAACCATGAACACATGGATTTGAAAATAAAAAGGCGAATGGAGAATACATTAGTTCGAGAACAAGAGTTAAAGTCAAATGCGTACAAGACCATCAACAGGAGCGTTGAGCCGTTGCTTTAGTGCTTACCCGCTGACAACACCGATTCATGCAATTGCTGCAAGTTCGCGAGCTCCTTTTTAGCTTCGAGCAGCCGAATGAGCTTCTCCTCCTGCGTCTCTTCGTTCTGTTCCTTCGATTTCTTCTTCTGAAATTTCTCTCTCGTCTCTACCGCCCGCTTCTTCTCCTGCTCCCGCACCTGCCTCCATCGCAGCCCCCGTCGGTTATGGGCGTCCTTTATTCCGTGAAAATTAACCATCCCCATCCATTTTCTGCATCACAAACACAGACTTTACTACGTGTTTTGCAGGAAAAATTGGATGGGGATGGTTAATTTTCGGGGAATATCCTTCGACTGCCAAATTTGCTCCTCGTTTGGCGACAGGTGCAACAGGACCTGGTTGCTCTGCGTGGACGATTTCGAACGCGGGTTCGTGGATTTCGAAACGAAGCAGGGCACGGACTTCTTGAAGGCGGTGGAAGAACTGGCCCGCTGCTGCTCGGCGCCGTGCGGTCCACGGTTCATTTGGACCGCTGCAGTCATCCTTTCCGCTTACAATGTGGTCATATGGAAGACTTACCACGTAGACAAAGAAACTCAAATTTTCTCAACGCGGTCGATTTTTTTTATTTTATCGCTTCCGGTTCCGGCACTTGATTGCGTATTAACAAGAAACATTCATCAACATATGCTGAAGATCAAAGCAAACGCAAACCAACAATACGCACAAACACTAAAAAGGTGAATCCTGTATTGCACTCCGATGCTGCTCGTAGCAGCTTCCACAAGCAGCTTCTACGCTTCTTCCCTATTTGCGTTTATCCGTCGGTACGTGCCCTCAAGTGAAATTTCAGTGCGTCGTCCTCAAGACAACGCGTTCAACTGGAGATAAGGAGACAAACAGTCGTGTCTTGTTACTCTTGAAAATGAGAACGCAGCAGAATAGAATTACGTGACCACGGAATATGAAGAACAACAGTTTGCAGAAAGACTACGTGGTGAACGCACGTGGTAGGCTTTGGCTTGCCGTCCGTTCCCCGGATTAACTTCTGTTCGTGTTCGACGATGTGTTCTCGAATTCCTCATAGCTCTGTTGCAAAAGCTCGCCGTCACGCAAAGATCTTTGAAGGACGACTGCGATGAAGGCACAACACGAGCTAGCTAGCCCTTTCGTCCATTTCCAAAAGTTGCCAATACAAGCTTTCATATCCCCTGCAAGCAACAATTTTCCCGTGCGAGATCACCCAGACAAAGCAAACTTAGGCCTTGCACCGTGCCGAACTCGCGTTTTCGTTCGTTTTGATAGTGTGTTTTCTAATTCTAGCAGAATTTCTCGTATGAGTAATAAGGAATCGGTAGAAAAGTCTAGAAGATCTGCGTAAGAATGAAGAGGTAGGTACAAAGAATGATGAAGCGCAGCTGTCTTTGGTACAACATAAGAATAGAAGAGAAGCTTTATTACTTCAGCCCGATGTAAACACTTATCGTGCGTATTTTTGTATTTTTTGAGTGCAAAACGAGTTTTGTAGCGATATATATATGCTCCTGAGTAAAGCGGAACTACAAGCTCAAAGTGTACAGTCGCGACAGCTCATTTTTCGCTGCGGATTCAAATTGCGCAGCAAGCATTGGCGTCTCCGGATTTCTGCACACGCTCATTGTCGCTGCTCAGTCGGAAGTGTCGCCAGCCTGCAACGCAATGTAGTCCCCGCAGCGCAAAGCACACGCGAAAAGGGAAGAGGTCGAAAACAGCACGCAGCCCGATAGATGGCGGCGATACGGGTGTTGCCCTTGCCTTGTCTCCGCGGGTGCGAGATAAAGCGTGCACGAATAAAGTGAAAAGTTGTGTGCACTTTTCATATTAATTTACAATTATGAAGATACAAACGATTACAAGCGGGATACGGACTTGCTTTTGGTCCTCTGGAGTGGCTCAATATATGGAAATTTATCATGATGGCTCCACGCACAACCATACTAGAGTAACTTGTGCATTGATTGAATTAGGAGCTCAAGTCAAAGCGCGACCCTCAAATAATTGTGGGCGCGCACTCCAGTGGTGGGCGTCAAATTTGATAAATATGACGGGAAAACGTCTGTCAGTAACTGCGCAGCCAGAAACTGGCAGATCGAGGTGATATCGATAGACATCTAGGGGAAGTTTAAGTTTTCTACAGTACAGCATTGCATGCAAGGCAAGAAAGAGGTACACGTACACAGAAAGCACTTACGAATTCAATTTTCATAGCTCGAAAAAATGATAGCAGAACGATTTTTACTTTGGAGTTGACTTGGTTCGCTGCATGAAGTGTGTCGGGAGGCTGCTCTTCGGCATGATCCCCAATCGACAAACTTCTCTGCACTGCGAGGTTTAGATTTATGGTTGAATTACGCGGATGAAGCTGCAGCAAGTGCTGCGTGGTGCAGCAAAAGCACGACTTTTATTTGATTTACTGTTCTACGAAAGGCGCTAGCGCTAGATAGTAGAATCGCTAGCGCTGGATACAACAACTAAGTTACTTAAGCCATTTACGGAATGCTGGCTTCAATTCTCTTCAGGTCATCAAGCGACGGATTACGACAGACCTCTTGAATGCGCTCCGGAGTGAAGCGCCAAATTTCAGCTTGTGCTTTTTCCCCGATCTGCTTCCAAACCTGAAGGGGAGCAACCATTTCCATTACCATGAAATTTTTCGTTTTCGTCTGCATATGCATTCATTATCATTTGAATCAACAGCTGGAGCTGAATTTCATTTGCGTTGCTTATTGATATTAGGAGAACAAAGAAAAAAAGTCATACATGTGGCAGCAAGTTTTGGGCTGTGTTGTTAAAGATGTTGAATTTAGCCATGGGGTCCTCGATGTACAGCACTTCCGCCTGGTCCTGCTGCCCCCGCGGATAGCAGCGAACAATGTGCTCCATGTCAATGTGAACAGTCTGGTTTTGGTCCGTCAAGTTGGACAGCCAGAAGTAGAAGTTAGCGATGTGCTTCGGAATGTGATGCGTGGGCGGTTCCGGCGATTCCGCACCAACGTGCAACAGGTGCGGGTGCGTACTTTTGTAATGCGCAAAAACCTAGAGATATTGGATTTGCAAAGACGCATCAAAGCCACGCCCGCAGCATTCGTTATGACGTGACCGGGTGATGTCCTCCACTTGTGTGTCAACATGAAGATGAACATATCAAAGAAAAGAATAAAACAAAATCGCTTTATCTCGGCTGGATAATTTACCAGCAAAAGCCACGACAAGCTGTTGAGACCGCCTTTGTAGGTGCAGTTCAGGCCTTCGCACTTGGACCAGTGCTTGACCGCGTATACGGTAGTTTTCACCACCGAAGCCGTATGCCAAAACTGTTCCCGAATCATCTGGTCCCTCTTCTTCACCAGTGCCGTGGAGCTTAGGAGAAGTGCCTGCGACTGTTTCTGAATCGTCGCACGAAACGCTGTAGTTTGGTTAATCGATTGCCAAGCGCCGGAAGGGCATATTTGTTTTTCATTGATAGAGCAGTAACAGTATTTACAAGCCGATTCGCAACTTTGCTAGTATGCCACGGTCATCCCTGCAGTGGAGCAGATGGTGATGGCCCGAGGAGCAGCTTTGACTTTATTTATTAGATCAGTCTACGTCTATCGCTCCGCAGCAAGAACGTACCAGGAGTCGTCGGATTGGTGCTCGTCCCTCCAGCAGTGGCCGTTGCGGATCCGGCTTCGTAGTTTAGGTTGAGTTTGCTGCTTGTGCTCGAGGAGTTTGTCGCGCTCCCGTCGATCTTCTCGTCCGCCCTACAACCCTCGGCGTCGCTGATTAGTTCCTGCTGTCCTCCGCAGCTTTTCAAACTGCAGTCCTTCGAGCCGGTTGCTGTGGATTTCGTCTGCGAAAAGTTGGACAATTCCAAGTCGTTTTCGATCATCTGAGTGCCGATCTGCAAATGCATCTTCTCCGACGCGGCCAATTCCTCCTCGGCGGAAGCAGAACTCGCACTGGAGCACGAAGTGGCATGCGAGTCTTGTCTCACTTCCGGCGCCTGTTCGACACTAGTAGAGGTTTTGATATTTCCCTGCTGCGGCTCCGCACCAGACTGCTCGGGTCGCTCCCGTACGGCCGGAGTAGATGTGGGACTACTTAAGTTGCTTGGCTCCGTCCCGCCGGCGCCCAGGGAGGCCAATTCCACAGGGCCCGTTTTATTGTTCTTCGTCCTCGCGACTCGTTCCCTAAGATCTGCTTCCTCGTCGTCCTTAGAGCATGTCCTACTTGAACCCGAGTCCACCTCCTCGACCAGTTTCACACTGCTAGTTTTCGTGCTCGTCATCACGGAGGACGTCTCGCCCTCCATCTGCGAGGCTGTTTCGTCGGCTTCTCGGCGCACGTCTTCCAATTCCTGGTCAGAAGAAAGCTGGAAGATGATCGGATGAATTGGCGAGTCCGCTCCCAGGTTGATATTCAACGCTTCAAACTCCGCGGCGCTGGCGGACTGTTTTGCCATCGATGGAAGCGAATTACTTTCAAATGTGAATCATTCAAGTTGTTAATGCGAGGCATGAACTTTGATGCACTCCGAGTGAGTTGCAGAATCGAGAGAACTACATTTTCAAGCAATCATACCTGAGAATCCGACCCGGTGCGGAACCGAGCCACCCTCACGGAAATATCGAGCACGAGTGCCTCCTCGAAGACCAACTTCAGCACTGGAACCGCCGCCTGTGTGTGTGGTATGATAATGACGGACATCGACAGCACAGTTTAACCTCAATGTCAATCTGAATATAATCTGCGAATAAAATGCTCATGCGATTGCGAAGCACATCAGAGTCAGACAGCGAGAAAATGAAAAAACGCCCTCTTGCTCATATCATTTCATCGAATGCTGTAGTTGCAGTACCAGAGGCAAGCAATCCTGAACGCGCCACTGCGGCAGGAGTTTCTCGTCCGTCTTGAACAGGTTTTCCAGCATGCAGAGCACTTCCCGTTGGAACTCGTGGTGATCAATCTCGGGAATGTTTTCCGACGACGCCGAGCTGCGGGGTAGCATTTCGAAGCACACGGCAACATCCAAATCTGACAGACGCACATGGGTTCCTTGTACGAAACTTCCAAACGGCTGGCAAGTGATCGCCCGTGTGTGGTGCTCGTACTTTGCACAAATGCGCTTGGCGTACTCGCTACTCCGCCGGCAGAAGGTCTGCTCCGCAATCTTACCAAGTGCGGAAAGCGACTCCTTGCACCGCGCCTTTTGCGTCTTCTTGCCAGAGGAGGCACTGGTCGTAGTATTTCCCCCACTACCGGAGGACGATGAGTTGCTGCTTTCTTTTTCGTTCTCTGGCTTCACGGTGGTATTCACAAACTCTACCAGTTTGTTGTACACGGGCTTCATTTCGGCATCGTACATGTCCCAGGGAAACCGTTTCTCGCTTTGTGCTTCGTCCGCGCTACGGGGGTTTGCCGGGCCAGATGGCGGCGCAGCACTCGGACCGGCGGAAGCGGAAGTCATTCCGCCATGAACCAGGTTCACCGAACTGCCCGGGGCGGGTAGTGGAGGCGGGTTGAAACTTTGCTGCTGGATCATCTGCATCGAGTGCCAGGAGGGCGCACGACTTCCACGATTGCTGGCACTGTAGTGCCCGCTGTTGCCACGGTATCCTGTAATACGTGCAATATAACGCCGGATTCAAAACAAACGCTTGAGTCACAAGCACAACTCACTGCATGCTCATCAAGATCCTCGGCTAAAAAATTCATTCCAAAGTAAAACTCTCTTCAGGGTAATATCACAAACTCGTCCCTACCTTTGCCTGAGCCTCCACCCCAAGAGTCCTTTCCGCCGGAGGAGCCTGCGCCCCACTGTCCTCTTTTGTGTGGACTATGCCGCAACTCCGCCAAATTCCGTGCGTTTATGGCTACCTGTTGTGCGCGTAGGTACGCCTCCTGAGCCTGCTGATCGCGTTGCATCTGCTGAACCGCAGCCGCAGGATCAAGACCACTGGCAACCGGCGGCGGACCGCCCGCACCCGCCGGGAGGGGAAGGCCGCCGGGTACGATACCAGACATATTCATCGTCAAATTATTGGAAGTCGCATTCATCTGTGGTGGCACTGGTTGTAAAGGCTGGGAGGCACTTGCGGATGGATTGTTCAGGTTCATGGGTGCTGGTGGAGGTCCTTGTTGCAGCATATTAGGCATGCCTGAACCTGCTCCGCTGTCGAGCTGTTGTGCGTCTTCTGGTCGTGGAAGCTGCTGCACCGGTGGAAATCCGGCGTTCAATAGCTGAGGATTCACCAAATCCACGGGATTCGGATGTGGGACCACGACGTTGGTGCTTATTTGCTGCGCCGCATTGATTCCTCCGGCACTCGAACCGATTTGCTGTAGCATGCTGCTAACGAGCAGCTGCTGCTGCTCAGCCACACTCACCGCTGCCATCGCGTTTGCAGCCACCTGCTGCGCCGATGGAGATAGTAGCCCGCCGTTGAGATACTGGTTCGCCAAGATCGCACGCTGTTGCGGGTTAAGCTGTCCTTGGGACTGCAACTGCATCTGCTGTTGAACTCCGTCCAGGATGGTGCTGCAGGAAGGAGGGACGCCAGGCAAGGCGCCGCCCGGTAGCTGCATTCCAGCGCCGCCCAAAAACAGATTAGCTTGCTGTTGAGGCCCTCCGCCGGGAAGATTGAAGCCATCCGCTCCCTGCGGTTGCATCCCCCCCGGCTGCAAATTATTCTGCGGAATCGGTGGAAGATTTGGATTGATGAGCGGAGGATTGTTCACGTTGAGTCCTCCTCCCGTAGCCACGACGCCGGTGTTCAGAGCGAGGTTACTTGGCGTCGCGTTCAAAGAACTATTGAGCATGCTCGTCGACGAACTAGAGCCACCAAATTGAACGCTTCCGCCCATAGGCACAAAGGCCACGGCGCCGGGGTTCGTCCCCGAGGAGGAGGACGGACGGGTGATTGGCTGTTGACACGACCCGCTGGACCCGCCACCGTTGTGCTGCATCACACGCGCATTTGGATTGAATGGCAAACCCGTGCTATTGCCAGGGATTGTTGTAGCACCGTTGGCGCCCGGCACGGCTGCGGGGAGTGGAGGCGCGTTGATCATCTGCAACTGCTGCAGCGATGGGTTGCTCGCGGAGTTGGGAAGCGAGGACAGCTGTTGCTGCGGCCCCAGCACGACGGGAGCACCACCGCCTTGCCCAACGCTGAGCGTTGGCGTCTGCTGCAAGGACGGCTGCGCAGCAGAAGTGGTTCCGCCTCCGACCGAGCCCGCCGTTCCTGCAGCGGAAACACTGCCGGGCAGTTGCGGTAGATTTAGATTCATCTGGTGGTCCAACGAAGGCGACATACCATGATTCTGCAGTTGGTCCAGAACAATGCCTTGCTGCCCGGACGACTGTTGTAGTTGGTCCGCTCGCTGCTGATCCACTACCGGCAGCAGTGGTTCATCTTCGGTGGCGGCGGGCGGTGGTTTCTCGTCGAAAGCGGCGAAGATCTTGTTAATGCTGTCCTGCGTAAATCCACATGCAGGTCCATCCGCTGCTGCGCCCTCCCCACCGCCGCCCATCCCATTGTTCCCATACGAGCGGCCCCCGCCTTGGAAGTTGTTGTACGAATGCGCGTTCATGTTGTACGAACCACCTCCATTGCTCATGAAACTGCCTCGTCCGCTGTTGTACCCGCCCCCGCCAGCTCCACCGCGCATCATGTTGTTACCGTGCCCATTTCCTCCGCTGCGCGAGTGATCGCGCGAATGCATGCTGTAGTCGTTGTAGTCTCGTGGCCCATGATTGGCATTCCAACTGCCGATACCGCGGTCGTCGTGGTAGGTTGAGGACCGGTTCATCCACGAGCCGCCTTTACTTCCACCGCCACTATTAAAACCCACATGTTCCGGCATCATGCCGCGACTATTGCTGAAGCCGCCTTTGCTGGAAGAGCGACCGTTGTCTTGCAAACCGTAACCGTCACGCGGTCGGAAGTTGTTGCTGAATGCCCGCGTACCGCCGAAGTCGTCATTGTGGCCGCCGCGATTATGAGGGGGACGCAAAGAACTACCCTTATTTCCTTTCGAACCGTACTTTCCGACCGATCCGGGATACCGCTGACCGTAGTCGGGATGCTGCTCATCGTTGAAGTCGGACGAGGAGCGGTGATAGCGACCCCCTTTGTGCGCGGAACCAGCAGCGAAGTGCTGCTGGTCTCCGTGTTTCCCAGAGCTGTTGTAAAAACCGCTTGCGTACTTGCCGCCCTTCCGGTCCCCGTACATGCTCTTGCCACCGTACGAGTTGTAGTTCATGCCATGCATGAAACTGGAACTGGAACTCGTGGCGCTGGTCGTGCTCCCGGGTATGGGCATATTGAGGTCGATACTGTTGCGGAATCGGTCTCGGCCGTGGTGGTCAACATCCTCATCGTCTTTCTTTTGCTCGGCGTTGAGATCCGTACACAGCACGTCTAGATCGTCTGTCTCAGACTGACGTGGTCGTCCTTCTTGCTCAACGATGTTGAAAGTAGAAAACGGCGGCGCAACACCATTGCTAGCGTTCGTCCCACCTCTCGCTCGCCGGTTGTTCTCTACTAGTGCGGGTTCCACCTCCTGTGGTCCCACATCCCTGACATCGTTCCGCGGGTCCCCGTTCAAATCGATCTTCTGCAGCCCCCTTGTTGCCAGATCTGCAATAGGAACGATCTCGTCATCAGGAGCTCCGCGATGCTTCATTCTCTTTTTCTCCACGTAATCGCGGTGATCGTCTAGGAGCTGAGGCTCGTGTGCATTCTGCAGATCCGCGCTCGTCGTGGGGTGGCTCGCCCCCTTGGGAAGTGGCGGTGGCGCTCTTTGCGGCGTTCGCGTCAACTCGTTCGCCACAAAATAATTGTCGGCCTGCTCGTAGTTGTTCATCTTCATCGGCATTTTGTTTTGCTCGTCACTACCAAAACTCGAGGATTTCTGCAATGTCGGCTGAGATGAAGCTGTCAGGTCTGCGGAGCCACCGCTCGCGCCAGTAGTTGCCGCAGATGTAGAAGATCCGGGTCGTGGGTCAACGACATGATCTGAGGAGGACTTCGAGTCCAGCACATGTTGTGTGGCGTCGGAGAACTCAACACTGCTGTGCTTGTTGTACGCGCTAGCAGCTCTAGTTGTACTCTGGTCCACAGAAGTTGTGTGCTTGCTCGAACTGGCACTCTTCCCGGTGCCGGCTTTGCTCGTACCCGTGCCCGTGGTAGAACTAGCTCCACAGTTGTCACCGCTGTTTGCCGACAGCCACCCGGAAGGTGCTGCTCCTATTGTTGGTGTCGCGCTCTTCCCGACGCCGGGCCCACCGCTGCACGTGGAGCTACTCGACGAGGAACCAGCGTTGATGTTACCACTTCGTTTGGATGACGACTCCGAGCTGGTGTTCTGCCGCCAGGATTTTATGCCCAGGGTCGGCTTCCAAGTAGTGGCCACAAGCTTCCAACTGTCGCGCGAGGTTGAGGTGGACGATGTGGGCATGCTACTGAGATTATTTCCCGACTCTGATTCATGCAACCCTCCTCGCGTCGAGCTGCTATTCGTGGCGGTCGAGGAGGACGAAGCGGCGCTGCTCGAGCTGCTTCCGCCCGCTCTGGTAGAGGCGGCAGAGGTGCTGCTGTGTCGGGCATTCGCTTGCAACTGCGAAGAAATGCTCGACCGGCTGTGGTGCTCAGTGGTCGGACTTTCGCCACTGCTCCTGCCGCTGTTTCCCAGCAACGCTGCTCCTTTGGCGTTCATATCTTCTACGAGCTGCGAACCGGGGGTCGTGTTCTTATTCACGCCTGTCGAGGAAAGCGAACCACTGTTTGCGCTTGTGTTTCCATTCCCACCACCGCCACTAGCAGAAGATTTTGAGCTGCTGTGAAAATTGTGCTGCGAAGCGCCGCTGTGGCCGAGACTTCCTGGTTTCTGGTTTTGCCCCGCGCTTTTATTGTTGGATTTCGCGTTCGCCGCATTTGCCACTGCGGCGTAGCTCTTGCGCTGCGGTTTCGACGTCTCGGTGGGCGACGGCGCAGAGGAGGCTGTAGATCCCTTACTCGTGGTGGCGCTTCCCTGCTGCAGCTCCGCCGAGCCTCCGCCTCCCGAGGTCGCTGAAGCCGCCGCCGCGCCAGAGGAACTCCCACTAGCAGAGGACATTTCTTTACTATTCAACCTCTTAGAGTTGGATGCAACTATCGCCGGCGAAGCAAGCTTGGAGGTCTTGTGGCTCTTGTCCTTATTATTCTCTTTGTATGAAGTGGAACTACTGGTGCCTTGATGATGCCCCGAGGAGGAAGAAGACGAGCCACTACTATTGCCACTTCCTCCTCCTCCACCGTAGTGGTGCCACAAGGAGTTGTCGTGCTTCCCACTTCCCGCCCCACTGTGCTCCTTGTCTACCTTCGTCCAGGAAGACCAGCTTTGCTCCTTTTTGTAGCTGCTGTATTTGCTTTTGCTGCTGCCGCTGCTACCGTGGTGGTCTTTTTCCTTGTGACTGATGGTGCTGTTGTTCTGGTGGCCGCCAGACTCTTTGTCCTTCGTCGACGACATTTTGAAACCCCCGCCTTTCGCAGCACTAGCGACTGCAGAAGTAGAAACCAATTACCTTCACCCAGGTGACCGGCCGTTTGCGTTTCCACGTACCAATGCCGAACGCACAGGCGAATGCAACTGGCACTTTTGGGCGGCTTGTCGTTGTTTTCGTCGTGGTGTATCAAGTTATGTATTAATTTGTTACTCACAACAGCGCAGGTGGCGGTGGACCTTTTCTTCTTTTAATCTATGTACTACCCTCACACCTAGTATTTCACCATTGCGGAGCATTCATTGCTGGTGTGTTAAAGCTACATCATCATCTGCTTGCTTTCCTACAAAAGATATTTTTACGGCACACTCAGACTCGCCACATCGTTGGGACCACTAAGGACCGTGAGAAACTACAGAAAAGCTAAAGCTCAGATCAACATAGTCATTGAGTCATCAGCTGCTTCATGATAGTGGCTTCTCTCTGTCTCCCATCTTTTTCAAAAAACATCAACAACGCAGCTACTGCCGTGGCATATCGGTGTTGAATCTTCAGGCAAGCCGAACAATTTTCAAGAATGCAAGGAGGAGTTCGTAATTCGTGCAAGTTGGCGACCCTTTCTTCCGCACAAAAGGCGACCACTAGCACAACCTATGCAAAACACAAGACGGCGATCCGAACAAACGAGGCGAAATCGAAAAGCGATGCATGCAAGCAATCAACGCGCGCCAGCCTCACGACCAGCCCCTCTACTGTACAAGATTAAAATGCAATTCAAACAAATTGAAATCTCATGAATCGTCTCTCTTCACAACCGACGACAGGCAAAATGATCTATCGGAGCAGCAAAGAAACCAGATGACCTGCCTCTTGCTCTAAACAGGTCGAAGCGCTACTGTTTCTCCCATTTTGGCCTGTGCCTAACCGGCTGCGATGTAATAATGGCTTCCTTGCAACTTCTTTTGATTTTTCGATAGGCAGGCCAGGCACCCGGAACAGGTCCTACCCTGATTTTTCCCTGACATCTTCTGATGGACATGGCGCACTCCGGTTCATTTGCTTTGCGTCGTTGCTGGGCCCAGCGCTTCATTATCATTCATGATCAGGTTCAGGTTTTCATACTTGTTCGCATTTCTATTTTGTTCAGAGATTCCAACAGCAAAATTTGAGGTGATATTCTTGAAAGGTGTTGCTTTCTACAATGGGACAGAAACAATTCTTCTTCTCGAAAAGGTAGTACAATTAGAAGATGAGGCTTGCCATATTGCTTCTTTTGGTTTTGATTTGTACATTTTTGGTACATGAAAACTTGCCGGCGGCTTGTACGTAAATCCGTGCGTCTCTCAATTCATTGCATCAGTGTATGCGGCCTACTTCGCGCTCGCGCAAGTCGGTTTCCTGTCTGTATCTTCTCCGGTAAACATCGTGTGCGTGTCGTCTGCTGTGAAAACACCACCCTGCTTAGAGTTTTCCCGAAAGGGACTCCAATTCGGACTCGGCCTTCTTGCGTAGATCTCGTTCCAAGGAGATCTCTTCCTGAATCGGTTCCAGCAGCTTCTGTACTTCCTCCTTCACCAGGTTCTGGACGCTCTGGCGCAACTGCGCGGAGGTCTGCGAGCCGAGGATTTTGCTAGTACTTGCGGTGCTGCTACCCCCGCCACCACGAGTTGATTTCGGTTTTGCGTGCTGCGAACCAGCCACGGACCCACAACCGGAGAGCGCTCTGAATTATATTATATGGGCGCGCGTACTTGATTATGAATCGAATACCACGAAGAAGAACGTCGATTACGCAATCATCTCACAAAATGCACAGGCGGCAATCTTCGAGAAGTTATTGTTTTTCTTGTCATGCAAATGCATATCTGTAATCCGAGCAGGAGTACTTGGGTGCAAGAAAAACGCAGTCACGGATGACCTTTCCGCATAAAAAAATACCTCGCAACAGAGGCCCCCGCGCATGATGACGGTGCGCCCGTCAAGTAGGAGGATTTGCTGTCTCTGCGGGGCAATACGACGTGATTAGCTGCCTGGCTCCCTGGTGCTTCTGAGCCCGCGAGACTGGGAGAACTCTTGACACGCTTGAACCTGGTACGGATAATTCAAAATTTTACTGGGAACGCAGAAAGCACACGAGGCGACCAGGAACAAGCCTCAGGATCGGACGATGGGAATAGTACCGTCAAATAAACAAAGTACGAGAAGATGATGAAACGGCGAAAAACAAAGTTGTGTTGCACCCATTGATCAGCTCCTGTGCGGAATCCTGCGAATCCGAAAAACTCGGCCGGTGGTAGTGCTCCTTGCCCTTGTAGTATTTTTCATATACAGGCCTTGTTTGTGCGTAGACCTCCCGCTCGATGCGCTGCGTCCACAGTTTGTCCTCCACTGTGGGTTTGCTCTTTAGCAGGGGCATCTTCAACTTCTGACAAACGACCTGCGTGGATCACGCCCGAGGGTACAACTTGAACTTGCTCTGCTTTCGATATTCATTTACCTACGCGAGTCACATCACCATCAGGACAGAGTAGATACATATCATGGCGTCGACAGCAGAAAGACGACACAGTAATCCCGAAGAGAACGACGACGATGCAGCCAAAAATGAAATTCATGTCACACCCGCGTGCAGCTCAACAGCTTTTAGCCTGGTCTGTCAACCTCTCCTGGCGCTCCCACTGCCCAAGCATCGAATCACCACACACTCTCCTGTTTCATCTCTTTCTTGGGACAACTGTCCAAGTAGGCCACTCACCTCCGGCCGCGAAAGCCTCGGGCTTGATCATAGGGAACACGCGATTCGCTTCAAAAAAACAGAGGCGCGAAATCGGCGTGTAGTCGCACAACATAAGGTAGAGAATAATTTGGGTACTTCAAACATACATGGCCTCCATAGATAAATCAGTCTTTGGATTTTCTAATGGGAAGGTTTGATGTGCGTCGCGTGAAAGAGATCCTTTTGTTTCCCCTCATTATCTTGAGATCATGTTCATGCTCCTGCACAGAGTTATTGTGTTGAAATGTGGTAGCGTGGCGTATGCGTATCTATAACTTGCGTCGTAGATATCAGGAGAACGGCCGTCGCGCTGAAAGAAACGTCAAAACATGTAAAAATCCAAGAAAGGACAAGGCACCGTCGAAAAGCTCGTGTCTCATGAAGTTTCCTTTTGATGAAGCAGAAGTACATTTGTCGGATAGATTTTGTACATTGTTCAACGGGCTAGAAAATTATGTGACTCGAAAATTGTCGCGGGGAATAATTTTTACACTGAGGCTGAGCATTTCTATTTGATAAAAACGTTCCTCCTGCATTGCCTGCCACTTTCCCAAGCTACCACAACACCTGTGGCTCCATTTCTGCCTTTATTTGATGATCATTGATATACGACATTTTGACTTGGAGCTTCTGCTGCCGCTGTGCATTGGTTCTTTTAAAAATAGTTGCGTTGCGATTTCGTTTCTGCGTGTTGTATCAATTTAAACATGGTTGCGTCTGGGTTTATTCTGTATCCGTTTATACATAGTTGGTTGCAATGAGTCCGACAAGAAACAAAGTGGAGGTGGTAGGTGAAGACCACTCAATCTACTTGTCGCATCCTTCGAAAAAAGGCGCTTCAGTCACCTGCTCTTGCCGTCCTCTGTTGATTCAAGTTGTTTTCCATTTCCTCCGAACAATCAAGACCAGCCTGCTCCGTTTACAAGTAACGCTCCAGGTCCTCCGGCATCTCCTGGATCTGCGTACCGTAGTACCGCTCGATCTCCTTCAAGTAGCTCTTGTCCTTTTCCGTGCAGAAGTTGATACCAACACCCTTACGACCGTAACGACCGGATCGACCAATACGGTGCAAGTAGTTCTCCATCTTCACTGGCAAATCGTAGTTGATCACCAGAGAAACTTGCTGGATATCGATACCTGGGTAGAAGAAGTAGTTGTGAACAGGATTATACTATGAGATGTTGACGTTGAGTCCTCGTCTCTACAACGAACTTGGAACTGCATATTTTCGTGAATCGCGTCCGATGAAAGGCATAAAAATCATAAGTATGTAAAAAAATCTGTACCTCGTGCCAGCAAATCTGTGGAGATCAAGACCCGACTGGCGCCGTTGATGAATTCGCGCATGACGCGCTCGCGGTCCTTCTGGTCGAAGTCCGCGTGGATGACGGAGACCGTGAAATCGTTTTCGTTCATTTTCTCCGCGAGCCAGTTGGCCTTCTGCTTCGTGTTGCAGTAGATGATGGACTGCTGGATGGTCAGGGTTTCGTACAAATCGCACAACACATCCAACTTGTTCTTCTCCTCATCAATATCGATGAAAAACTCGCTGATACCTGGAATTTGTTTGGAAGAATCAATATCAAGAGCGTAGATTCATTTTTTTTTCTTTGTTTGGCTTTGGCAAGGCAAAATCGTCCAGCATGGTAGTTCATGCAAAGTAAAAATCTTGTTGTATAAGGCGACACATAACTAGAAACGCAAGAACAGTTGCGACGCTGTCGCGTAAGTACCCTCAAGGGTGAGCTCGTCCTTCTTCACCAGGATGCGAACTGGGGAGCGCATAAATCGGGTCGTCAAGTCCAGAATCTCTGGCGGAAGCGTTGCGGAAAACAAACTGACCTGAACCTCAGACGGCAGGTACTTGAAGATGTCGTAAACCTGCATTTTTGATGGTGCAATTTTTTGTCAGTCGATTCCATTTGATTCACTTTTCCGCCCTCAGTCGATTCATGCATAAACACGAGTGGCAGGAAAAAGTGAGCAGCAGCCCTTAGTGCGTCGAAGGTTCTTCCACAGAAGTCATGCATAGAGACTTTCCAAGTGTTGATGAGAATCAATCAGCACCACATCGGTCCAGTATATTAATACCTGCTCCTTGAACCCGCGGTTTCCGAGCATCTCATCGGCTTCGTCGAGAACGAGGAGGTTGATGTCGTCGACCTTCAGGTGGCGCTTGTAGATCAGGTCGAACACGCGTCCCGGGGTACCCACGATGATGTGGCAACCGTTGTTCAACTTGTCAACGTCGGATTTGACGTCGGTACCACCCGTGCACACGTGGGATTCGATTTTCATGTAGAGAGAAAAATTTTGGACGACCTGGATTGGAATCAAAACAAATTCGAACTCCTGTGCGGGATGCCTTAGTTTTGCCTACTTCTGCGATCGTAAACAACTTTATACGTAACGAAACCCACATTCCGTGGACATGGACTACATCGACTACATGCAAAGGAGAAGTACCGATCATGCGGATTTTGGTTTACTACCTAGTATCAGGTATTCTACATCCACAAACCAAAACTATACCTTGTGGATCTGGTTGGCTAACTCACGCGTCGGTGCCAAAATCAGAACCTGCACTCCACGCAGGGTGGGGTCGATTTTCTGCAAACCACCAATGACAAAGGTGGCGGTCTTTCCGGTACCAGACTGCGCCTGTCCGATAGTATCACGCCCCGCGAGGATGGGTGTAATGCCGCGCTGCTGAATAGCGGACGGCTTCTCGAAACCGTAGGAGTAGATACCCCGGAGCAAGTTTTCCTGCAGGTTGAGTTCCTCGAACTCTTGGACCACAGGGAAGTCCATCTTCTCATCGTCACGAACGGAGACGGTGGCGGTCATTTTCGATATTTATGTTGCTTTGGCGTTGAATATATTACGCTGGTAGGTTAAGCAAGAAAAGCAAGTATTTAAGTACTTGTACAAAAGATGATCAATTATGTTCTCAGTAGACAACAAGAGACAAATAAGGTTCTTAAACGCGAGGCAGTTTTTGGAGGTGTAGTTTGAAAGTTTGATGCTTTAGGGTTGATTTTCTCGGTTAAAAGTTTGTAAGAAGTGTCGTATTGACAACTTAGCAAAAGTTTTCTTGATGCAATTGACGATGTAGTTGTTGTGATTAAGTCTTGACAATGCTCGTCAATACAGCTTTGTAGTTTAGCAGGGATTTAATCGTAAAGAATTACGTAGATAAATCGATGATAAGTAATACCGAATTCGAGGTTCGTCGAATTAAGTGTCACTGAGAAGCGGCTGTGTGCGGAAAATTTTGCATTGGGTTCAAAATTGACATCGCATCGTCGGTCATGGAAAAAGGCCTACGCACGGCGATCTAGTAGTTTTTTGAGTTGAGAGAATGAGAGAGATCGCTCGCGCGGTTTTCGTTTTCATGAAAAGCACGGCTTCTTTTATCGGAGGACCCAGCATAGTACCGCGTCATTTTGGATCGAAAATGTTTGGTTCTTCAAGTAATTTCTCATGATCATTCATAAACATCCTCACAGCTGAAAAATGCAAATTCTTCGAGCTCTCATTTTTTGTGGATCGAAAAACATACGGAGCACAACTTTCGGTGTACATGCACATTCATCGGTGGCACTTACTCTGATTTGTTGATCTATGATGCGCTTCAACTTCATTTCGGAAGCATTTTCGCATCCTCTTTTTTGCAATTATTCATTATCATTACAACACTCGTGGTGGATCATTATTTCATTTGAGGTGTCTCTGGCACCGGGCGGTACTACGGGTGCACATTCATCGCGCAATTGCTTTTGCTCATCAGCAAAGCTTCTTGCACACTATATTCAATTTCAAGTTGCTGGAGACTTAGTGTATGGATGACCTAAAAAGTTTACCACATCGAGATCCAGCATCGAACAACACTCAGTCGACCTAATCCAGGGCTTTCATCTCATCTTCAAGATCACGGTATAAATGAACATCGCCGAAGAAGATATTCTCCGCTTGGAGGGAAGCAAAAGCGACCCACAAGCCACATCAATACGAGTGGGCTGCCTAGACCCAAATTTCAGGAGCGAGAGCCCTATCAAAAACAAAAAACTCCGGAGGTCCGGAAGCGAGAGCCACATCATGTTTCGAGAAAAGACATTCTGGCGCTGGTGGACCAAAAGAAGCGACTCACAAGCCGGAATAAGTTTGGCGGCGAGATCCAACTTTCCGCAAAACACCACCAAATACAAAAGAAACCTTCGGCAATCGCTAATCAAGATACGCGCCGTGTTTGGGGAAACGAAATGCCGGAGCTGGATCAGAAAAAGGCGACCCACGAGTCAGAATACAAGTGGGCGGCGTAGTTCCAAATTTGAGGAGAACTCCGCCAAAACCAAAAACCTCGGATATCGGTAATCCAGAGTCCCACCCTGTTTGGGGAAACGAAATGCCGGAGCTGGATCAGAAAAAGGCGACCCACGAGTCAGAATACAAGTGGGCGGCGTAGTTCCAAATTTGAGGAGAACTCCGCCAAAACCAAAAACCTCGGATATCAGTAATCCAGAGTCCCACCCTGTTTGGGGAAACGAAATGCCGGAGCTGGATCAGAAAAAAGCGACCCACGAGTCAGAATACAAGGAAGTGGGCGGCGTAGTTCCAAATTTGAGGAGAACTCCGCCAAAACCAAAAACCTCGGATATCGGTAATCCAGAGTCCGACCCTGTTTGGGGAAACGAAATGCCGGAACTGGATCAGAAAAAGGCGACACACGAGTCAGAATACAAGTGGGCGGCGTAGTTCCAAATTTGAGGAGAACTCCGCCAAAACCAAAAGCAAAAACCTCGGATATCGGTAATCCAGAGTCCCGCCCTGTTTGGGGAAACGAAATGCCGGAGCTGGATCAGAAAAAGGCGACCCACGAGTCAGAATACAAGCGGACAGTCTAGATCCAACTTTGAGGAGAAACCGACCAAAGTCGAAAACTCGGGAAATCGCTAATCAAGCCCCAACACGTCCTCTTTCGGGAAAATAACTGCCGGCACTGGATCAACAAAAGACGACCCACAAGTCAGAATCAAAGCGGGCTGCCAAGGTCCAACTCCAAATTTGAGGAGGAGCCCATCAGAAGCAAAAACTTCGGGAATCGGTAATGAAGAGACATGTCCTCTTTGGAGCAAAGAGGTGCCCGATATGAATCAAGAAAACACAAACGATGCACACGCCAGAAGCTAAGCGAGCTTTCTTGTGTGCAGCTGAACCTCCTGCAGATGTCGAACAACTTTCCAGCACTTCTCCACACTGCACGAATGCTTCGCCAAAGCTTCTTCCGGTTCCGGCAGAAGCAGATCCAGATCCGAGATCATTCCTACACAAAAACAGAAGCAAATCAGCCAAACAAATGGAGGTCTGTCGGGATGCAGCTCAGGGTGCGTTGGTGTTTTTTTTGTTTCTCGGGGGTGTGAGGATGGGAATTGGTATGGGTATCTCATCAAAATTATAAACTCGGCTTCGCTCGTGCTATCTCGCTTGGAGCAGTACACCGGGCTTAAAACGACAAACAACGAACAGATGAAATCGAAGTGCTTGCTAATTGAAGGGGTATGAGTTTTTCACTTCCATTCATCGGTGATCGCCTTCGTCGGGTGCTGGTACATCTGGGCGGGGGCGGGTACAACACAAAAACTTAGTCGCTTGTTTGACGCAGCCGGTGCGCACTGCCTTAGCCGTGTCGCGTCTTTGCTCCAGGTGGACTTCTTGCTTCCGACGCCGCTCGTGCTGCGCTGTTCCCTTCACGCAGAGCGGCTCCGTCTTTGTTGGCTTCACTCCTTTCGCGCTGAGCAAGGAGTTCCGCTTCGAGTTCGCCATCCAGCGCGTTCTGGTCCATTCGGCCAAACAACGCTTCCTCTTCCTCCTCGCCGTTCTGGCTCCCCAACGACTCGCGGCGGCTCGGAAACAGATCTACAGAAGGGGAGCTACGCATCGGTGGCGAGGGGGAGTTCAGCTGGGGAGAGGTGGAAGAGGACGCAGCCGCTACACCAGTATCTCGCTCGCTCTGCTTGATTTTGTTCGTATTTGGACCGACCCGCGTAGAAGTACCATCTGCTTTCCTGTCGTTCTGCGATGCGGATGTGCCAAGTCTCGGCGTTGTGTTTGCGTCTACAGGTTTTGGTCCTGTCGTCCCCCCTACATCTTCGTCGAGCTTTCGCACCTCTGTTTCGTCCCCGATAAAGGACTGCAGTGACTCGGTAGGTCGGTACGAGAAACCATCGCGATCGACTAAAGATCCTGGTGCTGGTCCTCGCGAACTAGAAGATCCAGCTCTGCCCTTCCGCGGCTGCGGGAACGGGACCGGAGACGAAGACTTGTTGTCTACTTGCGGACCGGTGGTGCTACTAGCTCCGCCACCTGCAGCCGCGCTATTTATCATGCCCGCTGTGTAGTACCGACCCGCTTGATTCCGCGCTTGGTTCGCAATTCGTATCTTCTCGCTCATCTCCTGTTTCGCTTTGGCTTTCCGCGCCAAAATGGCTCCCTTCGCACGCTTCAGTTCCTCCTCGGTAAAGGGCCGAAAGTCGTGGCCTTGCATTACCTCGTTGGCGTGCTTGATCTCGGGCGACTCGGGCACCGTCCACCCGAGGCCCCAGTTCTCCATCTCCTCTTTCCGTTTCTTCTGGTACTCCGCGTGCTTCTTGCGCAGCCGGTCGTACTCGTATTTCATGTGCAGCTGCACGTTGCGCGCGTACAGCTCAGCATCCTGCTTCTCCTCTTCTGTCGGGTAATAGATGCGGCACACCTTCACCAGCGCAGAGACAAAGCCGGCCCCGAGCCAGTTCCCGAACCACTGCGCGTCCGAAAACTCCTCGAGCTTCCCGTCGCTGGTCTTCTTGAACATCGGATTGGAAATGTCCGAAGCGCCGAAATACAGCAATACGATGGGTCTCACCGGCAGCCCCGGCCGAAAAGCGCCCAACTTGAACTCGCCCACGGTGTGCCCGCTGGTCGTGGAACCCTCGGGAAAGATCAGCATAGCTTTATGCCCCGGTCTCCACTGCTTCACGTGGTCCTCGATCGCTTTCCGTGCGGCCTCGCGGCTACCTGCCTGCTGACGGTCGACCTGAAAAATATCGGAAATAGAGTCAGAGTCGCTTGCGTTCATAGGCTTTCATGCAGACAACCGATCGCGGCCAAAAAGCGTACATCATCCTTATCGAGGATCTCTTCTTCACTTCTAAGAAACAGTACAAGGAAACACAGTGCCTGTTTTAGAAGCGCGGATTGAAATTGTAAAGCATAAATATACCCAAACAGTGCCCATGCCGTCCATGAAGTCTCCTATCATCGGCAAGCTGCGGAGTTCGGTTTTCGCCATCACCTTCGGGTGGTCGAGCTCGGAGGTGACCAGCATGCCGTCCACATAGCTGATGTGATTGCACACCAGAATCGGGCACTCGGTCAAGTTTTCCTCAGTCTCGTGCTTGGGCCAACTTGTCGTGATCGAGATTCCGTTCAACCGAAACCAGGCGGCGATCGCCCCTTTGAGCGTGGTTTGATCGTGCAGCTCGTGCCCCATCACCGCCCGTTGCACGTTGCCCCAGGCGTAGGCTAAGGCGATGCCCGTGGTGCCCAGTGTCGTGCTGGTAAGTTTCGCAGCGGCGGGGATGAAGTAGGCCGGGTTCCAGCTGCTGTACTCGTAGTAATCGTGCGAGGTCTCCCCATAGTTCCACTTGCTCTGTTCAACCCACTCCCGCTTTTTCTGCTCCTTCAGCTGCGCCTCCTTTTTCTCCTGAATCAATCGAATGGTCTCTTCTGTCGCAGAGGCCGTGGACGAAGTCGACGCGCGACTGCGTGGAGGTGCCGGCTGTGCTACGGTAGAGATACTAGGTCCTGATGCGGATCCCACTAGACTGCTCCGTTGTCTCGGATTGAAACTCGCCGTCGCTTCATCTGCTCGAATGTCAGGCGGCGCCCGCTTCTGATTTTGTGTCGCTGCATTCAGACTCTGCCTGGCCGCGGAGGAGAGATCTTTTCCTTGGGGAGCTGTGATCCTGGCACTGCTCCCACTACTTGCATTTGGCTTGTAGGACGAGTTGTAGGAGGAAGCTGCGGACGCAGACGATGCTCCCCTGCTTTGTTCAGACACTGGTTTCGGCCGTGGCGCCATCCTGTCCGTGCCGCCGCTTGGAGGGGGTGCACCAAACGCGGGCGCTGAACCGTTTCCACCGCTGCCTGCCGCGCGCGGGCGGAGTCGCCCAGACTGGCTTTGCCGGGATGGCGCTTGCTGGTGCCCTATCCGATCCTCTACCTCGACATCGTCATCTGGGTCCCCAACAACGGAATCGATTATACTGCCAAAAACACCTGTGACAGACTCCATGACGTTGCGATGAAAAAGAGACTGTCTCTTCTATGTTGACATCAACCGTGTATCTGCTCTTCCAACTAGCACTCAAAACGAATCAGATGACTGAGGCATAAAACCTCGCTATCACATCATGATCTTAAAGCTCACTTAACATAAAGATCCATCGCGAGAGGACTGGAATTCGAAATCGAATCTTCAGTGGGCGTACAAAAATTTGATGGAATCTACTAGCTACTCTTACTGAAAAGATGTCTTATTTCCAAAGACGGCACTGATTCATGTTCCGGAGTTCAGATCTTGAGGACCTGGTGCGAAGTTGTTTAATTTTTTTCTTTGCAGACACGATTACGACTTCCGATTGTATCATTGCACTAACTCTTACGACCTTGGGAGTACTAGTTGCGCGACTCGAATCGAAGTGCCGATGAAAGTCGAGGAATCCGAGTTGATGTTCATGTAGAAACGATTTCGCGAATGTTGGCACAGCGATAAACCGAATCAGTTTCGGAGCGATGCGAGGAGCATAGAGACCGTAGTACACACGATTCTTGATGATGATCCGTGTCGCACTCATTATTTTCATTTAGTGTTAAGCATAGCATCAACACCGTTTTACTTCAGCTTCAGCCGTAGCTTAAGTTTCGCTCCATGATGTACGTCCATATTACGTAACCTTTATCTGGCCTAATCTATCATTTCTTGCATCGCAGCTAAAACTTCATGATGACACAAACGCATTTCTGTTTCTTCACCTCGGGCGAATGCGAAACCAAATGGGCATGTGATCGGACCGAAAAAGTGGATGTGTTGAGACTGGCAGGTAAAGCGAGGACTCTTTCTCCAAGAAACCGAAAACGCCCGCGTTGGAATTTCGGGTCGCTCGAGCGGCAATCGAACTTTCTGCGTCACGATAGTACCTTTGGTTCTCCATGTCATTCAGCCTTTTTGCCCCTTGCAAATACGCTTGTCGCACAGCTACGCTCTCGGCGTCGCCCAGCTCCTGTACGACCGTGAAGCCCCTGCCGTACACGTGGTCGATGTTTTGCTTCTCCACCTTGTCGGCCTTCGTCATCTGGGACTGCAACACGGAGAGCTTCTTCGCGTAGGTGTTTATGTGCGTTCCAGCTCCGGTGAGGATACGAAGCGACCACTTTGCAACAACTTCTTCACTGGACAGCACTTCTTGCCCTGTAGCAGCTTTGGACGCCGCGGCCGCGACCTCCTGCTCCACAAGCTCTGCCGGCGTCTTGGGAATTTCCGCCGGCTCCGTATTGAGGTCTCCGCCGAGGAGAAGAAAGTTGCCTTCCTGGTGTGCTTCCCTGCTAGAAGTTCTCGCCGGCGCGAAAATGTGTGCGTCGAACTCGCGCTGCGTCGCAATGTGCCCGGACGAAAAGTGGTAGCTCCCGAGCTGCACAGGTTGGCCCACATTCACCAAATCAGCCACGCAGCGCAGTATCCGTGGCGAGGGAGCTTCGATGGAATTGCTGTAGAGCTTCCGAAGCTTCTGCGGCTTGATGAGAATCACGCTGTTGTCGGGATCTGTGGAATTGTAAGACGCAAACACGGCGACGTACTTGTAGTGCGTCGTTTGCAACCCACCCGTGACGGAATCTTTCCTGAACAAAGCGAGTCCGTCCTGCTCCTCGCCGGCAGTAATAGGAAATATTTTGTGCGCTTCGAAGAACTCCTTGCTCTGCAGCAAACTTTGGTCGACCTCCTGCAGTAACACGATGTCTGGATACATTAGTAACTCGAGCACTTCCAAAATTTGCTTCATGTGCGTCCCGGGATCTGCCTGGTAGGTGCTGGGGACGCCGGAAAGCTTTGGCTTTGCACTGCTCGGCGAAGAGTTGTCAGCAGATCTCGACGGGGATCCGCTTCCTTCTACAGTTCTACCTGGTTCAGCATCATTGTCTTCTAGGGATGCTGTCGACGTTCCCGCCCGCTTCAACGTGGTCCAGACGTCGATCAGTGGAAGCGGCGTGTCATCTTCCTCATCCTCGTCAGCGTGCAAATTTGACGTCGGAAAGGACTCGACTTTACGCACTTTGTTTTCTTGCCGCCGTCGCTCCTCTTCCATTTCTAACCGCTCCAACACCACCTCCTGGTCACGCTGGTAGAGCCGAAGGCGTAGTCGGTCCGTCTCTAAAGCAGCATCGTGCCACGCTTTCAGCATGAGCAAATCGTAGATTCGCATCTTGAAAAAGTCGATGCTCAGATGATCAGTTGGGTCAAGCAAGATAGAAGCGCTCGACTCAGGCCCGCCGGCAGGGGAGACGGTTTTCGACTTTACAACGAGGGGACCTCCTTGGCTTGTCGCTCCTGCACCACTCGCACTCATCTGCTCCCCTGTGGTCGGCCTATTTCCAATGTCGCTCTCCTCCTCATACGCCCATGCGTTGAGTCCGCGGCGCGCGAAGAATTTGGCCCCCTGTGAGAGGCTGAATTTTTTCGTGTCCGGATTTGCATAGATGGCCCGATCCTCCAGTAGCCACTCGTGCACAGTCATCTGCGACCACTTCTTCCAACGCGTTTCCACGTCGATCGGAAGTAAGTCTTCAGATACCGCCAAGTTTTTGTTTGCCGTTCCTGTCAAATCCAGCGGTTTACGGATTTTGTCCTTCAACAAATAGTCCGTGTTGTGCTTCCAAATCCCGAGGCAATCCTGCCACTTGAACGAGTACTGCGGGGTGGGTGGCGGGTACGCGTCTGCAGTGACATGGAACCTCTCCAGGTACGCCGGCTGCTTGATTGCTTCCGCAAGGAGGTCCCCGAGCGTCTGCGTTGCGCCTACAGACTTCGAAAGATGATCGCTGCCGGCCGCTGGCGAAGGCTTAGACTTTGAGAAAACCCGGTAGTCGCCCATGATTTGCTGCACATTCCTGCGAAATAGTGCGTACAGCAGAAATTGCGAACGCTGCAAATCCCTTTCCTTTTTCTTCAGGACCGCTCCAGTCGAATCATCTGCCGCGATTGAGCTTCTCAGCGCTGTGTCCAGCTCTTGCCGAACTTTTTCGATCTGCGCATCCGAAAGTTCATGTTCAGATGACGTGTCTTCATCTCCTGCGCTATTTACAGTTACATACCGTAGCTCCGATAGCGTCGGCACCTTGTTCTCGCAGCGCTTGTAAATTCCTGGGTCTACGTCGAAAATGTTACTACGAAGGCCAATCGATAGCACATTCCACGTGAGTAGCGAAAAAGAGTCGCCCAACGGCGGTCCTAGACTCGTAGGATCTTCTCCGTCCATTGAATTTTTGTCCTGCTGCAGGCTCCACAATACGTAGATGGCGTAGGACAGCTGCGCAACGAGAACCGCACACAGGAAAAACTTTTTCATGTGGAAACGATTGCTTCCGACACTGCCGGAAACGGAAAAATCCTGAGCTTGCTTCACATTAATAGTCTGCGCGTGTTGCTTCGACGACGCTTGAATGTTCTGCGACGAGGAACATTTCCGTTTCTACTAGTACCTCCAACCTCAAGTAGCCGATGCCGCGATGGAATCAATGCGTAAAGTTTTCAAGTGCCAATAAAATCGGAATCGCTTTCCCGCACGGGATAATGTCCCCGCTCGTTCGTGTGTAGTCAAAGAGAACCAAGAGCAATTTTTTACGCGCACTGTAAAAAAATCAATACGTCGATACAATAAGCTAGAAGCACAGTCTAGAATACTCGAACCGAATACGCACGGACAAAATACTATGGGAGAACACTAATGCAACCCCGGCAACGTCGCTCCTGCGCATGGTGCCACGACGTCGCTTGCTCGGTCCATTGGCATTGCGAGGTTGATGCGCTTGCTGATCTTATTGTTTTTGCCGCTCCGTGGCCATTGATTTAAAAAGCTCCTCGCCGCGACTCCGCAAACACGCTACTTGTTTCTGAATAGTGCTTTCAAAAAATGACAAGGACGAGGGCTCTAACTTCGACCACCCAAGAGACTGGAGAAGCCCCTGATGCGGCAAAAGCGATGTGTCATTTAAGCGTGAGAGCGCCGTGGCCACCCTCGGTGCGAGGATACCGATCTCCTTTTTGAAAGCGAAGTATTCAAAAATTTACATCTCCAGCGCACAATCAATCGCAGCGATATTCACAGTAAAAGATACAGCTGTACGACCGGTGTCGCGGTCGTACATGAAAAAAAGTCTACAGAAAAAAAAACGGGGTTCTGAAATAATTCGCAATAATGGTAAAAAGTTTGACGAGTGTTATCAAATCGCATGTTAGAACGTTTGGTGTTGTAAACTAAATCCCGTGCTTCCAGGAGGAAAAGGCAGACGGGATTATCTGATGAAACGAGATGTCCTCGCCTGAGCATCGTGTACCAGATCTCCAGTCGTGCTATCTTTTCCACGCGCTCAGCTACACTGGGGTGTGAGACAAGCCTGGCATCTACGTGTTACCCGGGTAGCTCGATTCAGCTTCTTTCAGCAATCTCGCAGAGCCAAGGCGTGGAGAAGACGTAAGGGCCCACGCGGGGATGTAGGGTTTGCTGGTCGTTCCGCGGCACAACTTTTAACCTAGTGCGGAAACCCGCTTCAGAACACTGATTGCCCGGGACGAGGTTCTGGTCGCATCAGAAATGTCGTGTTGAAGGATTTAGTTGAAAGACATGATGGCCTCCACAATGTCGTTCTTGTGCTCTTTCAGTGCCTTAATTGCCTTCTCGCGCGTTGTGCTCACCTGTTTTAGATTAGGAAGGGAGTCGCGACGTCTAAAAATGTGGAAGTTTCGGACCACAAAGGCGATTCAGAAAAGTGATACACGATGTGATAGACTGACCGATTTTCGCTTGTGTCTAACATGATCGGAGTGCTGTGATATGGAGCTAAGTATGGTATCTGACAAATGAGCGACGTCCCGCAGCACAACCACTTTCCATATAGTGTTTGTGTCCAAAAATAGGATTATGGTGGATCTAAATTTACGCCACGGCAACAACGAACATCTCTCAAAATCAATAAGCCGTGAGGTTCTAAGTCTGTCTAAAGCTTCTAAATCTGTCCAAATCTAAATCATGTACCTGGGTCATGATGAGCTCGATGTCCTTCTCCTCTACCTTGGTGCCGGAGCTGTCGTCCTCCACCACTTCCTCAATCTTCGGTTCCTCCTTGGTGTCAGCATCCGCGACGGACGCTCCGCCCTTTGCTGCCTCCATCTGCTGCTTCAAAGCCTGCATCTGCATTGACTGCTGCATCTGACGGTGAGCCTTATTTAGAGATTTCTTTCTGAATGAATCAAGATCAGCAAGATCGTCGAGCATGCCATGTCGTTTTTGTTATTCGTGCCTGTGACATTCAACGGATTGAAACCAAACCAACTGAACCACCACGGAATCACGCATGGTTAGTCCTCTCTCACGATGACTTTGACGATGAAAACTAAACAGCAAGTACCTGTGCGGCAGCGCTGGCTGCGACATCCTCGATCTTGGCTTCCCCGAAAATGACGTAGGTTTCGGAAGACGGGGCCTTCATGACTTCCGGCTTTGAGATCACGAACAGAATGTTCTTTGTCTTCTTTACCTGTAAGGAGCGAAAAATTTGAGACGTAAAACTGGATCTTTGCCTTTACGCAACGAGGTGGTGAGAAAATTTAGAATTCATGTACATGCAGATGACGCGGCGCCCTTACGCGTCCTTTCGCCAGCGCATGCGCATTGGTCGAAGGTGTGCACAGCGCTTCAATATGCGCAAAAATGCTTTTAGTCTGAAATTAGTACCGTAACTCGGACAATGCCGCCAAAGGGTCGGAGCCCGAGCTTGGAGACGGCTTTTCGGCACTTCTTCTCAGCCCGGTTCTGCTTGGTTCCATCCTGTAGTTTAGAAAATTTAGAAAATCGTGACTAGGCAAAATGTAATTTAGAAAGCTGCCTTTTGGCCTGGATCACCATTTCAACGTCCGACCACGCCCAAAGGCTGCGTAGTTATCATGCGATACTGTGTGAAAATATCACTACATACCAGCATATTTAGATTTCGATTTAGAACACGAGCGCTGTGTACCTTGCTTTCCTCCAAGTTCGGGGCGTCACTGGAGGAATCGGAGTCCACCTCCTCGATTTTCGGCTCGGTTTCCGGCATATTCTTTAGATTTTATCGGGGAAAAAAATCACCGCAGAACTTCTAAACCAGTGCTCTATCGCTAGTGAAACTTTAACAGGCGACAAAAAAGCCTCTTTTAGAAGTGTTTCTAAAAGTTGTTGGTGAAACCCTGAGATGGAAATCATGGATGAAAGAACAATAGAGTCTTCGATTGAAAGCAGAACTTGTAGCGTATAGTATAGGTACAGATAAATATTTTTTGTGCATAGAAGATAATTATGATCTTTTAGTTTTACCACTTGCCGTTATTTCAGTATCAGAATCGCCACGCGAAGGCAAACAAGATCCACAACCACAGTTTGCAAGATAAAGCGCAGATTCTGCGTGTCCTTGAAATGTGCAGGTGCAGGCGTACTAAGATCGATCTTATGTGTATAAAAGGATGCTACTTGCAGAAAGGATCTCGCCTCGTTGGCGTCGCTTCAATAAGACAGCAGAAGCAGGTCCACGTGTGACGGCTACATCAGCAACTCTTACACAGTAGACCGTGGGTCACAACATCAGTTCTGCGCCCAATATCAGGATCTTTCACCGCGCATCTTGTGCCTACCGTCGAATGGCTGTGTGCGGATCTTGAAGTTGAAACAGAAATTTAGATTTAGAAAACCGATTCACCCTGGAATACCACGGTTGTGAACTACTGGAGACGTTTCCAAGCAAAGGGGAACACGCCAGTCGAAAGCTCGACTTGAGCTGCTCTGCTACAGTCGCTCGCACGAACGTCGACAACAATTCACAATTGGATGAGTAGTTACACATGGATGGTTAAGTAGTGCCGTTTGTCTACCACGTTGCTTTTTCAGCACTTCAATTCTATTCGTACCGGATGGAGAGAAGTTCAATATATTAATTTGCTTTTCCGTTCCCTCCTGGACACCGCAAAAAAGCTACACCGGCGCAGGGTTTGATTCTGGGTCCAAGCTAGGACCTCAGTGTCGTTGAATCTTTGGAAAAATGGAAAAAGTTTGCGTCAATAGCTCTAGTGTTGTTGAAGTAACCTATTCGCTCATCTTTAGAAAGATGGGGATCGATCCTCATCGTCGGATTTGAACATTTCTTCTTTATGAATGTTTATCCTTTTAGTTTGACCTTTACAGTAACCAACCTTCTGTTGACCCCCGGCGTCCCACCGGTTGCTCTCGGTGCTGCTCTGAACGCAGCAACACAAGAGGAGGAAATTGCGAAGCAACCGGCCAACCACCAACCGCGTTACGGCGGCAGTGGCTCGGGAACCGGGTGCGTCTCGCGGTACGCTCTCCCACGCTCGATGCTCTCGTCGGTTATGCGCGTCGCGTATGGAAGCTGCTTCCGTTGGATGGTCTTGAGTTTCGCCTCGACCTTGCGCTGGTACGCGTGTGCGTCCCGCCGTTCTAGCCGGTACTCTTCCCGAAGGAGCGCGTCGTCCTTGCGTGAGGCCTCGAGCCGCACGTTCACGCCATCCAGCATTTCCTGCCACTCTTGTGCCTCGTTTTTGCGATCGGCCTTGATGATTTTCTTCTCCTCCTTGCGCACCCGCCGGTTTGCCTTTTGCCTGTTGAGATTGGATGGGAGGGATGCTATGCATGCCTCTGCGCCATGCAAATGAAAGAACAGCAACAGACCGATAGGGAAGACTACAGGCACACTTACGAATGTATTTTTTCTGCAAAATCTTTCTCCAACCAAGCAGACATGACGTACTCTTCCAGGAGGTTCTTTTCCAGCAGCGTGAGTTTGACCTTTCCACTGGACTGCTCCAGAGCAGCTTTCGCCTCGGCCTGCTCGCTTGCCGTGTGCGCCAAGTACTGACGCCTGACATTCAACTCCTTGAGCTCTTTCGCCACACGATTCCTTTCCTTCCGCTTCGCCTCCTGCTTCTTCGCCTCCCGGCGCGCGGCCTCCTTGGAGCACTCCTCACTGATCTTTCGCTGGACTTCTTCCTGCTCCATTTTTTCTTTTTTCAGCTTCGCGTGTCGCTCCGCGGCCTCCTTCCGCGCGATCGCGCGGATGTTGTCGAGGTTTTTCGCTTTGGCTTCAAGATTTTTCTTCTTGTCAGCCTGGTTTGTAAAAAAGTTACTGCCGTTTTCGCACAAAGTCCAAGTCGTCTGTCTTTTCACACAAATCATCGGTCTTTTGTCTCCTGAAACTGATCAAAAGTGAACGAAAACCACACGACATCCACCGACCAGCGTTCGCAAGAACGGCGCAATTACGTACCTTCTCATCCAGAATGAAAAATCGTTTCTCCAAGCGCTTTCGTTCCTGCACGGCCTTTTCGATGCGATATCGCTCGTGCAGTTCAGCTAGCGACATCTCGTCGAGAATGCCGTGCCGCGGGGGCTCACTGGGATCGTAGGGTTCTGCTGTGACGGTGGAGACACGGACAATCGCGCGTATTTGCCGGATCAGGTCTTTGCGCCTGTGGAAAGAAAAAGGCGGTGAAATATATTTTCATAAAAACAGAAAGCACCGGCCCGTGCTAGTGCTGCTGCCATGTCAGGCATGAATGAGCATGATTAGATTTTCAGTTTTCTCTGTGGTCACAAAAAAATATCAATACTCCTCCATTTCCTGTTCCATGTCCGCTTTCTTTATTTCGAACATCTTCGCTTTCGCCTTGCGAATTTCCTCTGCATTTTCTTTCCGTGCCTCGTCGACTAAATCTAGCTGGACCCGAGGACGACCGCGCATGTCGTACACCTCACGGCACAACCCTCGCTTCTTCTCCTCTTCTGCAATCTGTCATATGGTTGGGAGAAGAAATGCGGAATTTCAATATTTTCTCAAAATTAAAGCTTTTCCATTGGGTGCCCAGCAACCAAGCGACGCGTGTCAGTGCCGGGGCCTATGCAAAGCATTCACAGTTCAGTAATCTTAATCCGGTGCTGTACTCTACTTTACCGCTTCGCGTGTCTTGCGTTTCTCCTGTACGGCCTTCTGCAATTTGACTTGTTCCGCATTCAAAACGTTTTTCTGGAATTGGAGCTCCATTGCTTCCTTCGCGGCTTCCGCTGCCATCTGCATCTCGATTTTTCCTGATGTGATTGTGAGTATGCAATACATAGCAATTTACGTTGGTGATGCGTCCTCAATAAAAAACGGAGCCAGTGGAAAAGAGAAACGAAGATTGCAATACCAGAAGAGTATACCAGTTGCACAACTGTTAAACTTACGTTCGAAAAATCTATCAGGAACTGTACTTTGTTCCACCCTGCACTTCTCTTCGATGTCATCCTGTACGCGCTGGTTGTATTGCCACAAGTAGTAGCCACTGCTGTCCCGTAGCCCGCGCTCGTAGTCCATGAGAATATTGTACTCGTTTTCTTGTTTCTTCTTCACCAGTACGTCCTCACGCAGGATAGAAGAGGCGTTGGGCTTCACCTCGGCGATTTGCTCCAGCTTGAAATGTCCGTCCTTCAGCGGTTTTCCGATCTCCGGCTGGAAAGTGCATTCCTGGTACCTAGGGAACGAAATTTTCGAAGACTAGCAATTGCTGACTTGAGGCACGCACCAGTGCTGCTGAAGATCATGCCTGTACTAACTAGGTGGTGCAGGTACTGCAAGTACCACTACAAACCAAGGTAAACAAACTATCGGAAATATATAAGTCGAAAATACTTCACGTCCTCGACGTCTCTGACGTATCTCGCTTTTGAATCGTCATCTGCGGCTGGCCGTTTCGCCGTCTCAAAGACGAATTCGTCTTTCTCCGCATTGTATTTTGCAAAGGTTTCCTCCTTCACCTTCACGGACCGCTCGTCCTTCTCCGCCTGGACCTTTTCCAAGTTGGTTGCGTAAATCGTTTTCGGTGGTGGCTTGCTTTCCAGCACGCGACTGATCACTTCGGGCTGCGGGACCAAGCGTGGTTTGGGCTTGGTAAGGTTGAACGGCTGGATTTTGGTCGTCTTACCGCCGGAGCCTGCGATCATGGCGGTGCTGGAACTGCTACCTCCCGCTTGCTCGTTGCCGCCGCTGCTGGTCGCGGCGGCGGCGGCACCAGCGCCTAAGGCGATTATTTTCAGCTGGTCCAGGTACAGCTGCAACTGCGGTTTCACCCGCTGCATCTTTCCAATGATCTCGTCCTCGAGGTACTTCATGTCGTATACTTTGCACCACTCCACTTTCACCCAATTGTTCAGATCCTCCTCGGTGAATATGAAGTCCTGAATTAAGTTAGTTTTGCATTGCTGGTGCAGGTTCACTCATTGCTATGTATATGTTGAAATTGTTCGTGATCATGATGAAGCCAAGCAATCTATCCTGCATATTTTTTCCAACAGTTCCACCCACGACGACGGACCATTTCTGTACCATCAGCGCATTCAAAGCTGGCGGCGTGGAGAGCTCCGACTTCAGAATGATTTTCCCAAGCTCGTGGGGCCCCAGTTCGTCGTAGCGAAAGAAAAAAAGGCAGCCGAGGATCATATACAGCGTTTGGTCGCTACGTGGCGCAGACGCAGGGTTCTTGTACAGAAACGCGTTCACGAAGAGCTTCAAAAACTTCTGATAGCGGATGCAGCAATCTGTGGTCGTGTAAACATGAAGTTGAAGATTAAGAACAAATGCAAGTGCAGCGGAAGGCATGCCAAATAAGGACAGATGGTACGTTTGAAAAAGATACAACACCAAAAAGACACTCTGCAAACTAACCGAATATGTACAAAAAATTTGCTGCGTGAACTTCTTCCGTGCCGCCGACATCCGTGTATTTTTTCCCAATTTGTCGTCAAAGTGCGCGTCGACTGTGGTCTTCTTCGGATCAAACGCCTCGATCAACTTGATGCTATCCCCGATCCACAAATGGTAGTCCACATCGGACTGCAATTTGGACAAAGCGCTGCCGCTGTTGGACCTCGTCAGTTGCGGGTTTGCGGCTGTAGAAGAGGAGCTCTTCAAGGTGTCGCCCGAGAGTGGCTGGAGTGTGTCTGGACCGGACATACCCAGCGTTGCGCCGGCGGTGTTGCCGTTGGAGGACGGCATCTCCTGGGAAGGCAATGTTTGCTGGCTCATTCTGCCCGCCGATGTGAAGGGGAACTTGTCCTCCTACCTGGTGCCTTATCTGCAGCTCACAACCGAAACGGCTCCTGAGAGAGGTTCCTGCCTACCTGCCCCCACTGTGTTGATTCAGCTGGAATAAAAGCAACCCCGGAGCCGCGCGGCTGGAACTGCCACCACAAACACGCGTCACTACGACTATTTTCTTCCGACTCCACGCAACAACATTCTGTAGTGAAATGTACTAGAGGAACTCCTTTTCTGTAACTCGAGAGGTCAAAAATGGAAGTGTGGAAATAAATCGAATTCTTTCATACTACTGCTCCGAAGATTGAGATTCGGATGTCTGCGACAGAAAGACGACAGTCCAGCTCCGAGGAGCTAGGCTCGGATATCGAAAACCAACTCTGTAGGGCCTTGAAAATTGGAAACCTTTCTCACATCACTGGGTCGCTCCACGACGACGATCACTCCGACTGCAGGTGCAGCCTTCTAGTCTGCACTGACAAAAAGTCATCCTCTCTTTTCTCACATATCGAAAGAAGAACGACGTCGAGACGAAAAGACGGAAGCAAACGAAACAAAAGCTTTAGCGACACACGCATTGCAAGCAAAGCCAGGGACGGAGAGCTACAGCCTGCAGCTAACTCCCACTGTGCTGGCCATTCACACATACCGCACCAGAAAAGTAGCAAGTGTCATGTTGTTGCAGTTTAGCAATCAAAAAAAGCAGCTCCCACACAGTGTACGATAGGAGACATGTTGCAAGGGAAAGTGGCATCTGGTACAGATGATACTGCCGCTGGTGCATTGCATTTAGAATGAATAAGGACCAAAACGTGCAGAAGATAGAGTAAAATAAAGTCAAAACAGTCAAAATCTTTCGTGTGCAGGTGCAGGAGACGAAAACAAAGCGCAACCCTTGCATCAACATCGAAGTGGTCATCGTCTTAGGCATAGTCTTAGTCAAGCTCAACCTCAAGGCGGGCTGCTATACTTTCTAATTAAACTGTCGGCCTCGTGCACGTTCGGATCGTAGTGACACACCTGATATACACAGTCAGCAGAGTCACAATTTATCTTTGTGACTACTGTCGCGGATTCGAAAACAAGGATCCCCTTTGTTAAAGACGCTACCGCAGCCTCGTGGGAGTTCGGAGCCCTCACGGTTCGCATCACTTCTTGGGCCAGCGTAGCCGCCGATCCTGAGCTTGACGCTGTTGAGGAAGTGATCTCAGCCGCACTGGGTGGGGAAAACAGATACTTGTAAAGAAGACTGCTCTCAATAGGCGTTTGGTCCGTCTCGGCGTGACGAGCCTCTTCAACACAGCGCGCGTCGTCAGAACTACTCTCGTCACCCTCGCTATCTGTCCTTTGGTCCGCATCATTTCTGTTGTCGTAATCTTTAATACGACCGTGCCGCTTTCTACTGTGCCAACTCTGCAAGATGCGATGTATACTTCCATTCTTGACGGTTGCTGGTCTTGCGAAGACTCGTAGTTGATTCCCGGGCCGGTGGAGGTTATCCCACTTTTGGTACAAAGCGGGGGCTGCCGGTTCATTTCCACCCGCGCCACCCTCCCGCGTTTGCGTTACCTCGACCACTTGCGGACGATCACTCCTGCTTCTTCTGCGCGCACGTCTCGCTGCCATCTGGATACTTTCAAACGCCGACGGGGCGCCTGTACTCGAGGAAGAAGAAGCCCGGCGAGTCGCGGCAGCGTGCGGAACCCTTCCAGAGATAGGAGCGTACTCCCCTTCACCGATGCTGATCGTGTACGTTGGTAATCGCAACGCGGAGGGAGCTAGGTAATCGTGGAACGGCGGCGTGACAACGGCAACATACGTGGACGAAGATGCGGGCGCTGCTGCAGCAGGCACTGCTCGTGCAGCCTCGCTCTGATTGCGCCGGCGGTTTCGCGCGCGCCTGCCGAACGGCTGTGTGGCTGTCCGAGGTGCGGTCGTTTCCGTGAGCGTTTCTGTTGTGGACCAGGAAATACGTTCGGAAAATACCGTCCCGCGTTTCTTGGCGTCCCGCTCGGGACAGTTAGCGCAGATCTCCTGTCGCACAAATTCTGGTGCGGTGGTGGAGAAGTAAATCAGCGGGTAGTTCGACTCGTGGCTCTGCGCCACATTAAACAAAGTTGCGAGGTCTTGGTCCGAACCGATTTTCAAATACGAGCCGCCCTCGTCTGCCTCGGCCGAGGACCGGTGGTGCTCCTGCTGTTCTGGGCGTAAATGATCACCTGCAAAAAAGCTCGACACCGCGCTGCAATGGTAGAACCCGTGCCGCGGGAGGGAATTTCGGTTGTAATCCAGAATTCTCTTGTGCTTTCTCAGCTGCTTGCGGAAGTGCAAACTGCGGAACAGCTGCAAGGCCGGGAGAAGTAATGTTGGTGCAGGTTCAGCACTCGTGTTCGACGTCGTCGTGGCGTTGCCATTTTTGATACTCGAGTTCGTTTTATTCATTTCCTCGCTTTTCCAGAAAAACTTGCTTGCGCCAAGAAGACCCCTTGCCGGCAAATTTGAGCTGGCGAAGAACGAGTCGGGGCGGGTTAGAAATTTGACCAACATCTCGTACCTCTGTTTGCGACTCTTGCTGCGTGTCAGTGGTGCGCAGTCTTGGTCCTGCTTGGTCCAGCACTGCTGAGTCTGAGTCGTGCTACTGCTACAGCTGCTTCCGCTGCCAACAAAGTGCTTCCGTTTCTTCTGCGTGTTTCGCTGCTTGTGGGAGTACCGGGGACGAGCAGGAAGATTTTTCTCTCGGCGTTGGTCGCAAAGATCTTCATCCGTTCCCGTCGTCGACGACGAATCATCTGCCTCTGACACAGCGCGCCGACGGTTCTTCGCGATTCTTCGCTTTCGCTTACTCTGGCGACCTGGTGCCGCTTGTTGTTGGTGTTGTCGCTTTTTATTTCGATTATTTTTGTGCGCAGCCACCTCCTGAATAGTTGACAGCTGATCATCGAGCTCGTAGTCAGACTCAGAAATGTGCTTGGTCCTACCTTTAATGTTGCAGTCGCGCGAACGAATCTCCTGAGCCAGATGAGCAAAGTAGTTCCGTAGTCTGTGGACCACGCTCCTAGACATCTGAATGGCAGCCTCTTCACGTGAAAGCACTGCTATGCCAGGGATAGCGTTCGATACTTTGGCAACGCCCGGCGCTGGCACGGCATTGGCATTCTGTCCAGTGATATCCGTCGTGTTCCTTGGACCAGAAGCAGGCACCGTCGTCTCCTCCTGCTCGTAAAGATGCGCCAAAATGTTGTCTAGAATCGGGGCCGGAAATCTCTCCTCCAAACTCAGGGGCTCAGGTTCAGGGTTATCCCTTGTGCTCCTTCGAATTGTTTCCTCTTGCTCTTGCGCTGCTGATAGTCCTCCCACAGTCGTATCTACAGGAGCAGCGGACGCAGGATGGGAGAGAGTGGCAAAGCCGTGCGCAAGCGCTACCGCAAGTGTTGGAGAAAACAAACGCATCAAGAGGGCAGATGAAGAGCACATTTTTTCTGATCCTGTCAAACACAACTGGAGGATCGTCTATTTTTTTTTGTTTTTATTTCGTTAATCAGAATGGCGGGAGACAGACAAAATTCGAATTCGAATACAAGGTGCAAGCAAAACCAAAATCAGAGCAAAACTATGGCCTTTGTTTCTGGACATCTCCACAGAGAAGTAGCAAAAATATTTGGGTACATGATTGACGTCCGAAAGGATGATTAACAAAATTGAAAGAAGCCACCTACTAAAAATTTGGCTCCTTTGAAACTACAACAAAAATGAAAAAAGAGTACGGATGAGTCGCGTCGTGATGATCTAAGGACAATGCTTTGAGGTGAGGGTGCTTAGCTGGCCTCGTTTGATCATCATTCTGTCCTTTCTTCGAAATTGAGTGCAATCTGATTATCGAAAGATCGATGGAATCGCCGCTGCCGCTAAGGGTAACAAGGACATCAAAGTATCGGGAAAACACGTGAAGTATCAGGAAAATACGTGTCCTGTCGGTCTAGCTTGCCGTGCCTGGATGTGCCAGCGCCGCCGGCCCTTGCCTCCTTGATCCTTCCTTTGATCATCAAACGCAACTGCAATTCGTGTTTACCACGTGCACTAGCATTGACCGTCAAATCCGAATTGTTTTCTGTCACCAAACCTCTATCCCATAATGGGTGCTGCTTTTTGACATCTTCACATCTATCGTTCTATGATCTGCATCTCCAATCCTCGTCATCCTATTCCTACCAACTGCTACAACTATAGAGCTCAAACAAACTGCTCTATGACTGAATTGACGAAATCTAGTATCTTCTAAACTCGGCCGGTAACCGTAACCTAATCACTTGCTAGCTTCTTTTGGGTTTGCGAGCAAGTTACTCTTTGTCTGTTTCACTGACGTCCTGCGTCCTGGTCCTGTAAAACCTTGCTATTGTCGTAAGCGAAGTAGTAGTCCAGAACTAGCCAGTCGTCCTCTGCGTGTAGCATGAGCAAGCGCAGCCAGCTGATTTTGTACAAATATTTTCCCGGCTTCGCCCGTTTTCGCAGGTCGTTTTTCTCGAAGGTGGCAAGCGTGTGGAATCGTGGTATGGGTCGCTGCGACCGACGGTGGAACCGCATGGGCGGATAGAACAGAGGCTGCGAAGTGAATGAACTTTTTCCTCGTTCACATTCCATGCGAACATCAGGTTCGTCTTTCAATGCGGCGGAAGAAGTGGAGAAAGGATCCGACAAGCGCCTTCCCTTGGTTTGGCGGGCATGAAACTCCGCGGGCGTCTCGATTTTCTGCACCCGGACTTTGACGGTAGTCGTCTTCAGTGGCGGTTTGGTTTTCCTAGTACTGCTCGGGGAATCCGACTTATCCGAATCCGCTTCGGCGTCGTCTTCGGATGATATGGACGACAGGGATGAGACGTCCGACACTTCGTCTACTTCGTCACTATTCTCACTTTCTTCTGAATCGTCTCCCGCTTCTTCCGCGTCCTCTTGCTCTTCCTTGGATGCAGCACCGTCAGTGTCACTCGCGTAATCTGAATCTGCCTTCTGTGCAAGTTTGAGTGCTTCCCTCTTGAACTTGATCTTCTCTTCCTCTTGAGTGATTGTGGTTGATGGAGTCAATTTGTTCTGCAGATATTGGATTCTCATCTCCTCTTTTACTTTTCCTTGTGTGGCTGGTTCTTGTGCAGCAAAGGGCTGCGTCGAAGCCGAGGGGACAGCAACAGTGTCTGAATGAATAGTCTGGGCCGGATTTTGATATTGTTGCTGCTGCATCACCGCAGCTCCGGCAGCGATGGTGTTCATCATGTCGCTTGCTTTACCCGCCACGCGATATTTATGCCACCAGTGGGTTCGTAAGTTTCAGAAACAAAATCAGAGAATCAGTGCGGCTATTGGAAATGGCTTTGAAGTACCATGAAGTGTCTGTATCGCCACGGAAACCAGTTTCAACTGGTGATGTCTTCGAAAAAAAAACATGTATGTTGACACCGTAAGTATGCGTCATGCTGACCATTACTTCTAGAAAATGTTTCTCCACCAGCCTCAGCTTTGCTTGTGAAAAACGTAAGTAATAAGAAAAAAAAAAGCGACACTGGCAAGACAGCATACCGCCCTTCGAAACACCCATCTGGGGAAGTTTTTGCAGTCTGCATTTGCACCTTTTGCAATGCGCATCGTGCTACCTGCATATCGCACTTGCATACTTTCAGATTTGAAACTTACCAACCTGAAAATTGCATACTAGAACGGATTCAGGGATGTGCTGTCGTCTTCGAATGATCGTTCAGGCTGCGAGGATTTTTTTCCAGCAATCTTGTTTGCCGAGGAAGAAGTAGACGACACGACCATTGCGTTATCTGTTTTCGTTATGGTTGATCTTCTGCTTTCATCCGTTTTGGCTCCCCCAGTACCGTGGCTCTTCTTTTTGCATTTGCCTGTCGAGGTGCCTGTGGCGGAGTTAGAACCATTTTTATTGTTTGCGTTTTTATTGGTACTCTCGGATATTAGTCCCGTCTTCGTTCCAGTTCCCTGCGATTCACCTTTCCCGTTAAAAACCCCTGCGTTGTGGTATAGGAACGCGCTGCTTTTGCAGGTCGTTGTGCACAATCCCGAAGAAAACTTCTTCTGTGTCGCGGCCGTTGTCCCTACACCCTCGAAACATCTCGTGTCAAACCCGCGCGGGCACTTCTGTCGCTCCATGTGCCTCCTCTCGCTTTTCTTTTCTCTAACCCGCTTCTTTACGTACTCCCGCTTCGAGTCTGGGGACAGGGTCTTCATCAGCTCGGCGTCCTGAGCCGCGGTCTTCTTCTTCTTGCTAGCAGCGTCGTTTGTGGTGCTTGTAGTAGTTCCATTTGTATTTTTACCATTGCTAGTTCTGGCCTCAATGTTGTTGTCCTCTCCGTCCTCAGCTTTTTTCACATCTACATAATCCGTATCGGAGTCCGGGTCGATCTCGGCAAAGTCCGAATCTTCTGACGAGATGTCCTGGAGCGATTCGTTATCGAGCTGGTCTTCGCAATCTGTGTCGATGAATCTGTCTTCCGACAAGTCGACTTTCGGCTGCACCCCGAACGCACAGCCGGCGCACCAGTGCCGGATTTTCAGGTCCGCGATCCCGTTTTTTCGTGCCTTCTTGAGCGCTTTTTCGATGTCCGCCATGCCGGGAAAGTCCTGGGCGAAGATGTTGCCGACACGGACCCAGTCGGACGCGTAGCCGTAGAACTTTAGCTGCAGGTCCGCCTCCGGACGCGGCGCGTCCACGTGTAGGCGCACGTCGTGCTTCCGGGGTTGCTTGTTCCAAAAAACGCGGGAAAAAGCAAAATCGCTGTCGATAGAATATTTCGACTTGCTCCATTTGTCGCGCTGCAGCAACAGTTCTTGCTGCTGCGCGGCGGGAATTTTACGGCACTCGCGTACATGCCCAAGCACCGCCTGCAGATGCTGGTTCGCGACGGAGGGTTCGAAATCATAGGGATTGAAAAACGGACAAACCGCGCCCCCCAGCCCGGGCCACTGGCGGTACTCCGACTTTTCCCACTTCAAGCGAAGGCACCACTTGCGGTACACTTTTTTGTTCAAGAACCGGTGGGCGTCGCGAAAGTTCTGGGAATGCTTTTGTTCCCGGAAAAACCTCTTGAAATTTTCCTCCAGCTCCAGTTGCGCCGCAGTCGGCGCGTAATGAAAGAGGCCTGACGTGGGGGAGGCGCTTGATAGTATCGAAGTCATCTTATCCACAGAGGTTGATGCACTGCCGTCCTTTTTCTCTACCGTGCGCGTCGCCTGTGCTTTGTTTTCGGCAGAAGGTGGAGCTGTGGTTGAATTGCTCGTATTGTTGGCTTCCTTCGACTTTTTTCTGCCCTTCTTTTTTCCTCCTCCGGAAACAACCGTAGCTGCGTTCGAAGCAACACCAGCTGTGGCAGGGTGAGTGGCGCTCGCATGATCATCGTCTCTACTTGCAACAGCTGCGCCCTTGTCTAGCTCAACACCTTTCCCACGCCCACCTGCCGTCTCGGTAGAAGTTGCAGCAGCGGAAAGATCCGTTCTCGTTTTGCTCTTATTCTTCGGGTTTTGCGTGAACCATTTGTAACGGAACCAGCCAAGGACGTCCGGCTTCAGGTAAGTCCGCTCGGAAATCTTTGGAAGGTAAGCGCTATCTTTGAAATCGGCGTCCGGCATCCGCACCCAACCATCTTCAGGCGGTAGCATGTGCCGCACAAGATTCGCATATTTCTGGTTGCCATCCAGGGTGACAAACTTCTCGTAAGCGGAATACCCATCCGTGTCCTCCTCGCACAAGGACAAAGGCGAGGAAAAAGAATTCCCTCCGGACCCTTCCTTCTGCCACTCCCGCTGCGCGCGGCTCCACCGGTACATCGTGCTCCCTCTACTCTTTCTCGTCGTACCGCCACCCTCTGTCTGTTTTTTCGCTTCTGCTGAGTCGGGGCGCGGGGCGACCTCCCGGTACATCATGCAGCGCGGCTTCACAGACTCCCCGGGTGCGCGATACTTTCCGCGCAGACATTGGGCATCAAAATTCAGTGCAAACTCCTGCTGGAGGAGCAAGTCCAAGATCTCTTTTCGCCGATGGCGCCGTGCCTCTTTCATGCTTTCCACATGCACAATCTTCGGTTTCACGACCTTTTCCCTGGGCTCGAGCTCGTACTTGAGCCTAGTACAATCGTAGTAGTTGATCGTGGGACTGAGCTTCGCAAGACGGACGGCTGGCCTCACGATGTCCACCAGCTGGATGCAGTGGACGAAACACTTGTTCCAATCGTAGAGATAGATCAGCCGGTCCTGCTTGCGGTTCAAAAACAGCCCCAGCTCGTAGCTGGCGTAGTCCAAAACCGGCTCAAAAAGATGCATGTCTTGCTCCCGACACTCCCCACCATGGTCGCGCGCGCGAACAGGGCGGGAGCGCAGCTGTTAATTGATAATTTTTGGATACAGCTGGAATTTCAAAAGTCTGTGGCCATCGCGCTTACGTCCGTTCGTTGTGCACGACAAGAAACGAACCTGAATTATTAGACGGAAAAAGTTCTTAAATGCGAAGTACTCTCTTACCTCGCAGTGATCTGGCGCCATTGTGTTTGTTGGTCCAAACATCGCTCCGTCTGTCTGATCGAAGAAGCAACCGCTCATGGTTTGCCGGCTGTAGCCAATGACCGGCTTCAGTACGTGCTCGGAAAAATCATCCAGCGAGATCCAGGCGGACACCTGGATCTCGCGCCACAACAAAGGTGCATCCTTGATGCCACTTTCCGTGTCTTCGAACAGGCAAAAAGGCCCGTCTCGGAGGTCCTTTGTCGCGGCCTCTTCTTCTTCGGTCTTGATGATGCCGCCCCAGACCGGGCTTTCTTTCGTTTCCCGCATGCGCGCCCCCCGGGTAGTCTCGTCCTCCAGGACAGGCATCCACACCCGCACCACCAGATCGTGTTCCAGTAGTGTGAGATCCGGGCAAGGAAGCTTGTCAGGCCTCTTGATTTCGAGGGCAGAACTGTCGCCGTCTTCTTCCACACCTAGGGCAGTTGTCGACAACCCTTTATTTGAACTGCCTGTGGAGGAGGGTGAGCCTGAAGCTGAACCCCCGCTGGCACGAGCGAATGCACGGTCCTGGTCTTCGTCGTCGTCCTCCTCTGCCGCGCTGTCCAAGAGACACAGCAGTTCCTTTCGTTTCAAACTCAGCAGTTCGGCTTTCCGCTGAGCCCGCAGTTTGTGGTATTGGATCTCTGGTGGCGTGAAGAAATTGGAATCGCGCACATACTTATTCATCGTCCGCATCCATGTGGGGCGAGAAGTAGATGAAGAGCTCATTTTACCTGAGCCGGTTGATGAAGATGTCGCGAGGCTTGGATTTTTTACGGCCCCCTTCTTGATGACGGACGAGGAACTACTGGTGTCAGGGTTGATATCAGCGCGCGCCGCGGGCTGCTGAAGCTGGCGGAATTCTTCCGCAACGCGCTTGTTTATCTTTTCGTCAGGGCGATCCGTCGCAGGCGTAGCGGGGCTCAGAATAATTCCTCTTTTGTTGGACACGATAAATTTCTCCAGGTACCCGGCTAAACCCCAACCGAAATGAATCCCAGTGAGGGAGCTGGGTAGAGGAAGTAAGGCGTCTTCTTCGTTGCAGATCCAGGCCTCGACATTCAACGTGGATTCGCGCTGCACCCGCTGCAACTTCAGAAAACCCTTATTCTCGGGGTGCTCACCCACCATCACCTTTTCGGGCATCTTGTGCTGAATGCGCTCCACGAGAAAATTCTCAGGCTGGTTGTCGGAACTTGCTTCATCGCCAGCATCCAGGAGCAGTTTTTTCGTTTTCTCCCCGTCGTTCCCCGTTTCGTCAGCTCCTTTGAGGGCAGTCGTGCTATCATCAACATCAACTTCTTCCGCAGGGTTTGACTTGGTCCTCGTGAAAAACCCCAGAAGGGAAGTTGTAGACGAGTTCGATTTGTTCGCTGGCGAGGGTTTAGCCGTCTTCTTCGCGACTGCTAGTGGTTTTGGGTAGTTATCCGCTTGTTTTGCCTTTTCTTTTTCAAAACTCTCGGAGGAAGTTTTTCTTGCAGGTCCTTCCTTATGCTCTGAAGTTGTCCTGGTCGTGCAGCGGTCATGCTTGACGAAGTGCTTGTAGTATGTCGCAGCCATTTTCAGGTCCTTCCGCCGCTGCGAATTTTGCTCGTCGTCTTGCAAGGCAAGCACCTGCACGTCCTTCCCCTGTTCCTTGGTCGTGCGGCAGAAAAGCGGGCACAGTAAGCCGATCAGTATCAAATGTAAAAATGTCTGGGTCTGGAAACTTGTGGTGCTGGGTGGCGTCTCATGATGAGGCTAGAGATGGTGGCTCAGCATGACAAGTTTCTGAGCTCCTAGGTGTTGCCTATTCTGCATGACAAACTGCGCTTCTGCATCACAGAAAAACGGAGCTCTTGGGTAACGTGCATGACAGATCTAAGAGGTATGCCAGACATGCATGACAAACATGAATTCTCCCAGACCCAGACATTTTTACAGTTGATAATCAGCAAGCAGTGGCAATAGCTGGTGGGATTCGTCCGGTAGCAGTACAGCAGCTCATGCGGCTTGTCAAAGGGTGAAAACGTCAAATGCGGCGTCACGGCCTTGTACTGCACGCCTTCTTGCAAAAGCTGCTTGCTGTTTTCCCACTTGTTGAAAAACAGCGAGAGGCTGCGCCGCTCCGCATCTAGCCACTCCATGACGTTCTTCTTTGACTTTTCCTCATCAATCTCACCGTTTGGCAGCGCGACCAGACACTCCCGCGGCGGAGGTTGGCCGAAGAGTTCTTCCCCGAAAAAATTTGTGAGCTTTGCGGCGCGACGCTCCAGCGGTGGGCTGTTGAGATCAATAGCTTCAGACTTGACTCCTTGTTTTTCTGACCACTTATTCTTGCTTTTTGCAGTTTTTGTTGTCGCCGTCGCAATAGTCGTGGGGGTGACACGTTTGCCTGCCGCAGCGGTGTAGTCTGACAGACACGACTGCGCGTTGCCGCCCGCCACGGCTTGCGCAATCGAGTCTACCATAGCAGAGAAGGAGGCAGAACGATCATCTTCAATCTCCACGGTTTCCAACATAACGCGTAACGGAGCGTCATCATCTAAAACCTTATCCAGCATGTAATACTTGAAGACCGCGAAGTCCACGAGGAAGTTCTGCAATTTCGTTTTGTTTTTCGTGACTTCGTCTATGAACTCCTTGTCATCCCAGACTGTGAACGATTCGGACAGCCGCGGATCTGTTTGCAACAGCTGCTTCTGGCTAAATTTGAAAGTGGGCACAAAGGCCCAACGCGGATTCTTCGCCTCGTCGATCTGCTTGTACTGGAAACTGAAGAAGTGCGGTTCCAAAATTTTCGCGACGACTGTAGGGTTGCCGTTGAGCGCAGTGGGCGTTCGGACCTGGACGATGCTGTCACTCCACCCGTTCTTTCCCGCGACGTAGGTGATCTCGTTCGGATTTTTCGAAGGTCCAGTTTTCGTCGACTCTTCTCCGTCTTGGCGCCCGGTGTCCAGCTGCGATCCGGAGCCTGCCCTCGTTTTCGTCGTCGAAGTTGTTTTGCAACCTTTACCCTCTGGTGGTGCAGCTTGATCGGCCCCAGCTTTCTTGCACAATTTGGCCATCGCTTTGATATTCGTGGCGGCTTCCGCCTGCAGTTCCTCTACAGTGGCGTTTTCAGACATTGACGCGATGCGTCGATCCATTGCTGCTACGTCGGAGGCACTATTGCTCCCTGTATTTTCAACGCCGCCAGCATGCTCTTTCCGTATTGCAGTCAGAATGTCATCGAATTTGAAATCATCCATTTTGCCCTTCAAAGGACTGAGGGAACTGGTTTTGTCCAGAATCGGCATGACTTTCTCTACTTCCTTTTCTTGCTTGGCCTTGGAGGATGTGCCGGCAATAGTCGTGGCATTCGTCGCTCGCGCCGCCGTGGAGAAGGCACAACGGCGCGGGATATTTTTCATAACTATATTGTCCGACAAACTTTTTTTTGTATATTTTCGCGGTATATATATATGGTGCGGGATATTTTTCGTGGTATTGTCCGACAAAAGATGTCCATTTTCGCCGTCCTCTGAGCGGGTGTGGGAAGAATTTTCGCCGTCCTGCATGGACTTCGGAGAATTTCGCTGCGCCCTCGAGGTGTTATCTTCGTCACGACTTTTTGCGATGCTTGCGTCCGTACAATCTTTTCTGCCGTCCCGTACTTCATCTTTCTTCTCTCCCAGTGGTGGGTGCCCATCGTGAGTTTCCTGTGATAGGACGCCACCCTCACTTGCCTCCATTGCGCCAGTAATAAAAACTTCAAGAGCGGCCGAGTCGATGGAGCCAGGTGGCCCTCCTTGTTCCTGTATGATTTGTGGAACGACCTGGCTCAAATAACCGACAAATTTCTTCGGCCCTAAGTTCATCATTTCTTCTAGCGAGAAGTCTGTAAGCAATCTCTTTCTCGCAATGTCTGTTATGTCGCCGAAACTTTTCCCCGGGAACAATGTCGCAAAGTCTGTTGCAGAAAAATCCTTTTGGAAAGGGTCTATCCCAAAGGTAGCGCCGCGCGCCTCCACGTGGCCCATTGCGTCCTTCCTGGCAGCAGACGCGTCTTTCTCCGACTGCTGGGATGAATTGTTCTTTTCCTGCAAACTCGAGTTAGGCGAGTTTCTCGCCGTGCTGGGCTTTCCGTCGTCACCTTTCGCGCAGATGTAGTTTCTGTCCTCCGTGCAATCGTTTTCATCGCCTTTCTGTGTTTCGTCTTTCTTCTCTCCCCGAAGTGCCGGCTCATCGTGGCTTTCTTTCGATGGAACGACGCCTCCACTTGCATCCGCCGCACCTCCACGTAGTTTCCGTGTCGTTTCGTCTTCCGTGCCTCCGATCGATACTGAAGCTTTCAGTGGAACGACAGGAACAGTTTTTGAGTCTTTCTCCGGCAGCTGACTTTTATCGGCAGTCATGTCCGCGAAGGCGCTTTTTACCATGCTCGCTGCGACTTCCAAAAACCGGGCCATGGCGTCTTCCAGAAACCGTGCCATTGCGTATCCGAAACCGAACTCCTTGAAGGCCGAGTCGTCGACTTTCCCCTCTTGGTCGGCCGGTTTCGGTTCGACTTGAAGATTACTCGCATTTATTCGAAGCCGGCTCTCCTCCTTGTATCCCAGCAGCACCGGACGGTTCTGAAGCTCTCCGCTCGCCCGCAGCTTCTGCACTTCGCACGTCATATGGAACACCGCATCTTGGTCGAACAACGTTTTCCCCTGGTTGTCTTCCTCGGCTAGGAAAAGGCAAAGTTCCTGCAGCATCACCTGCAGCTTCAGTGCGCAAAACCCGGTCGCCTGTGCCATGGAGGCGGGATTGTTCTGCAGCTCTAGGGCATCTGCATCATCCAACAGGTCCGCAGTGGCCGCGGAATCGGAACCACTAGTACTCTTTTTCGAGTACGCATTTTTTCGAGTCACCTGATCCCACCAATCGTTCTTCTGCAGGCGTGATGTACCCCCGGATCTCCGCTCTAGCTTGGCCCAGTCTTCCAACGCCAAACGCTCCATGTCGGCAAAATACCCGTGGTCGTCTCGCAGCTGCTCTTTCAGTGCGCACATGGGGAAAATCAGAAGGTCTTCAGTCGCGTCTCCCAAGTCGATCTGGAGCTCCGCGGGGCGTCGACAAAAGTCCAGCAGGGTTCGGCGAACGTGCTTGCGTTGCGCGTCCAGGTTCACAAAGTCCCAAAATTCGCTGTTTTTCTGCGGGTCGTCGATTTTTTCAAGCAGCCGGTGCAAATACAAATTATTCCCGTAGACGCCGCTATTCATCAAGATTGCGTCGACAACATCGGGCGTTCTCGTCACAGCTGCGAGAGGCACCGTGTAGGTGGCAGGCGTGTCGTAACCCAGGCCATCTTTACCAGCTTCCATAGTACGGCGAACGTCGCGAGCGGAGGGCTGCAAAGGTTATCCAGTGCAAAATTATCGCACTTGTACTTCTAATCGCAGTCACGCATGACAGACATTTGGCCTAGAAGGGCAAGACAGCATTTTACAAACTGCATCTTTGTTCATAGTCATGCCATTTACACTAGTGCAATGCTAATGCATTTACAAAGCATAACGCTAGCAGATCCTCGATTTGCTCATATTCGCCAGCCGGATTCAAATACAACTCCTCGTCCCACCTCAGAGCAGAGTTCTTCTTGTCGTCGTTGCGGCCAGAGTTTCGCGCAGTGAATATCTCTGGTGGCTTTTCAGCACCTTCTACCACTATGTTCAATTTTAGCAACTCTCTTCGTAGGCGCGGTCCCAGTTTTGCCGTCGCGATGACAGGCAGCCTGTCAGGGCAAGGAATCTCACAATGCGCACGGTCAAACAATTTTCGCATGTGAAGCCCGAATCGGAGGTTATGTTTCTTCTCGAGGAGCTGGTCCCATTCGAACGCCAAGCGGAGCTGCTTACTGTACATCAACTCATTCACCTGGTTGCTGCCGGAAGCGGAGGAAGAGGATGAACCTGGTGCATTGTCGACAGTTGCGGCCGCGGACCTACTCGCAGACGCGGAAGTAAAATCACCGGAAGGAGTTAGAAAGTCGGTATCGCTTGCATTGATGGTGCGGGTGAGTTTCCCGAAACCTCCACTAGCGTCCTTCGGCTGGTGTGCGCCGGTGTGTCCTCCGCCACTGGACTTGAGTTGTGCGTTGTGACCCCCTCGACTGCCTGCTCCGGTCACCGCTTTGCTCGCGAGCGACTCAAGCAGCAACTGCTCTTGCAGCTTGCTCTCCAGCTCTTTGCGTTGCTTCTCCTCCCGACGGAGGCGCTTGTTTTTGGATTTCTTCCCCGTCACGGTCGTTGGTAGTTCGGAAGAAGTGGACGACCCTCCGGCTGGTTGTCCTCCCCCGGACGCCGCAGCTTCCTCGCCCTCCACTGCTTCCGCAGCAGAAATCGATGGCTGGGCCGTTGTGGATACTTCTGGAACCGCGGCACTTGTTCTTGCGTTTAGAATATCCGACGGCGCGCCGTTGGGTGCACCCTGCACGGAGTTCCATTTCCCTTTGGAAGGTGCGGCTTTCGGAAACAATTCCTCCACCGGTCGCTGCTTTTCCAAGGCTTCCAAGAACGCGTTTTTGTAGCCCCAGCGATCCGCCCGCTGGTGGGACCGCCACTGCAGCAAGGCCGTGTCAAAGTTCGGAAAAAGCCGCTCGCCCTCGGGATAGCACTCCTCGTCGCGAACGAGCCAGAGGTTGGGCAAATTCCGGTTCTCCAGGTCCGTATCCGAGGGGTCGAAGATGTAGCTGTCTTTGATCAACCACAACAAAAACGCACGGGCCTCCAAAGCGTAGCCGAAGTGCTCCAGGCCTGGGCCGGCGTCCGGGTTGATGCGGTTTATGTCCTCCACACTCTTCCAGTTTTTTGGAAACAACTTCATTTCAAAAATCCGCTGCACGATCAGCGCCCCGAGCTTGCTGAACTTCAAGGTTCGACAGGTGGACCGGTCCACCTCCTGAAAGAGTTTTAGTTTTTCCTTGGGGCGATTGTCTTCAGTCTTGTCAGTGCCCGTCGCATCGTGATCCAGTCGGTTGATCAACGTCCCTGCGTGGTGCCAGCAGCGAACAAATTGCGACAAATCTCTACGCTGTTGATGTGCGGTTGCAATACTGGTGGCTGGTGATGTGTTATTTGCACTGGCAGACGAGCCGTTGGAGGACGTTCTTTCTCTTTCAACATGATCCTGAGCAAGAGCATCCTCCAAGTCCGAGTACCCTGGGTACTTTAGAACGACCGGTCGGATTGGTTTGAACAGCCGTTCGCTAGCGGTGAAGCCCGGGAGCTTGTCGATCTTCCGCGGAACTTTCGGGTCGATTTCGTCCCGGGATCGCAAGTTCAACAGTTTCCGGAGCCGCGAATTTTCGTCGTGCATGTCGATGTCGCGCTTCCGGCGCTTGTAACTCGACGCGTGCTCCGGGTGCGCGCCGTAAAAGTGCTCGTTGTCGTACATATGGGGCACCCGGAAATCGCGGTGGATGCTGTCGTACACGACCCCCGTCGTTTCCCGGAGGTACTGGCCGTGCAGGGTTTCGAAAAGACTGATCACCCCGTCGGACTTCAGCGTCCAGCCGTCCTGCCGATCGAAGGAGCGGTTGCGCGTCTCGTGGTCCGGGACGGGGAGGATGTGCTCCGCTTTCACGTTTTCGATATCGAGGTAGGCCAGCGGAACCGGGTCCGCCGAGCTCATCCCCTCTTTCAACCCGTAAAACCCACTGTGCTTCGGGTCCCGCACGTTCAGCGTTTCCACTTTGTGCCGAAAGCTCGTCTCGTCCTCGAAGATGAAGTGGCGGCGGACGAACTCGCAGAACTGCTCCGCGCCCGTGTGCACGTTCCGCGGGTGCTTTTCCCCGCCACAGATCGGGTTCACGTGCGTGTTCCCGAGCAAGTAGGGGCGAATTTCGGAGTCGAAGAATTCCCCGGTCACGCACCAGTCGAACACTTGTTCGTTCTTTTCGCACACGAGCAACCGGCGCGTAAACTCGACCGGGTCGACGAGACTCCTCGCAGTCGTGTCCCAGGGCGAGAATTTCCACTGGGTGCTGTTCCGGGTCTCCGGATCGGAGTAGAAGAGCCGAAAGTCTCGCACTTCCTCATCGGTCATGGAGCAGCACAACGTGTTCCGTGCCATGTTCGCCCGGTTGGGATCGATGATCACACGCACAGAGAAGACCTGCTTCAGCTCGTCGTAACCTAACAACACAGCCTCCGCAATGCCGTTCTCTTTCAGCAGGGCTGGAAACTTAATGTTGTTGAAGCCGATGTTATTTTTAGTGGCAGACGTTGAAGATGTACTACTAGAGGCTGCTGTGGTAGTTGCTCCGTCTGCTACGCCACCTGTGCTCGGTGTGTTTGATGTTGTTGCACCACCAGCTCCAGCGCTGGTATGGGGGCTATAGGCACACGTACTACTGGGGGAAGCGCAATAGTACGATTTTAAAGTTTGCTCCCAGGATTCCATGTGGCGAACAAGAATGATGTCGCCCCTGCGGATCTCCCGCTCCACACTCAGCCCACTGCGGCGCGTCAGACAAGATCTGTCAACTTGGAACAGCATGTCTTTGTCCTTCGAATCTTCGAAAATCTATCCTGAGTAAAAACGTACCCACACCAGAGTCAGGATGAGGATTTTGCAACACAAACCTAGGAGCTTTGTGAGTCACGCATGACATAAACAGACTGTGCTGCTACGGGAATGGCATTGTGTTTCGGGTGAGTTGATCAACCCAAAGACGCCGCCACCCCGGGCCCAACGGACCTGGCACTCCAAACTATCCTCCTCACACACACACACGCACCAACTTATTTGCAGTGAGTCACGCATGACAAGCTGCACTATGCAGTGTAGTGCAGGTTAGCAAGTGCAGCCGCATCACAGATTCGTCTGCTCATCCTGTTCACAGCATCACAAATTCCAAAACACGACTGGAAATGGCTCTCATGGGGATGCGCATTACAAGTCTTCCTGTCTTTGCAAATCTGCATTACAACTCTGGTGTGGGTACGTTTTTACTCAGGATAAAATCCGAGTCTTCGCGATCCGCCGGAAGGTCGCCATGGGTGTCTCAAAATCCTCCGGGTTCTTCGGTGCCTTACCCGCTTTACTACTGGAATTTGTACTGAGTGACGTCGAGTCGTTCGCCGTGTTAATAGTACTTCCTGGAGGGAGGGCTGATTGGTTTTTTTGTAATTTACAATTTACACCTTTGAGCAGTTTCTTCTCTGACGCCACTCGCTGCTCTGACAAGCACTGCTTCGGCAGTGGGCGGTGTAGCAACCTCGCGTCCGGTATCCAAGAAAAAACACCCATCCCCATCCATTTTGTGCATGACAAACACATGATTTGATGCGTCCTTTGCATGACAAATTGGATGTGGATGGGTCTTTTTCTGTGGATATCCGGTTTGTGTGCGTAGTAAAAAAACTCTCGCAGGCCCGGGCCGCACACCTGCGACTGAAAGGTGTTAAACTTCGCCGGCTTCCCGATGGGAATCAATGTTCGGAACTCCATGATGTATTTACAGTCCTCCCAGTTATATCCGACGATTTTGGCACCTTCGTCGTCCAACATGGAGTCCGTCTGTGTGCATCCCGAGTTTTCCACCTGTACGATCTCTCCTGGCCCAAAATCAAACGGAACGAACTTCCAGAAAAATTGGCTTCCCTCATCTGCGTTTTTGTTGCGGTTCTCCCGTGCTGCTGTGTTTTTCGATTTGAAGTCCTCGTCTTGTGAAGAGGAAGAGCCTGCTTGATGTTGTTGTCCTAGCTTTTTCCCCACAATTGGTTTCGCAGCTGCGGACGCGGAGTTCTTTGTACTGCAGGAGCTACTATCCGCTACTTCAT